AATACTGCAAGTTACGACTTTACTTTTTATGATTACATACTGCATTTTTCGTGCTCAGAGATGACTTGGTTGGACATGGCACGGCCGGGATACAATTTATTTCAATTCTATGATTCAACGGCCAACAGCCTCAATCTTGCATAGTAACCACCGACTACTGTAGTCGTGGTACAACTCTTCAATACTCAGTAGAACTAGGCAAACTTCAACCGCTCCTCGGTCCAACCCGGCCTCAACCCTTTCCCAAATCCAGCGACACTCAACGAGCTATCCGCCACGTAATTCACCTTCCAGTCCACCTGGACACTCGCCCCCTCTTCCGTCTGCGCCCAGACCGCCAACCCGATGGTGTTATCACCCTGGTAATCGAGAATGCCCGGCGGAACAGGGAACACGACCTGGTTCCCGATGTGGGGATTGTACCGACCATACTGGTACCCATTAACGAACAACTGCGCGCGGTACCCCTTGGGCGCAGTCGAGGGCGTCGAGAGCACAAAGGAGACGGAGACGTCCATGCCGGCAGGGATATCGAGGGGGACGACAGTGCGGAAGAAGCGGACGGTTGCGCCCGTGAAGCTCAGTGCCGATGTCGTGGTTGAGTTGTCGGGCGTCCAGGCGCTATCGTCGAAGCCGGGGAGGTGCCAGCCCATACGTTCTGCGAAGAGGCCGTCCTCGTTGAAGACGCCGCGGATGGGATCGAGGTTCGATTCGCCGCCTGCGGTGCCGGCGAGGCGCCAGTGGGTGAATTCGGGCCCGGGGGACGAGGAGTCGTTGGAGAGGAGGCGAGCCTCGAGGATGCCGCGTGGGTTGAGGGCGCCGGTTGTCTGGTCGTGGCCTGTGTCGTCGTGGACGATGAGGAGGACGTTTTCGGTGGGGTTGAGGAGGGAGGCTGGGAAGGTGAGGGTTTTGTTTGCTTGGGAGGTTGTTGCGCTGCCGAGGTGGGAGTCGAGGAAGTGGCCGTTCAGCCAGGCGGACCAGCCGCTGCGGAGGGAAGTGTTTGTCAGTTTTGATGAGGTGGGTGGAGAGGGGATGGATGGGGAGGGTAACGTACAAGGCGCTTCCTCCTTGGATGTTGAGGAAGACTCCGGAAGCAGAGCCGTTGAAGTAGCCGCGCCAGAGGCGGACGCCGTTGTGGAAGCCTGTCGTGTTGGTCAGATCAGTGACGTAGAAAGAAAGGGTTGACATACCGTATTCGTCTGCGTATAGGACTGGAAGAGTTGCAGGTGGACTGGGGTTAGATGTCGTCATGTGGTTTGCCTCTGTGAAACGCATTAGATTTCGCCAGGTCAGATCGATTGGAATCCAACTTACCAATCCAGGCTGGGCCGGAATCGTCGTACGATGCAAGCCGCTCCGGCAAGCTGTCGTTGGATTTCCAGGAGGTAAGAGCGGGCAATTTGATGGTTGGTGGTGCGGCGAGTGTCGCTTTGAGACTGCCGTATGGGGTCTGAGAGGTCTTGATTTCTTTCCCGTTCCAGGTAATCTTCCTCACGCTGTTAGGCGCAAAGATTTCTAGTGTGGTTTTCTCAACCGAGTCTCCTCGGAGCGCCAATGTGGACTTGGAAAGGCTGGCGGAGCGGACAAGGTACGGGCCGTGGACGAGGACTGTGACCATTAGTATGAAATGACAGTGTACTACGTATGCAGTGAACTCACCAGTTTCGGTCTCTTGCACGATAGGATCATCTGTCAACGCAGGCGCCCAGAAGCGGTAGGCGGCGGCCTTGTCGAGCAGAACCACGCGCACACCGTTATCCAGCCGCAAGACGCTCAGTCCCTTGGCCTGAGAGAAGTTCACGACGAGATAGTTCTCCTCACGCTTAAATTTGATTCCCGAGCAGCCATCGCCATTTTCAACCTTTCCGGACTTGGCTCCCTTGATCGCAAACTCGCCAGATTCTCCGGTAGGAACCCAGAGCACGAGCGTAGGCCTGTTTTCAAAAACGGCGTAGGTCAAGACCTCGGCAGTTGAATAGAGCAGAGTACGTTTGTCGAGTGTGAAGTCAGTCACGATGATCTTGGACTGATGCCCATTGAGCTGGATCGCGCCCTCGTTCTTGGGGACGGTCAAGGCACCGACAGAGGTGTTGACATGAAGTTTGAACACTTGATTGCCACCAACAGTGGTGTCATTGTGGAATGTGACGTAGAAGCCGGCGTTGGTCTGAGGGTTTCTCAACTCGAATGCCCGGACAGCTGTGTTCGTAGTATATTGTGTTCCGTTTCCAATCGCCTCTGTCATTGTGAGGTCCTTTGCGGTACGGGTGAACAATGCCAGTAGCTTGGTCTCGTAATACTTGGCTCCAATCGAGCGGTCTTCGGAGATGGGAGCGGAGTAGTCGTAGCTGGTTGCCGTGACAGGAGCAGCAATCGCACCCCAGTTGGTTCCTCCGTACAGCATGTACAAACTCATGGCAGTCACCCGCTGGCCAATGTTCCATCGGTAGAACAGGTTAGCAAACTCGGCCCCGGTGTCCTGAGGACATCCACCTTCAGGACCGGCCCAGGGGTTGTAAGATCCTCCCTGGAACTCAGGCATGAATGAGGGAAGAGTGGGCTGAACTTCTTGGAAGTAGTCATAATAATCAATCACTTTGTAGGGAACATACGCCCCGTTGGTGGAGGTACATTGGCTCACGTCGCATGTCCAGCACTTCAACGGTTAGAAGAACCAAATAAAAAGGAGTTGATGGTAACTCACCGACGGATAGGAATCCAGACCAGCCACGTCGACATTGCCTCCAGCATTGGACCAGTCTGATCCCCAAGATTTCGAGTTCATGTTGGGATCGTTGCTTGTCAATGGCACAGTGATACCATTCTCACGAGCAGACGCTTCCAAAAGCTCCATGTAAGCCACCGCAGTCTTATTCGGATTGCGATCCTTCGCGTTTCCGATCCACTGCTGCCCGTACTCATTCTCAATCTGGTATACGAGCGTGTTATGTCCGTCCGTGACCTGGTACTTGCTAGTGATTTGCGACATGTTTGCAAAGTACGGCGTCCACGCGGCCGTATACCGCGGGTCATCGTTCCGCAGCGAGCCATACTCGCCAGTCGTCAGCCACAGAGGGAAACCGCCGGCGCTGGCTTCAGCATTGACGTAGGGCCCTGGGCGCACAATCATATACATGCCGAGCTCCTTTGCAAGCTCAAAGATGGGTGTGATATCGCGAGCGCCGGTCGAGAAATCGACCGTGTGGTTGTTGGGCGCATGATAGGCCCAGCTAGAGTAGAACGCAAAGGCAGTGAAACCGGTAGCTTTCACCTTCTCGAGAATATCCCTCCACAACTCGGGGACTGGAATACGCCAGTAATGGAATTCGCCAGAAAAGATGAAGATCCTCTGCCCGTTGACGTGGAAGCTGTAGTGGTCCCATTGAACTACCTTGCTCAAGCCATTATCGTGAAGAGGCCATTCAGTCTCTGACTGGTTCTGAGCAGCTGTCGAGAACCACAGATTCGAAAGAAGAAGAAGGAGAAGTCGGTAGATCTGCGCCATGACCGAACCTCAGCAACACCACGCTGCTCACTAGTTCCAAGGACAGGTGCTGCAATGTTCCAACGTCGACAAACGGGACGGCAAGCGCAGGCTATTAAAGACTTTAAATCGCCGGCTCTCACATTTCCAAGCCAATCCACCATCCACAAATCTCCAAGCCACAGACATTATTGATTAGAGGGCCACCCAATTGCCAGTTGAAATCAAGCCGAGGCGTCATAAAAAGCGTCCAAGAGAACCAAGAGGCCATCCCGCCGGAAAATGAAAATGCTCAGTATGGTCCGATGCGCTAGATCCTTGTCGAAGGAGACGGTACCCCACAGCATTTTCAGTTCGCACTGAAGCAAGGATCACTAATTAGGCACAATTTGGTATCGGGATCATAACCAGGATGGCCGATGTGGGGAATTGTAAACAAGATCAACATCTGTGGGGAACCCGCACGATGGCTGGACATGTATTTTTCCTCCACTCAACAGTCTCGACGCGGGAGTTTTGCCGTGGACGGACTGCTGGTACAGGGGTTCATTCAACTTGGGCTATAGCATCGAGACGACATTATTGAGCCGTTATTTTCGAAAATCTTTACGGACACACCCCTTGGACGTAACTAGTTAGAATAGCATCACGTGACACTCTAGATTGTATAAGTGTTTGGGTCTGGGCTTATCACTGCCTATGAATAAGGGCTCATAAAATAGCCTCAAATATAACCCCTACTACGCTGTGGTCCCTAGGAAAACCACAAGGTACCTTAGGCTTTGAAACATTAGATAAATTAGATTCTACTACTCCGTATGAAGAATTTAGTTTCTCCTATAATTGCGTTATTTTTACTATCTGGGGGCTGCTAATGGCCTCCTTACACCTTACACCATGACCATAACTATGACTAGAACCTCGGCCTGTAGCTACCTTAACTAACTCTAATGCTTATAATTTAGGGGGCCATATGATGCTAATATTACTAATTACATATGGGGGCGTGCGTGTAGAGATTTCCTTATTTTATTGCTAAATGGATCTATAATAATCAAGTGAACTAACCTCGTTCTTTTCAGCTAGATAGCCTCAAGCCCTCAACGCCCGGATCAAATATTCAAAGGAACATATGTACATAACAAACATAAAAACAACAAAGAGTTTCGTAAGAATCGAAACAGATAAGGCGGCGACAACAGGACTGGAGATACACCACATTACCTGCATGGTCTATGTCTCTGTGCTTTTACGGCCCGAATAGACACAGCGGACGCTAGCAGAGAGGCAGCAGCAGGAACCGATCGCTGGACGGTGAGAACCTAGCGGGATCTAATCTCGTCGACTGAACGACGGGAACGACGGGAACGACGGGAACGACGGGAATGTAGGGACCCTCGAATCAACTCTCGATATGGCGAGTCCCTGAGCATCACGGACCTCGAGAAAAGTCGGAGGGTAGGGGAGAGCTTTTCTTTTTTATGGGGATAGAACATTGATAAATCAGAGAGCATGCTTAAGCAGCCTTCTCCAATACCCCAAAAGGATTAGTGTCCTGGACGTCAGGAACATCAGGGAACTTCTCTAATTCCTCCTTCGTCTGAGGTTTGGCTCCCTTCTTGGGAGGAACAGTCGAGAAACCTTCCTCGGGCTCCTCCTTGGTGCCACGCTTCTTTTGGTTGGCACCAGAGCGCGTCCGGATCGGCGACTTGTCAGTGATCTGCGACTGTGCCTTCTTGGTCCTTTGGGTCTGGGCCTTCTGAACTGCCTCATCTTCCGTGCTGATCTCCCCGTTCATCTCGACAGACTTCTGAATTTCACGGCTGACGCCCTTGAGAGCATCTAGACCGGCCCTTTCGGCAGCATGCATGTGAGTGGGATGAGGCTGGCTCGGCTCCTTGCGGTGCAGGTATGACCGGACGAAGAAGCGCACGAACAGGTATGTCAGAGGCAGGAGGTACATAACGTTGAGCCAAATTGCGAAAGCCTGACCGGTTGTATCAATGCAGGGGGTCATGGGCCCAACAGGTGTGCGGCGAGCAGCCGAGCTGCTGGCGACATCGGCAAAGGAATAACCAACGTTCTCAGCAGCACCCTCTGCGCCAGCAGCCCGCAACCCCAGCTTCTTGAGCCAGGGGCCGAGTCCTACAGCCGAGGCAGTCGCAGCCGCAGCTTCAATAGCGGACGTAGCGGAAGCGGCGGCGGCGCTTCCAGTCGAAAGCTTGCCGGGAAGAGTGTAGCTGACAAAGAGATACGATGCGGCCCAGGTGGTTCCAACGACGAACTGCGTGATCTGCATGGTGGTCAAAGAGCGCTTGATAACGCCGGGGACTCGAATATGAAGTGCGGTCAGAGTGTAGTACGTGTACTGGAGAGGATGGTCAGCCAATGTATCTGATTAATACAGACGATTTGAAAAAGCGATTGCGTACCATCAGCGCATGAATACCAGAGTTGATCAGGGTGAAGATAAGGATGGGAGGAGCCATGTAGCGGATACCCGCCCACATGCACATCATCGCACCAGCATGGTGGTAGGTCTGTAAAGTCGAGCTCTTCTTGCCCTTCGCCAGAATGATAGCAGTATCCAACACCTCGTAGAACTTGGACAGATAGAAGATCCAGCCCAAGTAGGCCAATCCTTGGTTCCACATACGGCCAACATCCGTCGGGTCGGGGACACCACCCGCAGCCAGCTGGTATTCGGGGTTCGGCAGTTTCCACTGATCGGTGACGGAGTCGTAGATGGCAGCATTTCCGTAGCCACGGGGGCCATTGATCTTGCAAAGAGAATCAAGCACGCCTACGACGCCGTGCGGGTCCTCGCGGTGAGGCCACGAGTTCCGGAAAGCCTGGAACATGCCGACGAACGTCCATGCGGAGTAGATGGCCAGGAAAACATTGTGGAGGATGACGAAAAGCTTGAAGAGCCGCGTTTGGCTGAAACCCCAGGGCTTGTACCCACGACTCTTGTTGATGCGGTTGATGATGACGACGGTGACTGCGTAGACGCTGGCAATAGTAATGGGCACGCGGACGTCCAGGAGCTGTTTGTACAACTCAGGGGGAATGTTGAACGGCTGGTTCCATGTCGGCTCAGACATCAGAGGAGCAGGAAGAGGCTCGGGAAGCTCGCTAGCAGGGAATTGGAAGAGCGAGGCGGGCGGTAAACCGAAGCGCACGACAGCAGGGCCCGCCTCGGTGTCGACGTTGAAGTCGATCATGATCGAATACTTCCTGAGGGCGAAGTCACAGGTGAAGCAAGAATTGACGAGAGAGGACTAGACTTTCGAGATAACAGGTCTGTGGCCCTTTTTTAAAAAGAGGAAGACAAGGCCAAGAAATAAGGAAAGGGTGGGGAAAAAAAAAGTTTCAACGTCGCAAAAGTACTCCCCAAAGCAGAAAAGGGTAATGAAGTAATTCCACCTCCTCCCCAAGGTTCGATCAAATCGCGCCGAGGCAGATGCGGGATAGATAAATCCTTTAGAGATGTGAAGTGTCAACTCAAAAGCAAGTATCGAATGATTCTCTACAAATCAAGAGAGTCTAGTCTCGTCAATGGCAGAAAAATATTGAAGTGTCATTAGTATCTCCAAGAGTGGAGCCGTGATGCATTTGTTGGGAATTTGGCTGCTCTGGGCGTCGATGAAACCTCGGCCCAACACAATTGATTGCAACAATCAATTTCCCTAGCAAGCTTGTGAAGAAGATCTTCTAGATATACCATGAATAAAAGGGCCTTACAGATAGTTATATAGAAGCGCATTGGTCAAACCATGATGATGATGCTATAGCTTATTGCTCGGTAGAGGTAGATACCTGTTGGATGGTTTCTTGCCACTGCCGTCATCCTCACGCGATGTGTTGAACAATGATGCAAGGCATGAAGACACGGTGATCTCTCAACGAGCTATTCTGGGAATAATTCTACATCTTCTATACTTCAATAATAGAGTACATCTACTTAGATGCAAAGCTACACAAGTACAACCCTCGTACCTCCATCCCTGCTGACCTATATAGACTGTAGTAGGGACCGCGACCTTTTTAAATGATCCGCGTCGCAAAAGTGATGCGCAATACCAGCCAAGTAGCCAATCAGAAATTTTAATATTGGCGTTTTGGCGTCTTGGATTAGTCAGCGATAGGGTCGCGAATAGGTTACCCCGGATTTGGCATGGCACGAGATTTGCAGGCCTTTGGCCTTAACCCCAAGGCCACCAGGGCCTAGGCATCAAGGCAGCATCAAGGCAGCATCAAGGTGTCATAGCGCGTGGAACATCGTTCACATGAAGCATTTAAGGATTCACCCCAACAAAGGGAAAATAGCCCGTAGTTATAAACTCTAGAGATATAGAATGAACCGAGGCATGGGGCTTCCTTGATTCAACATTTCTACCCCTGAACAAAACTAGACTCACTGCAGGATTGCACTAATGCAAGTTATGCAACCAACACAAGTGTGCAGATAGAACGCCTATCAACCTATCAAACGCCATGCCGGTTGACCGATTCTACTCGAGGGTCTTCAGCTCGCCCTCAAAGCGCCTAAGTAAAACCTTTCTTGAGATGGTGGAGCGCATAGCATTGATCTGATTCTGGCGGTGTTCTATTTGCTGTTTTGGTATCAAAATTGCCTCTCCCTGAACCACAGTACGGCAGGGCAGACCTTTGAGTTGTGATTTTCGCTGAAGACGCTAACAAGCCACATCCGCCACAGCCGTCTTAGTCGATGGTATTTATCCGTAGAATAGCCAGTCAGCCGGAAAACAATACTGCTAGGCTCCCTTATTCAGGTCAATTGGCCGAGAGTCCTGGGAGTAAATGCAGTTTTTCCACTTACGTTGCCAGCCCTACTACCGCGCATTGCAAGTCTGTTCCAGCCTAGCGTTGGAGCGGTTGGTGGATGCATGTTCAAAATATAAATGTACTTGATCTATTGTACAGTGAAACGAACGTGATGGACAAATCCCATAAGGATAAACGCAGTAGATACAATCGACTCGACATCAGTTGACCTAACCTCCGCTCAGACGGGTTTGGTACTCAGCGGGAGCGGCGGAGGCGCAGGTGATGATGGAGAAGGGGCGTTGACAGGTGTTGATCGCATCGCTGCTTTCTTGGGAGGTGGCGGTGGTGGGGCCTTTCGCCGGTTCAATGCGTCTATTTCTACTGAGTCGGATGAAGGCTGGCTTCGATTAAGGTGCGGGGGTGTAGGAGGAGGCCGGAATTGCTTGGATGAGATGGATGTGTTTGCCGACCTTTTCTCGTCGACAAAGTTATTGAAGCGTTGAGTGATCTTGTATCTGTCATTCAAGTCCTGGACTCGTTCTTTGCCCGCTTGAAGCTTATCGTTATGCCGCTCGCGCAAGTTGTTCACTGTAGATGTTGCCGATGACTCGGGCTGTGTTGTGCTTCCCCGAACCGGCAGGGAGGGGCCTTGCGACGGAGATTGAGATGAGCCTGTCCTCATTTGCGAGAAGCGAGCTTGAAGCTCATTAACTGAGGCTTGGCCGACTACTCCACCGGTTGTGTTGCTGGGGCTGCTTCTATCGTGTCCAATGCCAAGTGCAGGAACTGAAACTCCAGCATTGGATAGACGGGAGACAGCACTTTGGTTCAAGAGTCCCGCAGAAGCCGGTTCTGATGGGGAATATGCCGGGGGAGGGGTTGCTGGGTGGGACTGTGGAGTAGAGTTCATGCGAAGAGGAATCCGAGGCGGTACGCTCGGCACTGGCCTAGAACTCGAAGAGGACACGGAATTTGCCGGCGAATGCATTCTTCGGACTGGAGGAGGTGGAAGATTATCCGTGTTTATACCCGTCGTATTCACTCGGTAGGGTAGCGGTGGACCAGCTGGTCTTTGGGGTTCGGCCTCCTCAGCTCGATTCTGCTCCTGCTGCCGGGCCTGCGCGTGCTGGATCTCTTCCTGGGATAGAGGCGCCCCTAATCCCCTGCGATCCGGCGTCGTCTGATTCGGAACCGCACCAGGTCCATGGACCGCAATGTGTTTCGGTGGTGGCCCGAAAGCGGATGGATCCTTGAGTGATGACAGGGGTCGAGAGACGTGCTGCTCCTGCTCGCTGTCCCTATTATTCCCCTTTCCCATCCATCCTGCCTATACCAAAGCGAGCGTCAGCAAATGTCAAATACTGAATTTGCCCAAAAGATCGGAAAAGTACGAACCACTTGATTGATGCCTTTGAAGTCTCCCCGCCAGCTTTCTTTTCCTCCAGACTTACCCTTAGGGTGCCAGCCCTCTTTCAGAGTTTCTCTTAAGCCACTCATCGTGAGCTCAAACGTATTCCAATATATAAAGATAATGGAATGAATATGAGCACAACTGTATTAGGTGTCCGATCCAACTAGGATCGGTGACGCAGCATCTGGCGTCATCCCCGCCCCGCATTCTCAGTTATCTCCAATCTCCGCTGGGCACGTGACTATTCTCTATTCTTCGGCTTCCTCTTGCTCCACGCTTTCTCTTGTTTCCTTCGGGATCATGTTCAGTTATACGAGGTAAAACTTCGTCTCATTGGCATGGCCAAATGGGAAACAATGTTGTTTCAGCTGACATTAGAGTTCAAACCCTTGCGTGACAGTGACAATAACCGAGTGTCTTGTCCTACAGTTGAAGCATTTGGCCCCAACGACACGCATTTCTCGTCTTAAACTACCTAAGCTAACCCGCCGATCAAAGCAGTAGACAACTCGGGTCACTATGTCTTCGTGCTTGCTGATCTGGGCCACATAATGCGACCGCGAAGTCTTGTCTTCATTTTGAACACGAGTACTCCGTACTGCGTACTCAACTGAGCGAGGCGCCTTTACAACCGCTGTGGACATCATGGAGCCTTATCAATAGGCAATGATGCTTGCATCATGCCGCGCGCCAGGATTACTGGACATCGAGACTTCTGGAGCAGTCAATCGGCGATGAGTTCAGTCCCGTCGTGTTACGAATCCATGGTGTGCAGCGGCTCGTGTTCAGAGGCAGGCGGCTGCCTCACTTCCCGCTGATTGGCCGCTGATCGGTGCCCTTTCATTGTCCGGGTCTATACTTGGTAACCGCTTGACGCTGCTGCGCCATGTCAGCGCTCCCTTTGGCGACCGTTTTTTTGTTTCTTTTCTGTTGTCGGTCTCGTAAAAAAATGATCTACTTCTCCTTGCTCTGCCCCTCTTCGTCAGTTTGTCGTTCGAAGTTGTCACCTGGAGGCAAGAATACGGGAGAGATTCAAAGTGCATGCTTATTCAACTTCTTACAGCCTGTTGAGCTTCTAGCAGTAAGCAACTTTGGTGGTTGAACAGGTTTTGAATGTGAGGACTGGCTTCTAGTCTGCATTGTGGTACGAGTCTGGCGAGCCTGGAGGACAATTGCATCGTCTCAATAACTGTCTCAATAGCTGGTTATGCGACGTTGAATCATCCGAGGGAGTGCTTGTCTTAATTTATCCCGGAATCGTGAGACGACCACAGATAGGTATAACAGAATGATTGATCCTGAAAGGCCGAATTCCCTGGACAGCGCCAATGAGCACAGTATACAGCCGCTATCTCCTGGAGAGGAGCAGCCATCGCCATGGTACGGCGAGACAGTCTCTACATCTTCGCCGACATCTCTGTTCGGGTCGGATGCGACGGCTACCATTGTGCGAACAAGCCACACGACATATGAACCGACATCCCTCACATCACAAATTACAAACGTTCTCCCGACGGCGACCACAGTAATCTCTTCAATCTCAACTGGGACTTCTCCCCAACCGGGAGACAGCAGCTCAGGAAGCAGCAACACGAAGACAATCGCTATAGCTGTTCCAGTATCTGTAGTTGGTGCTGCATTGCTCCTCGGAGCGTTATTCCTTCTTCTGAGACGCCGCCGTCGGAAAACTCGACAAGAGGACCCATCGGACCTCCAAGTTGATATGGCTCACACAACTCGAACAAACTTGCTGCCGCAGAACGGTACTCCATGGAACGTCGGACACGCAAGATCCCATGAAATCCTCTTCGACGGCCCCTATCCTTCTCAGGCCGCCTCAAATGATCACATTCCACCAAGCCAGCCATACAATCATCAAATAAACGCGACGCCGAGATCCCAGCCACCTACATTGTCCGTTCCTACTCCTCCAGCTGGAGTCTCAGAGCATAGACAACCAGAAGGCGGATTAGGGTTACCGGAAACCAGCCCAGTCACACCTGGATGGCGAGCCGGAAGCGAAGATCGTCCCCGCTCGCCGTTTGATCATCCGTTGGATGATGCCATGTCCGAGGTGTCGGGTCTGAGTGACAGGCGGGGAGCCACGCATAGTCGCGATCTAGATGATATTTCATCCGTATCTTCCATCGGTGACGACGAACCCGCGACGCGCAGATAATGCTGCGAAATGTAATGGGTTATGCCTGGGTTCATTGGACGATTTTAATAATGCGCGAATTCTTGACGTCTGCCGCGATGTTTTGAAGCTTTGCTGGGCGGTACCCTGGATTCTTTGTTGATTGATGCTATCTGGCGATACTTGTCGGTACCTACAAGTTGAGTAAGAGAATGAGATTTGGAATGAGAGATTATCATATCTTTTTATGCCTTCATGTGGTATCTACAATTTTGTCTGTCTCTTTCCAACGCTCATATATAGACATTCGGACAAAGCGACTATCGTCCACCTCCAAAATCCGGCTTGTAAGCCACGACCTTGCCCTTCATTAGCTCTCTCAGTGCCATTGTAGCATACTGGCTCGACCCGAGCTGGAACTTGAGGACCACGGCGATCTTTCCAGCGGAATCAGCATTAGACCCAGTAGCTGCTTCCTTGCCGTTGAGCCTGTCCAAATCCGTTTGCACGAACTGCTCGTCGTCCTGAGAATACAGTTTAACATCCACCGAGTAGTCCGCACCCATCCGGCTAAGGACCTTGCGGTAGCCGCCGCTAAGACTGATATCCTTCCACTTGCGGCGCATGTCGAAGGGATCGAGACCACCGCCTTGCTCGCTGCCCATGAAGCGCTTGTAGAAGTTGGTCACCTCGTTGGCGGGGTAGACCACGTCGAATCCAGGGAGCGGCAGGACGACGTCGAAAATGGAGTACTTACCGCTGGCGGCTTCCTCGGCGGTTAGGGCGCGGGCGCGCTCGAACATGTCTTCGGCTGAGTAGGCGCTGTCGTGTGCCGCGGGCTTGACGACAACCTCGCCGTCGGCGTCGACCTCAGCTTCAGGGTCGGTTGATTCGACCTTTTCGCGGTGCTCGTGGATAAGGACGAGGTCGCCTTCTACTACTTTGTCGCCGTAGAGCCGCCAGCGTTCGCCGACAGCGAAGTTCCAGACCAGAGACTGGTAAGCGTGCACGTACATCAGACGTAGGTTTCGGGGAATGGTTTGCAATGCTCCGAGATAATCGTTCTGGGAGCGGCCCAGATGGCGGATCAGGTTGTTTTCCGCTGAGAATTTCCGGGGTAGTTTCTCCACGGCCTCGGTGACTTTGCCGGTAGTCTGGAACATGTGGATTGCTTCTGCACGAGCCTTGTCATCTGAGCTAATCGTGGAGGTCGAGTTGCCTTCCTGGGCTGCTGCAAGGATATGAGGACTGTAATGCAGGATTGCATCACAGGCGCCCTTGAAGTCACCCTGGAGCATCTTCACACCGACCATATCCGTGCGGGTCGCAAAGGTTCCGAAGCGTTGCAGGCCGTAGTAATTGAAGTAACCGCGCTCACGGAGGTTTCGCAATGCGGAGCCCACAAACTCCTTGGCCTTGGCGACGGCATCTTCGCGATTTTGAAGGTCCACACCAGGAATAACGCATTCCCGCAGAGTGATGACGAACTCATTACCCTTCAGATCGCCCAGCTCGAGGCCATGGCGGCAATACTCGTAGTCTCCCACGGCCGAGTTGCGAAGGGCAGAGTTAAGCTTTGCGAGCCGGTCGGCAAAGACCCGGCTTACACATGCTCGCTGCACGGTCACACCACGTCGGTCCTTAGTACCGGCAAACTGGAAGCTTCTCGGAGCCATTTTCATTGAACGCGCCAGGAAAGATATAACTTCCATGGTATCCTTGTTCTCCTTGTATATCGTAAAATGCAGATAGGAGCCTCCCAGCTCCTCGAAGTTGAGCCGGCCTCGTTCGCGCCCTGAACCACGTCCACCTTGGGGGTTGCGCTTGTTCCGGTTGGGAGCGGCCGAGATATTCATCATGCCTTCGCTATCAGTCTGCGATTCGAGTTGCGAATTGAAAATGCGACGGATTGCCTGGTGAATCTTGATGCGCTGGTCGCGATCTGTGACAACGACAGTGTTCACTCGACCCAACTCGTTCGGCCTCGCTCTGGGGTTAGACAGGGCACGGGTATGTAGAGCCAAAATTCGCTCGGTAGCCTCGGTGCCAAAGAATGACTCCAATAATGCCTTGTCTTCCTCTGAGAGCTGGAACTCGGCAGCGGCCTCCTCTTTAGCGGGCGGCGCATCTTTCTCTCCAGCGGCTGCTGACTCTGCGGTATTATCCACTACAGGAGCCTCCGACTTGGTCCCAGCATCGTTGTTCTTGGTTCCATCTGCAGGCGAAGTGGGAGGATTCAAATTTCGAAGATGCAAAACTTCACCGGACGGGAGAATCTCATTGACGAGGAAATCGGTGTATCTGAGACAAAAGAGGGTTAACTTGATTTGCGGTATCTCAGATTTCAGTTGTACCTCTTCTTCAGAACTCCGGAAAAGCCCACGTTGTCTGCACTGACAAATTCGGTGATTCCGACCTCAGCTTCCTTCAATGCTTGAGCATCCCCATCGGAGATCTCCAGAGCCGGCACGGTGGAAGGAGGCAGCACAGCATCGTCCGAGATGGAGATATCCTCAGTCTTGAGTCGCTTGCGCGGTGACTCGACAATATCTGCGCTCTCCATTGTTGAGATATGAGTATTTCTGCACGAAGATACTGGATCTAGAGCTGCAGCTTGTTGGCGGAGAACTGCTTCAATCTCCGCAATAGCCTTTACCGCAAGCGGCATAGACCAGGGCTAGCCCTACTGCCTATTTGGGACGTCTGATAGCAACTGTAGACGGTACCTTGAATTCTTGATGTATACTTATTTACACGGAGTACGCAGTGTCTACTTTAGCTCAAGTGATTATTGTTATCTGAAAAGGTCAATATTATTCCCTGGTGTAACAGTGAAATTGTTAGCACAATGAGGGTTGTTAGATCATCAGTATAAGCGCTAGGCATCATGTAGCATCCTCGAGTATATAGACACATAGTAACTTCTCCATCAAACCTTCTAGAGGCTATTCTGAACATCACTCGCGTACCTAGGCCCATTCAAGACAGCAGTTGGGGCAGAACAAGGAGATGTTATTCCAAGTGTGCTGGCCAAGTCAAAAATACACAGTAGACAAAGACCAACATGCTACAGAAAAGCCAAGGACAAAGGCCCTCTCAGGGTCGAGAAATCCTCCTTGTAAAGATTTGGGTCTAGCAGTTTGACCCAAGTTCGAAACGCCATAAGTCTCAAGAGACCAGGACGAACAAAGAAAGATATGTTCGATAACTGTTGGGGCGAACCCACTGAAAGCACAATGGGCTTTTCATGATATCAAGACCCATGGAACCCCTACGAATGTTGCTTCCTATTATTTGCCTTACGACAAGGCCTTTTCAAGAAGAACACCCGGACAGGGATCGAGAGTGAGACTCTTGCTAGTAGACAAGGGAATTCAGATCAACAGTTTCATGGAATCGACTCCTTGTCTGTCGCAACGGCATCCTATGGCGGAGCTCCGTAAAGGTAATGAAGAATTGCCTTTCCGACATGATTCGCATCATAATGGTTCTTTTCAGGATGAGAGACACGTCGCAAAGAATCTCTTTGTTGACTAGGAGACTCTTGAGGCCTAAGAAGGGGATCCAATGCAGAAACGCCATGGAATTGAGACACCTTACACTCTGCTCAAAGTCCATTGCTGATAACTCCAACTATAAAGTCGCTCTCCTTTCTCACCGGTGGAATGATATCCAACCATCGAACTCCTCTGTTCTCTCTATTTCCCTCCTTCGTCTCGATTTCCAAAACTTTGAACGCAACTCACCTACTGTACGCAAACTCCTCGAACCGGCTACCCTTCTTCAAGACGTTGAGTATTATATCCAAACCAATTTTGCAAATCTAACAGCATGGGTATCCCACAGTGGAGCGAGCAAGACGAGCGCCAGGCGCGCATGCAGGATGCCGGTCTTTACATCGACTGGCCCAACCCGTACAACCTCGAACCGGGGCTGTACATCATCGTCCACATGGGGTATACCACCCAGCCCGGCGAAATGATGGATGTCATTGATGACGCCTACAGCACTGTCACAGCGCATCTCGAATCACAACAATTCCGCAACCCGCGGCACCCCATTCCAGGGCGCAAGAGCCTTTTCATACACTATGAGCTGATCAACCAGGATGACGGCACGACAAACCCCTTCCCGACGGAGGTAGAGCTCTTTGAAGAGGTCCAACGTCACCTCATGCACATGTTTGATCAGCTTGAGTTCGGGGAAAGTTCGATCTCCCGTATAAACTTGGTCCGGTGCGTGTGTTCTGGTGTGATATGGTGGAGTGGGAGCAAGAGCTTCCCACTGTCACTGTTGAAGTGTTCGAAGAGACAGACTCTGACTCGCAGGAGGCTGAGCTCCCCACTGTCACTGTTGAAGTGTACGAGGAGGCAGACTCTGACTCGCAGGAGGCGCAAGATGACGATAAGCTACCTGAATCTGCTCAGCAATGATCTCCCTTGGCTTTGCGTCTTTAACTAAATTTTTCAATTGGTGGACTGGCTGACTGAGAAAGGATAGGCATCAGAGCGACGCAACGAACGAACGCTTGGCGCATGCTGGTTGGAGTCCGGATTGTTTGGGTTCATTGTTGGGAAAGGTATGTCTCTTTGCTTATTCTGCGATCTTGGAGTTGCGTGCGGTGGCTGGTCGAATGTGTCATTTCATCACAGTAATACAAATGGGTATAATTTATTCTTGTTCACAGTTCCCTATGACAAGAAATGCAATTCATTGTAATGGGCTGCAGTGACAACAGCCTCAGCTATTATCATTAAACATACTGAAGGAGACGATGGTGAATCGACACACTCCGTTCCGTCTATGCATATTCTATATTGTACTCTATGCATGTCAGGATACATAAGATCGTTCATTTCTCATATCATCATGAGGGTCATTGCTGAAAATCGGGTGTCGCCGGTCGAAAAAGCCCTCTATCAAGGTTAATGTCGTATGGCCGTTATGACAGGTGAAAAAAGTCTTCGCGCTCGAGAGGCCGTCAATCAATCCAGATCACGTCGTCAGCAGGACTTGTCGATTTTTGACCATCATCACGACTGCGCATAGGCAACGAATCTGTAGACTGAGCCTTTGCACCCTCCCACGCAGTTTTGATGGCTTGCACCATATCCCAAACCGCTTGTCTGGCTTCTTGCCGTGCTTTTCCCGCGTCGAGAAGGGATTCGTAAGGCGTATGCGTATGCCTGATGTGTGCTTCCACAGCCAAATCGGCCTTTTGTTCGTCTGTTTTCCTTGTCGTTCTTCCTACTCGTCCAGAGCACTTCAGGAAAGCGTGATCAACAATAGTCTCCAGGGACTCAGCTGGCATGAGTGGAAACTTGTTGCGCAGGATTTGTCTAGCTCGCGACAGGTCCTTTTCGTCTCGTGTCTTGACAGCATGAGCACGCGAATGGGCAGTCGCTGCAGCGGATTTGAGAACAGCAGCGTACACATCTCTCGGTACGCGGAGTCCAATATTTCGTTTTCCGGCATTGTCCTGTGATGCGTTAGATGATGGAAGCAGAACGCGCGGGCAATCCTTACATAGACGACGTAGACTATCCGACGGGACTCTTTGGTCTGAGTCCGACAGTGCCGCGTAATATAAACATCGCCCTTTGGCACAAAGACATAGTTGTCCTGCAAGGGCTCCCTATCTAAGCAATTCTGTTGGGACGAAGCGTCAGCTGAACTAGAGCTGCAAGCTAAGCTAGGACCTTGCCGTCGGATCTATAGCGCCACAGTCATAGGATAAAAGGAAACAACAATCATACCTCTTCAAGAGGTTCCATCGAAGCAGGAAGTCTAACAAACTTTGAATATTTTAATGACTGTTGATTACCACAATTTCTTGCGGTGTTGGCATCAGGGTTGCCCGTAGTACCGAAAAGTCCGCCCTGATTGCGCGCTTTCGAAGTGGTCTTTCTTCGTACTTCGGCTAAAATAGATTGAGGCGATTTAGGTGAAGCGAATCCATTCTTGACGCGAGTCTTTCGACGCCGAGCATGTTTCCGGGGCCCTTTCCTGCGGCCTGATGGAAGCGACATTTCGGGTTTACTGGCAATGTGGGGATTTGAGGGACTGAAAATAAAATAGGCTTAAGTAGGTGGTCTCCAAAAAGGTACGCAAAATCCTCGAAGTATCTGACTCATGGCACGGTTCATTCACCGACCAGCTGTCTCATGCTTCGAAGCGAGCGGTGGCTTGTCAACAAAGAAAAGACAACGGGAAGGCATTGAGCCCATACATGGAATCAGGTACAAGTAAACTGAGGACTAATGTACCAGTCAAGGTACCCTGAGGATTCTCACGACCAATAATGAAAAGGTAATCGAAGCATCAATAACGAATGGGAGACTCTTTTGAAATCCTTGCTGCCCATCGGGTTCCTTGGCGGGGTGCAAAGTGTGGCTGGAGATGTGGCAATGCAATGATAGTCTGCCTTACTTTTCGGGTAAATGTATACAATGAGGCACGCTCAACTCTCTATCTCCTCATCATACCTACAACTAATAACACCACAACTTCTGCCTATAGGTACTCTGTGTCCTGCAGTGGCCAGTCTGTCCGAATCTCAGTTGATATCCAAGACTACATTAGTCAAATGGTTTCGCATTTCTCCAGGATTCCATCCCTGAGGCGTAGAAGACAATTGCTTTGTCCCTATCGGGGTCGCAGAATGTCATCAACTGCTAATCTTCGATTAGCTTGCCATGTTTCATGATAATGGGGAAGTCAAAGTAGCTTGTGTTATGCCATTGCTCATCTATCCTTTGAGCTGCTAAAGGTTGCTCGAAGGACCGTTGGCATTGATCTTCATATGAATGTCTCATTCGCCAGATGTTCGTTATCTGGCAAATGCGCTTACATGCCGGATCGTGACAGGATGGTGAGTGTTGCCGCGGTGATATAGTAGTACTTCTGCTTTCCAAGGTTCCATTCTGTCACCGCTGTGAGGATCTGATGTGCTGTAGACCCCTAGCGACCATGGCACTGGAATCATCGGTATAGCGGATGGGGCTACTGTCTCAGCAACCCTCAAGAAAGAACCACTGGCCTCCTGAAATCTTCAATCATCTTTACAATTATACGTAATAGCAGCTTGTGCTAGTTCAGAAACTGCAAAATTCAGTTAAGACGATGCAATGGTGCCTTGTCATGTGTTTCGGACGCCGATCCGTCTTGTGGGCATGGCGCCTAGATTGACAACAGGTCTTCTCCAGCTACATCATTAGTCTAATGTATAAAACTGATTTGGAGTGCGGTATTCGAAGACTCGAGGTCACTCATGTGATTCTCTGAAGATGATCTTCAAATCCAAGACCATTTGATTCCTTCGAGAAACATTGTCAATGGCAAGATGAATCCGTCAGTACTTGGTATTGGGCTCCTCGGGCACGAGCTTGGTTGTTGATACAGGTTGAAAACTGGGAAGTGGGAAGAACAAGTTTGCTGCCTTCTGGGGCCGAGCTCGGAGATTCCTTCATTATTAACTATGGCGTACGGAGTACAGAAAGTATATATCTACTCCGTACTTCATAAAAGATCGCTTGACGATCTCTAGTCTTGCGAAAGATCGAGGATTTACTCCATACTAGCTGTCCCCATTCTGCATGCGCTGCCTTAACTGTTATCGTGGGATTACTCTATGTGGTCAGGGGTTATGTCGTCATTGTACCCATTTCATCTCAATTGCCAACACCAACGTCCCGTGTCCACTTTTCGGCCATGTGGGCGAGATCAAGGCTGGAGGCTGGAGCTGAAAAGAACAAGCTAGTCACGATAGCCTCACCCATCTGGCCATTGGAATGTCACTAATAAGCGGCCCAGGTCCTTAGCGAGTCTTACCCCGGCGAGCAGCTAATCGCAACTAGGTAACGGAGTACAGGGCTCGATCTCGACTTTCCCCGAATTTGGTCCGATCAGCAGGATGGTAAGGGGGAAAGCCTCGGAGGGGCAACGCATGCAGTATTCCTAAGTCAACGGCTCCTGGTTGAACTAACATATAGATAATTGTCTAAATCAGTAATAGTAATGATCGCGAATCTCTGACGGAAATAGACCTTCATGCCGACGTAACGACGTCCAATGGATTCAGCCGAAGGGGAGCTGCCCCTGCAGGTGAAAAGGACAACTGGAGATCGTGATGGAGATGAAGGTGGGGCACAGCTGAGACCCACTCTTGTCAAAGGTTTCTTGTCATCGGAGTAAGTGTCTTGTACCTTGCCCTTACTTGAATCGACGACGTGGCTAAAAAGGATGGGACATCCAGAAAAGTCCGCAATTATCAACAATTAAAAGCTCAGCCAGCCTGTCATCTTTTAGTGTTGCTTCTCCTCAGCTCATCGGATCCATGTACATCTGAGCACTGGACAATCAGAGGATGACAGCCGTTCTCCAATTGGTGGGAAGGTGCTGTCGCTGACGGAGTACTCCGCAAGGCACAACACCGATAGCGTTCCAATTCAGGGATAGCGTTCCCTTGTTGCCTCGCACAGCTGACGGAAATTGTCCTTGAATCTTCATTCGATAACCACGCTTAGTGATTAGAAGCACCTTGTCCGATTATGCGTGATATCTCACCATGCCGGTAGGTTGTTCTATACGCCATATGAGAATCGAAACAATTATTCTCCTTTTCGTTTCGGGCCAGGATAAGAACATGGCATGATAAGAACATGGCATGATAAGAACATGGCATGATAAGAACATTGATGACCTCATATCACGTGAGTTTCAACCTTAATTTGAGAGCTCACAGGACGCTAGTCCAGAAAGGGTTATATTGACTCGGAGGTTTGGCGATCTTGAGACAGCTCTCAAGTTATTGTTTTCGACCTTACTTGCGATGCAGATCCGTCAATTTAGTATCTCTGGTTGTCTTTGACCATCTGCAGAGTGTCCATGATAGTATCCTGAAGGCTCAGCGACTCAAATATACCGTGGCAGAGGTTGAGAGGCGGCCAAACATCTACTTCACTCCATGTTGCAAAGGAGACTGTCACGAGTCTCGAGCATGCGACTAATTGCAGACAACCAATGTATCCTTTGGGAAGTAGACTGTTGGTACGATAATTCTATTGCGCGGCTTTCAACTGTGAATCTGCCGGTTCAGCGACCACAGCAGGAGGGGTCCCGAACTCGTACAAACGAACACCAGTGAGGGCCGACTCGTAGCCATAGCATGCATCTCCGGCTGCACATGAACGTTCCAATGCTGAATGATATCTTCTTCATCAAGGACAAGGGGGTCTTTATACTGCTATTTCGAACTTCGTTAAGTCCATGGATCGGAAAGTCCTGAACCCGCGAGAAACAACACTATACATGATCAGTGATGATGCAGTAAGTCATATTGGCGGGCTGGGAGATAACCTACCTTTGGTCATTCATGTCCTTTCGCACGTTAGGGTTGTGATGACGATGTCTACATCCAAGAACAACTTTGACTCGGTAGCTTCCGTAGCCACAAGGCTGCCTTGGTGCCTTGGGCATGTGCGACCCGGTCGGAATTGCACATCAACCTGGCTCAGCAAACAGTTTTCATAACAATCAATTGAGTCTTGACCAGGTTCACCATCTTGAATAGACAGGAGTACTAGAGACTTTGATGGATTGAAAGATCAAGAACTTGCCGACTTGTAGCACAATCATCCACAGATACCTTCATATCCGAGATTATCTCACGAAAACTATATTCTCCACTAAGTAGAACAAGACACCATCGGCGAAGTGGAGGGGAATCGGGCTGGAGCTTCCGTTTGGCCTGATTAATTTATTGTTCATGATTTGCAGTCCCAGTCTGATCCAGAGAACGGTATTTCTGTTAAGTGATCGCAAAAAAGAAGTGCGTAGCGGTGGATCTGCGGATGGGAAAAAGAAAAAATTACATACAGTGTCTAAATTATTACAAACAGAGGAAAAGAAAAACACACGATTTCCTCCCCTCTTGGATTTCTTTCATATTAATTCTCGAAGCTTTTTCTCTCCTGCTCTCTTCCTCTCTCTCCAATCTCCTCTTTTCCTTCCTTTTCTCTACAACCTTCTAGACCAAGGTCAAAGGGTAAAGACATAGATAAAGGGCAAGCAACGATAAAGACATACCTCCGCTTCTCCCTTTGTTCCAGGGCAGCTCCAACCTTCCCCTCGAGCCTCTGGATCCCTTCGATTGCCCTCCCTTGTCCTGTCATAGCTCCGATATCCTTTTCCTTTCTACTCTTCTCCTCGCTATTAAATCTGTTATGTACTCTTTGAGAATACAAGATATGTACTAGATAATCGGTACATCTTGTCCTAATCTCTCCTTGTTTCACTCAAGAGGGGGCTCACATTCTTTCTACATCCGTCGTCCGGCCCGGTTGCCTGCTTGGCTTCAATGACACTGAAAGTGCACATTACTCGTCCGCTCATTATCGTTCACCGAGCCTCTCTCTTTTCGGACATTCCTCAGCGCCCGAGGTATCTGGACGACCTCTGATTAGGTTGCCTGGCAGCTCGAATTGAATGGTTGCTGGGATCACTGGGTTGCTGACATGAGTTGGGATAACCCTGTCCACAGGTATGGCTCAAAGTCTTCTACGCACATACCATTATCTCCTTACGAACTGTGAATCCTCTCCCGGCACTGGCGGGGTGAATTCGCATTGTGCGTGCCTCTCGTCAGTCGCTGCTTTACTACGAGCTTGCCCTTTTTTCCCCCATTCTTCACTGCTTGATACATACAATAAAAACTTGCTCGGCGAAACCGCCTGACTCCCTATGCTATGGACTCCGTCCCAGAGTGGTTCCGTGAGAAGATGATACTGACAGAGCCTTCGCTCATGTTTAGCTTCAGCTATCCAAACGGTGAACCTCAGACACCGACGAGGACTCCTACAACTACAGTGTTCGGTGATTCCGCCTTTCAGACACCCAAGCTCGAATCTAGTTTTTTCGACCCTCGAGTTACCTGGGACACGTCAGATCCTTATGCGTCGAGTCCGGAGTTCCTTCGAACACCCCAGCGATTCGGCTTGAGCACCCCTTCGAACGCACTACGACTGCCAGACACGGTCCCGGGTCGAACTGGAGGGGTGGATGCTTTGCAGGGCTTGGAACAGGAGACTGATACGGCCAGAAGAGTACGGTCCGCAAAACCTAATGGTGGCTCAGGCGAGGACGGTCCTCGGACCGTAGACTCTGCAAAGTCTGCTGCTTCAATGCAAACTCCACCCCCAAGCAGTGCATCGAGAAGGAAAATAACCGGGTTGGACAATGTCATCGACACAAACAGAAAGCACTCTCCGCATGGTGGTCATCTGGAGACTCCTAGCCGCTTACTAGGTGCTTCGCCCAGGTTTTTTGCGGGTCTCCAGTCCTCTCCAGACCCTTTCGACCTGGCGGCGATTGATCCGTCTGCCTCGCCTTTCTTTCCTCAGCAGAGGTTGTTTTGGGACAATGATATCGAGCAGCAGGGGGAAGCCTGAGTTTGTCTGGGAACAGCATGAACCCCTTCGACTCGAGTGCCCCAACTTCTGCCAATCAGGGCCATAATCAAACGTTGCAGGACGCTCGAATTCCGCAACTACCAGCGATCGACGTCACCCTTGACCTTCCCGAAGTTCACGGTCCCACGTATAGTCTCTCTGCTGCTCCTTCCGATGCAGCCCTGTTCCCAGCTCCTTTCTCCACTTCGCCCCGTCTTCCTATAGCCAAGGCCGAAGATCCGGCTTTGTTTCTCTCTTCACCAGCCCGCCGTTTCGGCGGCCCTCAGCTCAGCCCAGATAAGAGACTCTTTTCTAAGCAACCCAGACAACCATATCACCACCAGACTGAGGAATTCAAGCGAGAAGAGCTTCGCCGTGCGCAGAGCATTAACCATTCTCTCACAGGCTTCGACGAGGAGGAGGACGATGATGATGATTTTACTCCTCGTCGATCCCGGCCGGGGCTCGCTCGCAGTGTGACTCATGCTGCTATAAATGCTCCCCCTCCGCGTTCCGTATCGGGACAGTCTGCGTCTGGAATGATGGCTTCCAGCAGTGGCATTCGCAAAAGCCCGTCCAAGGGACGGTCCTCCCCCATCAAACCCCTCCGTCAACAACTCACCAGAGCGAATACGGTTGCGTCTGGGTTTCCTACTCGCTCTCAGTCGGTGATTTTAAGAATAGGCAAGGATGGTAGAGCAAAGACCGAGATGCAGACCGTTGCTGAGGCATCCACCGGCCTGACAGACCCTGTGAGTGGAATGGAGATTGACCGATTCGCAACTGAGAATGAATTCGACTCTGCCGATCTTTCCGAGTACCCAATTGTTCCTACCCGCAACTCGTCCTTCGCATATTCGGACGTCGGCGAACCTACTGTGGCCCACAGTGACTCTGGCTCCCGGCCCCATTCGAAGGGCTCCTATACCTCCACTGCTGCCTCATCCCAATCTGGTAGAGCGTCACCCTGGGCTAGTTCTTCTCGAGTCCCTGCGAGACGGCCCGTGTACCGAGCGGATGAGTGGAATAGGACAACTCCCAAGCGGCAGTCGATGTTGATAAACTCGGATCTCACCTTCCCTAGCGTTGGGACCCCTTCGGGACTCCTTCCTGAGAACGAAGATGATTCTGGCGATGCCCAGCACGCACTTCGAAAAGTTCTTGAAGGAAGAGGACGACTTCCACGGTCCCAGACAATCGGCTATGGGTCACGGTCCAATAGGTCCTCACTCTCCTTTGCACATCTACGCTCGTCTCCCCCACGCTTCGGTGGGGATCTTGACCTGAATTCTCGGCCACCTAACACTTCCCCAACCACCATGACAGACCCCGACCTTGCTACTCCGACCACTGAACGCTACAGCAACCCAAGCAATAGCACCAGATGTGTTTGCCAGTCCATGGACAATGGCGGCCATCTCATGATCCAATGGTAAGCGAACATCAGCTTCGTTCTATTGTCATCTTCGCTAACCCCTCACAGCGAATCGTGCAACCATTGGCTCCATACCAAGTGTGTCGGACTTGAGCGGTCGAATCTGCCGTCTGTGTATGTGTGCGTATTTTGCGCCCAGACACCGACTAGGAAGAACCGGGTTCGAGGTCCAGTCAGTGCCACCGAACATGCGCCAACTTCACCTCTGGCTCATAAATCCTTCCGATTCCGGTAATTCCTCCGGTTCTCGCTTTTCAACTGGATCGGCCATTATTTCTCTCTACTATCATGTAATCATCACGAATACGAAGTCAGTGGTCATGACTAGCGTCAACAAGAGCCCTCTGTTCTTTGAAAGGCTCCTCCAAACTCACATTGTTTGACCTTTTGGACCATCCCTAATGTCTCTTTTGTCCGTCGCTTTATCAGAATCATTAGACATACCCCATTTTCGCTGGAGGGCATCAGTTTCCACCAACCCTGCATACCCAGTCTGTACTGACATGATGTCAATGTGTCACAGTCGTGATTACTGTCATAACTTATTTCCTATTTGCTTCAATATGTGTTGGGGTTTGTCTGCCCCACTGAGTGATACCTATGTACTACTGTATCTAGCATTTCCGTTCAATCATGTCCATGACCCCTTACATCTGGCCTTGTACCCCGATGTAGTAATCCATAGTTGTATTCGTTTGTCCTACATTTGTCCGGAAGGCGGTGACACAATTAAGGAACCACATCAATTGGTGCAGCATGATTGGCTGAGTCCCCCGCTTATCGGCTCACCGCCCTTGATAGTGTTTGTGGTTCCCCGATCAATTATTTTCGTTTTCCGTCGGTGACTCCTCCCCAGCGCCTTCTGCTCAACATCTGCTCTGCTTCATTCTTTTTCTCTTTTTTAGTCTGTCGTTCTTAGTATTGACTGTCTTTCTTTGATTTGCAGCCATGTCCGCGTCGCTTCCCGGCAACCGGGACCCTCCCGCGTCGCAGTATGATCTGAACACTTACTGGGGTCGTGTGCGCCATGCGGCAGATATCTCCGATCCAAGGTGCGCATTCCAACAGCCTGTCTCAACTTGCTGTATTCCAACTGACATATACCGTAGAATGTTGTTCGTATCCTCCTCGGGACTAGAACAAGCGAAGCGCCTTATCTCGTCTTATAAGCAGAATCATGTCCCTGTTATGACTCCCGAGTTATGGCGGGCGAAGAAGGTGGTGGACTCTACATTGCATCCAGGTGTGTTTGCAGTATTTGGTCGCTTAATATAAGTTTGGGGTTGTCTAACTTTGGCTTGTCAAGACACTGGCGAACCGGTTTTCCTTCCCTTCCGCATGTCGGCTTACGTTCTTTCCAACCTGGTGGTGACGGCGGGCATGCTTACGCCAGGACTGCAGGTATGAACCATGGGTCTTTTGAATGTTGGAGAGGCATCACACTGACTGTATAGACTACCGGAACGCTTCTGTGGCAGATCGCCAACCAATCGCTCAATGTCGCCATTAACAATGCGAATGCGAATAAGTCGACTCCCCTGTCGGTATCTCAGATGGCCAAGTCATACTTAATGGCGGTATCGGCGTCATGTTCGGTGGCTCTGGGTCTCAATGCCCTGGTCCCTCGGCTGAAGAACATTTCTCCCAACACAAAACTCATTCTCGGCCGTCTGGTGCCCTTTGCTGCGGTTTCCAGCGCCAGTGCGCTCAATGTGTTCCTCATGCGTGGCGAGGAGATTCGCCAGGGCATTGACGTCTACCCTGTCCTTTCTGAAGAGGAGAAGAAGAAGCGCGAGGAGACCGGTGAGCCGATCCAGAGTCTGGGCAAGAGCAAGAAGGCCGCCACCATTGCGGTCGGGGAGACGGCCATCAGTCGGGTACTGAACGCGACGCCTATCATGGTGGTACCACCTCTGATTCTTGTGAGGCTGGAGAAGACGGCCTGGCTTAAGGCTCGTCCGCGCATGGTTACGCCGATCAATCTGGGTTTGATCCTGGCCACATCGCTGTTTGCTCTTCCGCTGGCCCTGGGAGCGTTCCCTCAGCGGCAGGCAATTAGCGCCCAGTCTCTGGAAGAGGAGTTCTGGGGCCGAGGAGGCAAGGACGGGCAGGTTGAATTCAACCGGGGTATGTAGATTTTGTGGGTATGGGACTCATCGAGCATTGCGTTGGTTCTTCGTTTCCTTTTGGCAGGGGCGGGAATCTGAATATAGAAGCCCTCATCCAGTGGCATGCACATGGATTGTTGATATCATATTGTTTAGCGTATAGACCATCTACATATATACACATATATACCACTGCTCTCGATGACTCCGTGGTCTTTGCACTCTGTAGAATATTCGACCCCATCCGTCTACTGTCTCACCTAGCACGCTGACCACGAATTAACTAACCGATGACTCACTGCACCAACCCACAACAATATATATATATAATACATCCCCTAACTCACACTATCCAAACCACTACCTCAAAAAAAAATATACCTCAATCCAACTCACAAAAAATGAAAAGCTCATTCCCCCCACCCTTCCGCACCGCCCGCCTCCAATTCGACCCGATGGTCGACGCCGACGCGGCAGGCATCCACGCCATCCGCGGGTTGGAAGAGGTCATGATATGGAGGTATTTATATCCTATCAATCACCCCGTCTATCAGATTTGAGAATGGAGAGGATGGTTACTGAAACAAGACAGTCACAAAAAGGTCCCTGATGCGGATCTCGCGACGACGGAAAAATGGGTGGAGGAGTATCTGCGGCCGGAGCAGCGGGTGCCTGAGAATGTGGGGTATGTGATTCGGGAGATTGGGTCTGGGTCTGGGTCTTCTGCGTCTTCTGGGCCGGTTGGAGGGGGAGATGGAGATGGGAAAGGTGAGTTCGAGTTCGAGTTCGAGTTCGAGTTCCAGTTACTCGTCTTGTTTGCGGGTGTATGTGTATATCTATGTGTGCGCGGAGGCTAAGACAGGCAAGCAACAGGCCGGATCATCGGTTCTATTGGCTTGCGCTATGGGCTTGTTGAGGAAATGGGCGGAAAGCGCTGGGAGCTGGGGTATATCTTCCACCCGGACTTTTGGGGGAAGGGGTATGCGACTGAGGCTGTGAGGGGGTTGATGGGTGCGTGGCCGGGGATCTATCAGGGGATTACTTGGGGGGATGTGCAGCAGGAGAGGAGCAGGGAGGTGGTTGCTATCACGGACAAGGGGAATGAGGCGAGTATGCGTGTTTTGAGCAAGTGTGGATTTGAGGCTGTGGAGGAGTTTCTGGATGAGGCTGGGATGCCGTGTGTGGCTTTTGTTTATAGGTGTTAGTCTTATGGTTGGCTTTATGTTGATACCATGTTGTTTGTGTATATACATTGGGTTGAATGGCTAAATGGGAAGATCTGGCGGCCGTCTGCCCTGGATACCTCTCTCCAACTGCTCTGCAAGGTCTAGCAGGTCATCATCTTGCCATGGTTTGCCCATTAGCTCCAAACCGATTGGCACACCGAGAGTAGCGGACTCGGCATGAGGACTGAAACCAGCTGGACATGGTTAGCGGGTTCCTCCACAGCACATATTGTCATATAATTCACATACCAGGTAGACATATCGCTGGCCTTCCTGTCAACGCTGCTAGAATACCATTCCTCTGTGGCTGGACCATTGAACCGATTGAAGCGACCAGCTGTCTTTGGTGCGGGTAGACGAGGGCGTCCAGTTGATGTTCCTCGAAACACTTCTCTACAGACTTCTTCAATGCTGCAATTGTCGCAAGGCGAGACTCATACTCTGGACTTTGCATTGAATATGGCCCGTCCTTCTGCAATGTGCGGTAGAGGGCCGGTGTCACGGCTTCCTGGAGGTACTCGCCGCTGGCGACGATGGAGTCCAGTGATTCATGGGGCGTGGACGCGATCAATGGCGATCGTAGGAAGGTGTCGAAGACACTACGGAACTCGTATGCTTGCATGTCCGCTGAGGAAATGAGCGCGGGAACGTCCCAGTGAGCACTCTCACGACAGAGCGTGACGAGCTCAACTTGCAAGTTGGCTCTAGCTTTATCCAGCGCGTTCAGCACTCTCTGGTTGACAATTGAGCCTTCAGTGTCATTGTCATCCGCGAAGAACGATCTCAAAACGCCAATTCGTCTGCGGCTACCACCTGTCCCAGAGTCACGCTCTGTTGCGTCACGTCGACAATCGATAGTAGCCTCGTCGCCCTCGTCTTCGCCCTTCATCACATCGAACAATACCCGGACATCTTGCACCGTCCGTGCCATCGGCCCAGCCACATCCTGCGTCTCAGTGACAGGGATGATGCCTCTCCGCGAAATCTGTCCCCTCGTCGGTCTAAATCCGACGATCGAGCACGCCGACGCAGGCGAGCGTAGCGAATTCATCGTGTCCCCGCCGCAGCCTACGAGAGCCAGATTCGCTGCTAGAGCAGCAGCCGTCCCACCTGACGATCCGCCGGGTGTCCGACTGAGGTCGTACGGGTTCCGCGTCTGACCTCCCAGCGAAGAAACAGTGACGCCCTCCAGCGAAAGTTCGTGAAGATTGGCCTTGCCGAGGATAATAGCGCCTGCACGACGTAGCTTCGTAATGACGAAGGCATCGGCTTTGGTTTGTAGGGAGTGGAGGGCTTTTACTCCGGATGTTGTGGGCATGTCGATGGTGCTGTAAGTGTCTTTCAGGATGACGGGGACCCCGTGAAGGGGCGGAAAGGCGTGGTCTTTCCCATGTCGCTGTAGGAGTGCCTCTGTTTCCTGGTCCTTTTGTCGGGCGACGTCCAGTGCATCCTTGCTGACAGTTATTAGAGCTTTGAGCAGGCTATTATACCGTGATATTCGATCGAGGTATGCTGTCAAGACCTCGGCGCAGGTCGTCCTCCTCTCGCGTAGAGCATCATGGTACTCTGATATCGTAAGTTCTTGGACGTCAATGGAGCCTATGCTGCCCATGTCTCCCTTTTCCTTTGAACAGGGCGAAATCAGTCCATTTGAATCCTAAGTGCACGCGAGGATATATCAATTCGCCCATGAATGAGGGGTAGTGTATATCTGAGGACCAGGACTAGTGATCAGTGAGTTGGGGTCAGCGATTTGCAGGCGTCTATCGGATTACGGTGGACTGAGTTCAACTAGATAGCGTCATGCTACCTCTCTATTAGTCCGTCGTTGTGCTTCACATCGATGTCTTCCATGACCCGGTATCGCCATCCTTCCTAATGGCATTGTCTTCGGCCGAAGACGAACCGCAGCATCCTATCATTTGAGACCAGGTATACTCGCTCAAATTGAAACTGATAGTTCTGTATTCAGTTGCGTTAACCCCACTTACTCCAATTCCTTTGGAGGCTTGGAGCATGGATCAACTAGTGCGACTGTTGATTGCTAGTTGCGGAGACGGACCCTCGGAATGGTGTGGCGTCCCCGGGTTGATAACAATGGCTGATTGAGAGAGGGGCAACGTGCTATCCTGGAAAAAGGCTGCGCATGCCGTCTTGTAACCAAGACGAAGATAAGCTGTGGTTGATGGTGTTGGCTATGTTGACAGCTGCATCAAACGAGAAGGTAGATTTTATCCATTCGTTTTATCAGTGCAGCTGCGCCAATATCGCTGCACCATAGAACGGTAAGTACTAGATGTATGGAAACCGATATACACGAAAATGAAATATCCATGGCAGATCCATGTAGACGACTACTGTATCATGTCGCCTATAAATGACTCGATCCCAAATAATGCTCTGTTTGCCAAGTCTCATCTGTGCCAAACACCCGCTCCCATTGAAAGCTTGCCAATATAGAGTTGAATACGCCGCTTAAATAGAACACCGGGTCAAATAAAAATGAGTGGTAAATCAAGTCGAAGAAGAGAGACTGAGGCATAGCCCCCATGCGAATGTAAAGTAAGCCTGTATCATATCACCGGCGCCCAGAAGTAATGAATAATAGTAGACAAAATGCGCGTAGGGTGATGGATAAACCATCCCGCTGCTCAAGAAGGGACAGATTGAATGGATGATTGAAGAAGGGCGAAAAAAATAAGATGAAATAAAAAGCCGTCCACGCAAGCCCATAAATCCAGGATATAACCCTTAAAAATGAAATAAGATAGAAAAAAACATATATGTCCTCCGTGATCGCTGACTCCAGGGTATGCTCTGGAGTTCGAGTACCCTTGCTCTTTCTTTTCTGCTGATTTCTTCAAGTTCGAAACAATCATGAATCACAGATGGGCCCTTGTCCACGTAACTGAAGCCCGCCAAATTGCATCCCATAGTCCTCGTGTTAAGCACCAAACTCCGTAGTCACATAAGATATTGTGCGTAGAATATGCCCCGTGGGCCAAGGTAACGTAGCCGTCGTTGACTTCGCAACATCTGCTCAAGCTCGGTCACGTCAATCAACACTATCCAAGAAAAGCAAGAGTCCTTCAACGTCGCGTATCCTTAGACAACGATCATGGCTGCAACTATTAAAACCCGGACGTGCCCGAGATGAGAGTACCAGCGATGTTGCCACTCTTCGAGGTTAAGTATCGAGACGGCTAGCTGCGTTGACCGCCGTTGCGTTGCAACTGTTGACCGATGCGAAGAGCCTCGGTGCCATCATCAATCAAAGACTCCTTGAACCACGGGTGCTTCAGAGCCTCTTTGGCAGTGATACGGTTCTTGGGGTCATAGACAAATATCCGCTGAAGAAGGTCAAGGAACAAGCGATGGAATGTTGTGCTGGTGGGGATGAAGTCCTGTGCGGCTCGTTAACGGCTGCTGCGTAAAAAAGAATGCTCGCAAATAGACCTACAGTAAGCTGCTTCATAGCCCTCACATACTTGCGCGAGGCTCGTGTCGTTTCCTCATTAGGATAATCCAGCTTGTTTCGGTTGAAGTATCTGGGCTGAAGTCAGCATCAATGTCCTCACAGAAGCGTAATGGTTCGGAACGTACTTGGCCGCCTGGTTCTGACTTCCGTTTCGACCTCCCTGGGTTGTTTGCTTGACCAGCTTCGTATCGATCTTAGAGCCAATAACCGCCTCCATCATGGCAAGGTGTTCTAGGTTGTCGTGCGTCTGGAAAAGGGCATCCCCGGTGAAGAACTCCACCAGAATGCAGCCGATACTCCAGATATCACACGGAAAACTCCAGCCTAGATTCAAGATAATTTCGGGAGCACGGTAATGTCTCGTGGATACCACCGACGAGTGATACTCATCATCAAAAGTGGCAGACCCGAAATCGATGAGACGGATTTCACTGTCCAGCAACACACGTCGCTGACGGGCATTCCGTGAAACTGCGTGTGAAGAGGATGGAATCGTTCGGTTGTAGGTGAATGTCTGGTATGCGTTGCTAACGAGGAGGATGTTCTCGGGTTTCAGATCGGTATGGATGAGGTTAAGGTCATGAAGGACTGGAATTGTCAGTATGAAACTAGCCAGAGACGAGTACAAACCGCAGGGTGACTCACAGGCTACGCTCGTGAATAGCTGCCGAGCGAAGTTCTGAATCTGGCTACTGGGAAAGGGCACAAAACCGTTGCCTTTGAGAAAATCAAAGACGCTCTGGCCCAAAAGATCTGTGACAATGCAGATATGATTTCGGAAATCGAAGCAATCACGTAGGTGAATGCACTTGTTTCGGTTCGATTTATCATTCGAGGCCAACGTCGACAGAACCCGAAGCTCAATTCTGGACGCGTCACGGTATTTCTGTATCGATCGAATGATCTTGACTGCGCAGCGAGTCTTGCGCTGCTTGTCATATGCTTCAACCACTTTACCGAATGTACCTTGTCCTAGAAGCTTGATGATTGAGTCTGAAAAAATTAGCATCTGTTGCCATGCGAAGCAAATCAACTGGTACGAAAACTCACATCGATCTGTCAATGGCGTATCTGGCGTCACAATGTAGTGACCGTCATCATCGTCATACTTCTCATGGCGATTTCCATACTGCAGAGAGTATTAGAGAGTGCATCCAGATACAGAACCGTTAATACTCACATCTCGAACAACAGGCACTGGGACTTCCTTCGCCTTGATCGGTGGTTTGGGAGGGGGGATGTAGCTGAGGAATGCATCACCAGCAGTTTCCAATTCCCGCCGTTTCTGCTCATCGCGGGCTGACTTGCGTGTTGTCACACGTTTCCGCTTCTGGCCAACATTGGCGTCTTCATAATATACACCGTTGGTAGCACCCGCACTGCCCTGCGAACCCAGGGATGTGGGAGCGGTTGTATGTAGGGAAGTCGTGCGGTCTGTAGAAATGGAGGCTGCGGAGGACTCTTCACCATATTGCTGAGGAATGGTGGAAAATGATGGACGGTCGTAGTATCCCAGGTCATAGGCTGATTCAATTCCAGTGCGCCTTTTCTTGCCGGCAGGTTGGGCCATGCCGCCGTTCGAGGCTGCTGCCGCAGTGGTACGGGACTTGCCCTTGGCCTGTTCTGGAGGAGGCGTATCATCGATCACAATGACCTCTTTGGGAATGCCATTTTTATAAAACTCGCCCCAGTCAGGCTTCTTCTTCCTTCTGCTTTGTTCTGACCCGGCTGTGCCCGTGCTGACTTCGCTCTGAGCCGATGGCATGGCTGCTGGGGTGGACGTAGGCTGTACCATTTTCGAAGATTGGTTATAAGGAAGGGGTGCGGTCGAAGGAGGGGCGGCGTACGGGTAGGGTGCGGTGGCTAGGTGAGTAGTCCCTGTAGCGGTTGTGACGGGAAAGGAGGCGTTTGGCTGGTAGGCGTGGTGATGAGGAAATGCGTAGTGTTGCTGGTGGTGCGTGAGATGCGTTGCAGTGGCCGTTGAGGGTGTAGACATGATGATCTGAGGCACTCCTGCTGGTTGTAGGAGTGTCGGATGGTGTAGGAAAGCAAAAGGATTGAGAAAGGAGAGTCAACGTATCCGATCGGTTGATCGTGAGCCCGTTCGATCAACTCGATGGACTAGGCCGGAGACCCAGCGTATATTTTGAAATTGAATCCCTCAAAAGAAATACAAACCCCAGATTATTTGACCGACAGCAAGGCAGGCAGTTTCGCGAGGAAGAATATGTGGAAAGCGAACAAAAGGAGGACGGGCTTCTCAACGAGCAGAGAAGTGTCGATGCGTGGAGATGACGACTGGACGAGGCGGTCGGTCGGGGGAAATGTTCGGTGGTATTCAGAACGTCTTAGTTGCTTTTCAGCAGTGAGAAACAGAAAATTAAAACACCATTGGTTTGAGGCGGAGAACATCTATCCAGGAATAAAGACAAGACGGCGATGATGATGATGTTGAAACGTGTGTTTGAGGCGAGAAATTGGGAGGGGATGGAAGGGTAGACTTCTCTACTGGCGGACAGAGCGAGCGCGCGGCCGGAATGGAGATACTGTCGAGATTGGTTTTAGTCCTATTCCTCCTAACTACGGCTCCAGAGGACTATTCCGGACTGCTAACAGCAAAATCTACAGTAGAGTAACGAACTGAGGAATGGCAATGGCGCCTCGCCGCTCATGCGTTATTGTAAAGGCGAGGGCTTGCTCGTCTATGGCCTACACACAGGCAGCGCTGGGAGATTTTGCGCAAGAATTTTATCTAATGACTCTTTTCCTTAAAGGTAATGAGGAATTCGAAAAATCCATCTATCCTTGCTTCGCTGATTGTGCCTTTTTAGACCGTCTACAAAGTCCTGTCGCATCCTTCGCGTAAGCAAATGGCGCAGATCGCAAGGCTCATCTAATTCAGCCATCTAAATCCGCCGGGGGCAACACCGGCGGAGCCCATAGCGTCAGATGAATAATGTGAATGCGATGCTGATTGACCGCCTAGGACCAGAATGGCTGCGTTATGTCTGATTTCGAGCCACCCAGAGCGGGGTTTTCTGATAAACGATGTCCAAGAATCTGTCACAGTCGACCCAGGCTCATTTTCTTTCTGTTACTCCGCATTCACTACCACCCTGGAACATTCTCATTGTGAGGGTCATTGGAATAGCTGTGGCGATGGCATAGCAACTGCACCAATGGTTGATGCTGCCCGCCGTAGGGGCTGATCAACCTATGTCATGCGTTTCTTTCATACACTAACTAGTTTGGATATGGTGCCGTCCCTCCAGTGTGAACCCTCTTGGCCCCTCCACTTTCGGCCAACCCCTATGGTTACTACACTGACATCATATAATTCATCAGAGTGGCTCCTGAATGCACTCCATGACAAGCTAAGGATATATACAAAATATGTCAGGCACCGTGATCTCATGCTTTTGTGGTTTATACTGCTTGTATGTCCCCTTTGACCATCTCTTGTGTTTTCAGGAAGTGCAGAGTGAAGGTTGCAAATTGGGGTTTCGAATTTCTTACTCCGAGGTCTGAGAGATCCACATATCGACTATGGATCTAGTGAAGTGCTAGTACATATTTACCATCCACTTTGTCTGGGTCGATCTTGCAATATGCACTGATTCAAACAGGAAGAGACTCAAGATCTCGAGAATGATCATAGTGTTTACTTTTCATGATGATTGTATCCTTCCAGATATTGATTAGCCTCGTCAAGGCGCTAGATAAGGCGACGAGTTATCGTTGTTTAGGCTTCATGCTGGCGATGGAAGTCAAGCGCGGAGGACACAGGATCAATTGAGATTCGTAAGCCGTTGCGGAAATTTCGTAACAATTTGCTTTATTCTACATGAGAGGGTATAAGCCAGGTAGTTCGATAATAACGATTCTGCATTCCAAGGTGATCGAATCATTTTATGTGATCTGAATAACAACAGAGTAGAATGCAGTGCCCCTGTATCGCCTCATGAAAATGCATACATAAAGACACAAAACCTATGCCTCGAAGAGCAGGAGAACATGCCATTTGAATGGAAGGTGAACCGCAACGCCAAGAACGACGAACCTGCGTAGTAACTGCGCGGAGCTCGAAACATAGATTAATAACAACCTCTGCCACTTATCTCGGTGACAGACAACTGGATATGAGAGGAGCTAAACGAACTAGTCCGCCCGGTCTTCTTTGATATCCTTGGAATACGCTTTCTGCACATGCCGGGAGCCTCTTCCATCCATTTCGAGCATGAACAAGATATCGCGGACTTGAATTCCAGCACCCTTCGCTTTGTCTTCCCGCCAGGTCCCAAAGTGTTTAGTAGGGACAGGAGCTGGCTCTCCAGTGCGGCCAGTCTTCTCCGCGCCAGTGGTGAGAGGTGCGGTATTGACTCGTGACGGAGTGGCGAAGCCACTGGGAGTAGCCGAGCCTCGATTCAGCCATGAGTATGATTTTTTGGCTCCGAACATACGGCCAGACAGCATGCTATTCGTGGCTAATCGGGCAGTCTCCACAGATTGCTGATGTTGCTGAGCCTCGCTGGCCTTTGCATCCATCAGTTTCCTTGCTTCCTTCTTCGACAGACCTTTCTTGTCGATGCTCGGGCTTTTTCTGCGATTGGAGTCGATGCACCGGAACCTGGCACGTCGACAGAGTCCGCTCCGGGCAAGACACCTTCCCCGAGGATAGCGTTTGCACTGCGCTTCGCGCGTTTGGCGGCACGAGCCTCTTCACTGGACACGTCCTTCTCCATGAGTAAACGATATTTCTCTGTTAAGGTCGCCGCTGGGTCAGTCGCCGAATGAGGCCCTTCGTGCTTGTTAGCATCCGAAAAATCACCTGATCTGAATTTGATGCTTACGTTTGAGTGGTGTCTGAGGGTTGTCCACACCACCGTTCACTGAGCCAGATGATTCTGCCAGGTCCTTCCATTCGATAGGAATCTTTCCATGAGAATGGGCTCGCCTGCTTCTCGCGAGTGTCGAGGAATAGTCGACCACTGTGCGCAACCGTTCCTCGCAAGCAATCGACATTAAATTCAATATATCGACCAAAGGGGCCCCCTCTTGGTTTAGGATAGTCTTCCCCGTACGCACGATAGACGAGCCATCCGGTCCAGTAACCTCAATAGGCTGAGGACGACCTGGCACGGGGTGAAATAAGCCCTCCGCCGGTATGCGAACACCAAGTTCAAAGCCGCGTCTCTGTAGCCTTTGCTCCAGTACCTTTGTCAGTAAGAAAGGCTCTTGTAGATGGTATTGTGCGCGTCTGGCTGCTTCGGTGTCTTCCCGTGTCGGCTCATTGGGGTCTTTGAACGGCGCAGGTGGTTGCGACGCCGGTTCGGTGTAGAAAGAGTCTTGTGTGGTTTGCGGCTTGAACTGGGACGGTTCGCTGAAACTGGGGGTGGTGGAAATTGTCCCGGTAGTAGAGGCTTGGGAGGCGAATGAGGTATTGAGGGCTAGTTGAGGTTGCTGTTGCGGTGGCGGTGGTAGTTGTACTCTTAAGGGCTGTTGCGCTTGAACACCTGGAGCCGAGTAACTACTCGTGAGAAAGGCCTCTTCTTCTCTGACATCAATTCCGGACGACGCCAGAACATCTGTTAACTCAGCAGCATCTGTCGCCTTTTCCACCGGCCGAGATGGTGGTCCCATTGTGCCCGGAGGTGGTGGCGGGGCGGGTGTTTGAGGCATCCCACTCATGTTGATTCCATTCATGGGAGTTGGAGTTGGTTGATTTGACGGTAGCTGCAAAGTCCCAAAGCTGGGAGATGCGTAGGGGGATTGGGATTGCGGAAGAGGAGAAAGGCGCTGTCGCTTAGACGGTGGAGGGATCCCGCCTCCATTGACCGGGGACGGTGCGCTAGGTGAAGGTGAGGATACAGGAGGAGACATTGACTGAGCAAACTGCTGAGGCTGCGTTTGCGCCATGATGGGCCAAATGCTTGGGCTTCAAGCCAGCAGATAGAAATGCGGTAGGTATCGAGAATGTGTCGCGACTATGAAGACGTCCGCGCGTGAGTTGAAAACGTGAGCGGACTGCTCGAACCGCCGCCGCCGCCAGCCGTAACCATCTCAGGACGCTTAGGTCGACATAAAATCGCGGGAAGCCGCCGCCGGGAGAGCCGAAACAGGTTATCGATCGAGGTTGTGGTGGTTGACTGACTTGAATGTGTTGCTTGCGGATGGGAAGGGAGCTTTTACTCGACGAGGTTTGCTTGCTCAGGATCCCGCACAGGGAGCTCGAGGTCACGTGCATGCTATGTCAGCAGAATCTCCGGGGAACAAGAGAACCTGCGGCTTCACTCTTTCAAAGCAGTTGTGAGCGAAAAGACCATCTGGGTGAAGGATGGTTCAGCTGTGTGTGACAGAAGTTGAGATTATCGATTGAATCATCTTTGCTGCATTGGTTCATGATTACTTTATCTTCTTTGCAATTCTGAAAGTCTTGTCATTATACGGTACTTGATGGCCGGTTTATTTCGCGCTGTTTGAGATACAAAACAGAGCAGTTTTCGAGATTGAAGATCCACAGTGCTTGACTCACGACTCTACACAACCTCTCACTCTACGATCTCATCTCTCAATGCTGTGAAATTGAGCCCTCATCTCATACTCTAGGCCTCACTTCATGGCGACCAAACGCAAGGCGTCGGCGTTGAACGCCGCCGTCGACGACGAACCCGTTGACCCATCTGATGAACTTGCTTTCTACTGCTTAGGCGGAGGTAATGAAGTCGGCCGGTCATGCCATATCATTCAGTACAAAGGGAAAACAGTGATGGTGTGTAGTGCAATCTCCCTCCTTGTTTGGCGACGATTAACTGATCGCCAATATAGCTCGATGCGGGCATGCATCCTGCGAAAGAAGGTTTTTCGGCTCTCCCATTCTTTGACGAGTTCGACCTGAGTACGGTTGATATTCTTCTCATAAGCCAGTACGTGGATTGTTCCTTCCCATCTGATACTTTACTTTTCCGACGGCGACCTTCGATGTTACATCGCACTCCAGCGGGGCCGCGTGGGCGTCGACATTTCAAGGCCCTTGCTGCAGTCTGTGGAGAACACTTCTGCTTCAGTGATACCGGTTCTAGATCCATGTACATGAACCATACAATACAATACATATCTGCTGTTAATTTTCCTGTTCTTGTTTGTATCTCGATTCTGGTGCTCGCACGGTGGAGGCCTCGGACACCATGGCATCCTAGCTTTTACTGGCTCTTCTAGACTATCATAGAAAGTTGGCTGATAAGTTTACTCTCGGATCTTAGCTTTCACGTCGATCACTCTTCCGCCCTTCCCTACGTCCTCAGCAAGACGAATTTCAAAGGCCGAGTGTTCATGACACATGCGACCAAGGCCATCTATAAATGGCTCATCCAGGACAATGTGCGAGTCAGCAATACGGCCTCATCGTCTGATCAACGCACAACGTTGTATACTGAACATGATCACTTGTCTACCTTGCCTTTGATTGAGACAATCGATTTCAACACGACCCACACGATAAATAGCATCCGCATTACGCCTTTTCCGGCCGGTCATGTGCTCGGGCTGCTATGTTTTTGGTCTCGATAGCTGGCTTGAATATCCTTTTCACCGGTGATTACTCTCGGGAAGAAGACAGGCATCTGATCCCGGCAGAGGTACCCAAGGGTATCAAAATCGATGTCCTAATTACCGAGTCCACATTCGGTATATCGACTAATCCTCCACGGCTGGAGAGGGAAGCGGCTCTCATGAAGTCAATAACGGGAATTCTGAACCGCGGGGTAGGGTCCTGATGCCTGTTTTCGCTCTTGGGCGGGCTCAAGAGTTGCTCCTGATTCTCGACGAATATTGGGAAACGCATCCCGAGTTGCAAAAAATACCTATCTACTACATTGGAAATACTGCTAGACGATGCATGGTTGTGTACCAGACCTACATAGGCGCCATGAACGACAATATCAAACGGCTGTTTCGTCAGCGCATGGCGGAGGCGGAAGCCAGTGGTGACAAGAGTGCCAGTGCAGGGCCTTGGGACTTCAAGTTCGTCAGGAGTCTCCGGAGTCTGGAACGATTTGACGATTTAGGCGGATGCGTCATGCTAGCTTCACCCGGTATGCTCCAAACAGGAACAAGTAGGGAATTGTTAGAGAGATGGGCTCCAAACGAACGTAACGGCGTTGTTATGACTGGATACAGCGTGGAGGGAACAATGGCCAAGCAGCTGCTTAACGAGCCTGAACAGATACCTGCCGTGATGTCACGATCGGCGGGCGGAGTCTCGCGACGAGGGCTCGCTGGCACCGACGAGGAACAGAAGATCATGATACCCCGAAGATGTACGGTGGATGAAATCAGCTTTGCGGCCCATGTAGACGGTGTCGAGAACCGTAACTTTATCGAGGAGGTGGCCGCGCCTGTTGTGGTGAGTAACTCTTAAATCCTTAACCAATGAGTCAGTGGTCTCATATCTCCCAGATTCTTGTTCACGGCGAGAAGCATCAAATGATGCGACTCAAGTCAAAATTACTTAGTCTCAATGCCGATAAAACCGTCAAAGTCAAAGTCTATACTCCAGCGAATTGCGATGAAGTTCGCATCCCATTCAGAAAAGACAAGGTCGCCAAAGTTGTCGGTAAATTAGCCCAAGTCGCTCCTCCTTCGGACCAGGACGATGGCCGTTTAATGTCCGGTGTCCTGGTTCAGAATGGGTTTGACCTGTCGTTGATTGCGCCTGATGACCTTCGCGAGTATGCCGGTTTAACAACAACGACCATAACATGCAAGCAGCATATCACACTTAGCTCTGCAAGTATGGATCTTATCCGATGGGCACTTGAGGGTACCTTTGGCGCTATCGAAGAACTCAGTAGCAGCGAGCAGGGTAAGGTCAAAGAAGAATCCACAAACGCTGTCAACGGAGAGCACGACATGAAAGAGGAGCCTGCGGATGAGGAGATCCCGACGGGGGAGACGCAGACATATCTCGTTATGGGCTGCGTTCTCATTCGCTATCACCCTCGGACTCGTGAGGTAGAACTAGAATGGGAGGGAAACATGATGAATGACGGTGTTGCCGACGCAGTTATGGCGGTGCTGCTCACTGTTGAGAGCAGCCCTGCATCGGTGAAGCGTATGCTGATCCCTTTCTCATTCACGGATATTCTCATGCTGACCAATGACTGCAGAATCCGCAAAGCTCAAACATCATCATCACCATCATAGCGACCTGGAACTACCTAATCCCCATGCCCATCAAGGACCTGAAGAGAGATTTGAGAATCTGCTCATGGTGCTAGAGGCGCAATTTGGATCGGATATTGCACCCATTGAACGACCGCGCATTCCTTCTGGTATTCGTGCGAACGGCACGACCAAGGGCGATCCGTCGGTATCGGCCGCCGTCAAGACCGAATCAGACGCCGCAGGTGAGACTCCTGCCGAGTCTCAAGAGGACGTCGAGGAGGATGAAGAGGATGAGAGCACGGAAGAAATTGAAGCAGCAGAACTTGCTCGACTTCAAGCACTTGGGATCCCTTATCCTGGAATTGAGATCAAGGTTGATAAACACGTCGCGCGGGTCTGGCTCGAAAATCTCGAGGTCGAGTGTGCAAATGCCGTGCTCAGAGATAGAGTCCGTGTGGTCATTGAACGGGCTGTGGAGACTGTTGCGAGCATGTGGGGAGAAGGACCTCCGTCAGCCCCCGTCGCAAATGGGACGCAAGGCACTAAGGAGGTGGCTCTCTCAAAGAGCACTGAAGTTGAGGCAAAGGCTTAAATGTCTTTTCATCCTAATGTAACAATACTTCATACTTCGGACAGTGAAGGATCCATGGCCAAAGACAAGGATGTGTTTTCGGCGAAGGTTTATTTATTGTTTTGAGAACTCTGAATGAACATATAGATTCTGCAATACGAAAGCAATCTGATCTCAATGCGTTCATAAATGGATGCCATCCGCGCACTTGAGTAGTCATCAAAGGCACAATTAACTGCTGTAGAGTATTAATGTCTTCTAGAGACGGCTGATGTTCGCGAAAACCTCTTCAATCACCTTACCCGCCGTCTCAACGATGATATCAATTTCCTCCTTGCTCACATTGTAAGGAGGAGCAAGGAGGACATGGTCACCGCGTATGCCATCAACGCATCCGCTCGCTGCATACAAGGAGATCCCATGGACTGGCTTCAGGCCAGTTTCTTGGACGTGGAAGGCGACGGCAGTCTCTGGAGCAAAAGGCTCCTTTGTGGTCTTGTCCTTGACGAACTCCATCTATAATAGCGGCAGTCAGCATTTTCCTTCCACACGCGTACCTAGATGGCGACGTACTCCCCAGAACAATCCCTTTCCTCTTATATCTCCCACATTCGGATGAGCTTCCAATCGCGCTCTGAGTTGTTTTTCCAGATAAGTACCCATAGCACGCACATTCTCAAGCAGGTTTTCTTCCTTGATGGTTTTCTGAACCGCCAACGCAGCCGCACAAGCAACGGGGTGGCCTTGGTACGTCTGTCCGTGTCGAAAAACACCAGTACCCTTGTCCATCGCCTGCACGATTTTCTCGCCGATCAAGACACCAGAAACGGGGCGTATCCTCCTCCGAGACCTTTTCCGATAGTCTGGAGGTCAGGAACAACGCCCTCGTCTTCCCATGCGTGCAAGGTGCCGCACCGACCCATGCCGCTCATCACTTCGTCGAGGATGAAAAGTGCGCCGTACTTCTCACAGATGGCTTTCATGGCCGGGAAGTACCCTGGGACGGCAGGGACGGCGCCGAGGGCCTAGATACCCAGAATGTCGAGGTTAGGATTAGCGTGTGAGACAAAAGCAAAAGGTGACGACTGATGGATTGGGCGAAAAATACTCACCGCACCGACTACCGGCTCAGCGATAAACGCGCACACAGTCTCTGGTTCCACTCGCAGGAATTCCGCATCAAGCTCTGCAGCTAGTCGCGCGACGTAATCTGCGTCCGATTCGTGCTCTTTCTTTCCGCGATAAGCGTAGCATGGCGAGACGTGAGAGGTGTTTTGCGCGAGAAGAGGCTCGAAGGGTTGGCGACGCAGGACGTGGCCTCCTGTTGCTAGGGCGCCGAGTGTGATTCCATGGTAGGACGGCAGGCGCGCGATAAACCGGGTTCGTTGCGGTTGGGCCGGGGATACTTCGAGGAAGTACTGGCGCGCGAGTTTAAGTGCTGCTTCAACCGCCTCGGAGCCTATGTGTGATTGACTGCATTAGCAAGTTGGTGTATCTCTTGTCTCAAGCTTAAGTACGGTCGCGTACCAGAGCTGACGACGTAAAGCTTGGAAAGCTTGCCGCCCGTCGAATCACAAAGGAATCGAGCAAGTTCTTCCGATACTTCGGTACCGAAGAAAGCAGTGTGGCAGTAGGCAAGCTGGTTGAGCTGGTCAGCAACAGCCTGAGTTACCTTCACGTGGCCGTGGCCGAGACAAGAAACGGCAGCACCGCCTGTGGAATCGAGGAATTTCGTTCCGTCCTCCAGGAAGATATAGCTGCCTTTACCGCCGACGGCTTTCTTGGGAATAAAGCGCGTGTCTCTATGCAGAACAGCACTGCGAGTATTGGATGCTTGCGATGTTAGGCGGAGGAACATAGCTATAGCTTTAGGTAATACACACCCACTTGAGTCATACTGAAAGAACTTTGGTACTTATTCCAGAAGATGTAGAACGAAAGTAAGGTCAATTCAATAATGAGTGGGATGGCTTAAGTAGCACAACGCATTACAGATGATAAGAAGGATAGCCTATTTATACGCGGCCAGCTCACTGTACCTGGGGTAGTGCTGTTATCACCAACGTCTCCATCATGCCCCATATTCGTTTCTCCAAATGCGGGGGCCTCTCGGCTTGCCGATGTGTACTCCGTAAACCCGAGACTACGATTGGCTTTGACCGCCGACAAGTCATCACACTATTCTCCGGCATTTCTCGGTTAAGTCTGGTCCAATCAGCGTTGCCATCCAGATATCAACTACTACAAAGTACAAACTATCACTCATTGATTAGCTGAATGAATTCCAATTGAGGGGATGCACGGACTGTATACGTCGTAAGAGGATGGATATTTCGTAACACTACTTTACGCCAGAGTGACGGAATGGATATCCATAAGTTGTCTTCTCATCCGCTACAAATTATGGTTATAACGTTGACAAAGTCTTAATTGGATGTCATGGGATCTCATCACGAAGTTTGACGTGAACTTCAAAGCATTGTCATTGGCGGTAATGACTCAACGTTCATCATGCAGATCATCCATGATCGCGCTGAATGCCCTGCATGATCGCTTGCAATAGACCTGTATACCCTACGCCGCTTGTCTATGAAATCAAGTACCACAATCACCGACTACAGCTGTGTATCACATCTAGCGAAGAACTCCCAGCTTGTTCACATGGGGTAACCCGATCCAGAATGGTTGCGCATTCTTCTGTCATGAGATTCATGACTTGATCCTGTCAATGAGAGAGCTGTCCTGATTGACCTTGGCCGCCGAGAGAATCGGTGCCGGAGCCCAATCGCAAGGAATGACACCTGGTCGAGACGGATATGGCCATATGTTGAATGGTTCAATGTCCCGACTTGCATGATGCAACAGGGTTCTCGCCATGTTTTGCTTGATGTTTGAATTGTTCGACGGTGAAGAGGATGTTCCCGAGAAGAGTAGCAATTGGGTATCGCTGAATGAACAGTCGAAGACCGATGCCAAATGCCATAACATGCGACCTAGCTGCATTACTGGCGTGACCATTACACTCAGCTTCTTGTTAAAACCGTATAGAAAAGTAGTTTGACTGAGTCTCCGAAGCCGACTGTGTTCTCTTTAGGCAACCACACAGAGCTGCCAGAGAGACGTCTTAAAAGGAAGAGACGACGAGTTGGGAGTGGCACATAGCATCTAGCCACTTCGAGCTTTCTGGTCTGCTTGTTTCAATTAATTCTTTCTCGTTTAGCAGTGTCTTGTAGGTTGCGCAGGGGCAGCGTGGGTTGAACATTATATATTTTCGTTTCGCAACAAAAGTCTCGTCGGTTGTAAGGATGCAAGCAGGCCATAGAATCAGGCCCTCACATCTCACCAGCGATAATGCATGCTTGAAAAGACCACTACTTATTTGGCAAATTTATGCTCCATCTGAAGCGGGATTCAGACGACATGTTGTGGTCCACCTGCAAGGCGGAAACTGTTGACAAGAACCATGAGCTCTCCGCTCCGCACTAAAACCCCGTTCCGCACAGAAAGGTTCAAAGGACAGACTTCAAGATCCCAGCAACGACCATTACTTTATAACGCCTCCCTGACAGCCCCTGCGCTTCAATTTTCTTGCGCCTGTCTTTACAACGATAGCGCACGGCAAAAATGTCACGACACGCACAAGTCGAAGAGGTCTACGACTCAGATCCAGAGGAGATCGCTCCCTCCGACCCCTCAGACTCCATCATTTCCCCTGCTGCAATGCCTCCTCCCGGCGCTTCGAACATCCCAATAAGACCAGCACCTGAGCCTCGCCGAGAGATTCCAAAGCACTTTCAATGTTTATACCCAGTTTACTTCGACAAGACTAGATCCCGCGCCGAAGGCCGCAAGGTTGGAACGGAGCTTGCCATTGAGAATCCGTTGGCTCGGGACATTGTCGATGCTGTACAGATGCTGGGCCTTAATGTTGGCTTTGAGCCGGAAAAGTTGCACCCGAAGGACTGGGCAAATCCGGGACGAGTACGGGTTATGTTGAAGGACGAGGATGGCAACCTCGTCAATCCTAAGATCAAGAACAGTACGTGGACTGCCCCTGGCTGCTTTCGATTCCTTTCTCCCCACTCTCGCAGATCGCGAATTAAGACTAACTGGCTGTAGAGCATCATCTCTATATCCTCGTTGCGCAGTATCTCAAAGCTCACCCCACGAACGAAGAATCACCCTACCGTCTGAGGATCAAAGGCCTCCCGATGCCTGAGAAGCTTCCTGGTGCTCCTCCAGCTCCTCGAGGCTGGAAGATTGGAAAGATTCTCCCGATTCATTCCCCCGCTTACAGTGGCGGAGGTGTTAGCGACAACCCTCTCAAAGATGCCATGGCTGAGATGCAGAGCATGGGAGGAATGCCTGGAATGCCTCAGATCCCCGGTATGCCCAATCTTGCTGGCTTGATGGGTGAACCGTCCGCGAGTGGCAGCGAAAAGAAGAAGAAGGATAAGAAGAAGGGCAAGGCCTGATGTCGAGAGCTTTATATAACACCGTCACCTATCTGATTCTTGTATCTATTACTCTTCTGGGTGCATTGCATGGGCGAAAGGCGTTGTGCGGTGGGTGACTAGACGGCATTTTCCATTTATGCTGTTCTCTGATACAAACTCATGAATTCATGACAGCTTAATTCTCTCCAGTGAAGGTTACAATAAAATTCCCCTGCCAGATTGGCATTCAATTCTACCCTGTAAACTATCTTTTTGTCACAGTAATTGAAAACGATCTAGAATGGTTAAAGTCAGCAACTTCATACACCGCAATCGTTATTGGCTGGTGGCCTCCGATAACCAACATTTACCCCGGAGGCGTCATCTCCCCAGATCCGTAGTTCGTACTAATTTCCAACAAACCATCCGATCCGTGATTCAGAAGCCTTATGTACATTAACGAACATTTGCACCGCAGATGCCGAGTCGCGTGCAGCATTCCGATGCCCTCACGCGTTGATGGATTGAAGTGACGACCCCGCCATTCCCCCGACCGAGGGATCATGAACACAGACCCCACGAGAAACCTGCCCAGCTACGGGTCCCCAAATTCGGGGCCCAAGCCTCAGCTTCGATCAGACTACGACTCTCCTCGACCATTGTTTTGTTCTCCTGCGCCAAGCAGAACTGCGACAGGAAAAGTTCGTCGTGCGGCGGGCCGCCAGATTACTCGGAATCGCGCGAGCTACAGTTGTCATACTTGTCGGAGGCGGAAGGTGAAATGCGACAAGGTACGCGCCTCGGTTGTCGTCGCTTACATTGTCGTCTTTCAGAGACCATGCTAAAAGTGAAAAAGGTCCATCCAGTCTGCGGAAACTGCACGAAGAACGGAACCGAGTGCGTTTACGATGCGACGCTACAGAAAGGCGCTGCCTTGCGCAGCGGTCAAGACAAGAATGCTCATGGCGTGAAGCGGCGAAGAGAGACTTCTCGACCGCTGGAGCAGGACGCCGATGATATACAGTTGGTCCAGGGCCAGCTGAGGCCGGCGGAACACTCTGACGGGAAGAAGTTCGGGTCACAGGCGATCGAGGCTCGGCTAGACAAGTTGGCTTCGATGATAGAGCGATTGAGCAAGACGGATCAGCCGCGGGAGCAGATGGAGCGGCAGCTGCTGGAACAACAGGCGAACATGGAGGCCATGAGTGCTGAAATTAGACAAGCAAACGGTGCACAACCGAGGTCCTCTGCCAATTCGCGGCCGGACAGTCCTCGTCGCGGCGTCGACTCAAGTGGAGACGAATTCCCTATACCTGCTGGTCATGCTACTGACCTAGTCGACCCGGTCGGGAGCTTGAATCTAGGCCATCTAAGTTTGGAGGACGGCGGGAGGTCGAGGTAAGTTATACGCGGCCGCCGTGGGCAGCTGGACGCTCGGCTAAACAAACACTAGATATGTTGGGACGACTTATTGGGCTTATATCTCCCAAGAGGTATGTTTTGATTCTTTAAGTAATCTAGCCTTAGGCCCGCAAGCTGAAAAAAACTAGATCAATGAACTCAATCAACTGCTCAGAGACCAGAATCGCTCACACGAGTCCGCACGCAACGAAAACTATAGTGATGAGCTGGCCAGGACGCCCGACCGTCAGTGGAAGAGCTCGATATCAGAGGAAAGCCCCGATGCGATAATTGGAGACAGGTTCTCCCGTGGAGAGACCTTTCAGAAGTCCATCTTGTTCCCCTCGAGCGAGTCGCCGTCCGTCAAAGACAAGGTTGTCCAGCCCGATATGCTCGACCACATTCCTACTAAACGACAAAGCCATATACTCTACAAAGGCTTCATGTCTGGGATTCATGCTATAAGTCCAGTCATTCACCCACCTACTATCCTGAAATTGTATAATGCTTTCTGGGATTGGTATGATTATAGCAGCTACTCCGGGGAGCCTTGTCCAGATCCGTCTTTCATCCCGCTACTCTACGCTATCTGGTATGGCGGCTCAGTCACGATCTCAATACGGACGATAAAGGCCGAGTTTAATGTCTCGTCACGATCCGCGCTTTCCAAGACCTACAACGACGAGGTCACACGATGGTTGACCGAGATATCATTTCCCCGAAGCCCTTCATTACAGGGGCTCGCTGCCTATCTTCTAGTACAGACGATTCTCTCGAGAGAGGAAGAACCTCTGACGAGCAGTTTATTCATTAGTCTTTCTATGCGTGTTGCACAAACGATGGGCCTGCATCGAGATCCTGCTAATTTCGGCATTGAACCCTGCGAAGCAGAGTATCGTCGCCGCATATGGTGGCATATTGTGCATATGGATGGCGTCGTCGCCATGTCCAGTGGACTTCCACCTCTCGTCAGCGACGAAAAGTACTGGGATGTCCAGGAGACCAGTGAAGTCAAAGACACCCTCCTGGGCACCGCCGAAGCCGAGCAATATGAGAGATTGGTCGCTGCTGGTCTGCGGCCACGAGATAACCCAGATGATCCGACGATCTGCGGCGGACCATCAATGGTAAACGTGTACTATCTGTCAGCACGGGGAAAATATGTCATGGCTCGTAAGTGACTTCCAACGACTTGCTCACTGGCCAGATGGCTGACTTAACATTTCAAGGTGCTGTCCGTCGTATAATGAAGATCCAATTAGGCACTGAGCCTGTCACACGAAGAGATATGGAGGAACTTCGTTCCATATTGGTCGATCTCCAACTCAAACTTAATTCGATCATCAACAGAATTCCTGAACCGAAGAACCAGGAGATTTTCTCGCTTAACTCGGACAGATCACGATCCTTGGCATCCCGCTCCCCTGTTGAGGCTCGATCCGGTGAAACTGAACTACCTGGTGACGGCCCAAATGGGTGTTCGGAACAATATCATTCTCATGTTCTCGTAGCCTTTCACAAGTGGGCGAGAATACTTCTCTCGCTTTTCATCGATAAGGTAAGAGAGAAGGCCGACATCATTGGAAGTAATGTTAACCAAGTCTCTGAACAGGCTTTCTGCGTTGCTTATCAACCATTCCTCAAGAACGCCAAAAGCCGTATTTGGCCGACGGCTAGACACAGGTGAGTCTGATGATGCCTTTGAAGGCTATATTGAAAGATTCTGATGAAGATAGCGCCCTGCGTCACTGTCATGGCTTCATGGAAAAGTTTATATCCCTGGCCACCGATCCAGATTTCCAGCCCTTCCAATGGAGCTGGCCCGGCAATCATCAGCCGATGCACGCAACCATGATCATGTTGATTGATCTCTACGAACGTCCGTATAGCTCCGAGGCTTCCAAGTCACGGGCATTCATCGACAAGATATTCTCACTTTCAGGTCCCGATGGTGGTGTCGTTGGCGGAGAGGACGGCATCACGACCCAGCGACCATTGAAAGATGGAGGCCGCGAAGCATGGGATATGATTCGAAGACTGCGTCAGAAAGCGTGGCAAAAAGCAGGCCTAGATCCCCAGAGATTATGGACTGAACAGGCCCAGATCCGAGCTGGCGTGCCCTCCACACCTCCCGCATACTCCCCGGTTCCCAACTCATATCCAAACCAGACGTCCGGCAACCCGTCCACTCTTACACCGTTGACGTCACGAAAGCAGCTGACGGATTTCTCGAAAATGTTCTACAACATGACACGCTCACATCTAGCCCCACGGCCTAGTCCCCTGCGATATCACCTACCTCCTCCGGTCCCAAGTGCCGTGCCTGTAACTCCCCAGGTGGTTTCTACTCCCCGATTCTCTACGTCCCCTGCAACAACCATCCCTACGGTCGAACCCTCATTCACTGGCTCGGCCATATCTCCTCTGGAAACTATACCACCATTCACCTCGACTACCACGTTCGCTCAACCCGCCTTCACGTCGTCCTCAGCCGCCTTGCCGTATATTGATACGTCCTTGCCTACCTCGCAACCGCGAGCAGCACCTACGCCGCCAAGCATGGTCGATCCGAATCTGAACTTCGACTGGGCCGAGTGGGATGCAGTCTTTGGACAGCATCTTCCTGTTGCAGATGAGTTGATGGAGCTCGATCCAGTCTCCGGATTCGAGTTTGCCGACCTCGCGAATACTAGGGATGTTGGCGGCAATAGGAGTGCTGGGGACACTGATACGGGGATGAGCGATATGCGAGATCCGGAATGGTTTTCATACTGCTGATTATGGTGATAGATCGGCGTCCCTACTACCTTATTCACCGTTACACTGTACATAGGCTCAGAATTTACTGTTGTATATATAGAAATTCATGATAACGATTTGAGGCTAAAGGATAGAGATATAATTCTATTTTCAAGTACCCAATAGGCGGATAGGACATAACAGATATGGGATTCATGAGGCGTAACTATATTGGAAGGATATGGAAGATGCGGTGTAGAGGAGCTATAACAGAAAGATAGCTGGATGCGTGGTATAAACTTCAGAGATCAGGCAAATAGCACTCAATCTCATCAGTATGCTTGAATTAGAAACAACCGCGGACTCCAATTCCCTAATTTTGGATCATGAGATTCTTCATAACTGCAGAACATTTAAACCTTCATCTCCTCGAGACCGTGCTTCCAGAGAGTGGCATAGGGGGTGACACCGTCCTCACGGAAGTCAATCAGGACGTGCCTAGTAATGAGTTAGTAAGGACTGTCTGTTGCATCACAGAGGAGGATATAACATACATAGCATCACCGTCCATGGAGTGGCCCATAAGTACATCGTAGTTGTCATAGTTGGCAAGGATCTTCTTGACGGCGCCGGGGGCACCCTTCTTGAAAGCCTCGATCTCCTCCGCGGGAGCACCCTTCTCCTGAAGCTTGGTAAGAACCTTCTTCATGTAGACTAGAAACCCAGTGTCAGCGAGACTGCTTGAAATGCCAGAAATGGTAGACTCAAGATGAGCGACATACCTTTCAGGTGGCTCTTGAAGGCATCCTTGGAAGGCTTCATGCCCTCCTCGGTCTTCAGCCAAACGAGACGGAACTGATCCTCAATGTCGTGAACCATGACCTCCTCACCCTCACCACCGGCATCGTCATCACCACCCTCAGCGGAGGGGTTGGCACCCTCAAGCTGGACGTCCTCGTTCTTCCGCTTGAGGTACTTGCGGCAGTCGCACTCGTAGAGGACACCGTCGACCTCCTTGATCTTGAAGTTGTCAGAGAGAACCTCGTCTCCAGAGACGATATCCTATACAAGCAAAAGAACGTCCGTCAGCAACTTGCGCCTATATGCATGCCATGTGGACAATCCGACTGCTGCTATTCATGCCACATCCAACATAAATAGTGGGGTAAGGTCCAAAGCAAAGGTACATACCTTGTAAATGATCATTTTGAATTATGTGATGAGAGAAAGGCTTCACAACGAAAGAAGAAAGGATGAAGATAGAGAAGAATGGCACACGGCTGGACAGATCAAGAGAAGGAGAAGGAAGAGAAGAAAACAGTAGCTGGAAAAGAACCCAAAGAGGGGTAAAATAGAAGTTTTTAGTGGCGCCCGTTCCAACTTTTGGTGGGGTTCTTTTTTTTTCACCTACGATTCTCGAGGGCAAAATAGAGCTAAGCCTCTTTGGGACTGGTGGACTTGTCTGGCCCAGCAGTTTGACAGATGGAACACCAAGTAGAATTGCCACGCCAGAACGGTTAGTCCTGAATTTGGGCAAGATCTAGATAGTCTCTGGGATAGAGTCTGTGGCAACCGCTAGATCGGTCCACATCTCAGGCCAGAGTGTAGCACTGTAGAGGGTGGTTTGACTGCCTCAAGGATCAAGACAATTAGGGGCACTTCCTGGCTGAACGGTATGTCATGGTAATTACAGTACATAAGTTACACTGGGGTTTCTGCCTCGGCGCGGTACAAATTGGTGTATCGTACAATACATTTTTACCCAGCATCTGATCTCCAGTTGATTAGATAAGTCGGCGGCCCGGATCTGAGTTCTTGTGGTGCCACTTGACGATCTACTACTTATCGCGATGGTCTGCTAGGGCCTTTTATCCTGTCCTCCAAATCTCTGCACCTGCTCCGGTTCTTATTTATTCCATATTCTTAGAGCTGTTCATTCTTGACTGAGGTGAACATCGATTTCTTAAGTCCCTTCCTCGCCAGAATTGGTCGATTGACTCAGCATCCACGGTTCGGTGGTAACTTAGTTGTGCCTATTGCAGCGCGTCCCCTGACTGTGGCGGACCGCTTTTGAGGGAAAAAGGACTCCCGACCAACTGTTGATTCTTTCGACATCGCTTCCTGTCTTCCTACTCAGGCTCTTCGCATCCTCGAAAGTCCGGCCTTCCGTACGCTTGTTTCCACGGTTCTTTCCGGTATCTCCGGCCTTCACCTAAAGGTATCCGCAGCTTGACTCCTGACGGCCATCGCTGCAACCTCCGTCCTCCTCGCCTGATTTCGCAGACCCATGCGTTGATCTCTTGGATTCATCACATTGCGCCCATCCTCATCCTCTACGCATTTTGGCGTTGACGCCGTAACAGTCAAGCCATGGCAGTCAACGCATCCGCCGAGTATGACTACCCTCCTCTGCCGAGCTACACTCTGACGCCCCGTCCACCTCTTCTTGCGCCGATCCCGGACAATATTCTTGCTCTGATTCTGCCAATTGTCGCATATTGGGGGTTATCTATGGTTTACCATGTCGTCGATGTCTACGATCTTTTCCCACAGTATCGTCTGCACACTCCGGCCGAGGTTTTGAAGCGGAATAAGGTCTCGCGCTGGGATGTGGTCAGAGATGTCATTCTACAACAGGTTATTCAAACACTGGCTGGCATGTCGGTAAGCTATTTTGACGACGTGGAATACATTGGAAGAGAGGAGTACGATGTTGCCGTGTGGGCTCGCCGCCTTCGGTTTGCTCAAAAGGCAATCCCACGTCTGTTGGCTGTGTTCGGTGTCGATGCTTTGGGCCTATCACGTAGCTTGTCTCAAAACGGTCATGCGATTCTAGCTGGTGTACTAGCTGGCGGACAATATCCCGGAGTTACTCGGTCTTTTGTTATGGACAGCGGTATTGAAGCGGTCGTACCTGCTTTCACCAATTGGGAGCTGTCAATGGCCAGTTTCATCTACTGGTACTTTATCCCTGCGGTACAATTCACAGTGGGAGTGTTTATCGTCGATACTTGGCAATATTTCCTCCACCGTGCGATGCATCTGAACCGCTGGCTTTACGGTATGTACTTTGATTATGAAGCTTCAGGTCACTCGGGGGAGATCCCACTAACAGTTTACAGTCACTTTCCACTCTCGCCATCATCGCCTTTATGTCCCATACGCTTTCGGCGCACTCTATAATCACCCGGTGGAAGGCTTCCTTCTTGATACAGCTGGTGCTGGCATTGCGTTTCTGGCAACGCGCATGACGAACCGTCAGAGCATGTGGTTCTTCACCTGCTCCACCATCAAGACTGTGGACGATCACTGCGGCTATGCTTTCCCCTGGGATCCTTTGCAACACTTTACTCACAACAATGCTGCCTACCACGACATTCACCATCAAAGCTGGGGTATCAAGACGAATTTCTCTCAACCATTCTTCACTTTTTGGGATGGTCTTTTTAATACTAAGTGGAAGGGTGACGTTAAACTCCGCTACGAAAGATCTCGAGAGGCGGCACAGAAACAACTCGATCAGGATGCCTCTTCAGCTGCAGCATCTTCAAATGAAGAGAGTTCGTATGAGGGCCCAGTCGTGTCGACAGACGCGCCAGCCGACTCCAACGCTCGAGCACGTTTGCGCCGAAAAACTGTGACCTTGTCTCCCCATGTCGACGGTCTAAAGGGTGTTAATCATGGAGTGACCAGCAGTGTCCTTCAGGCCTGATTATTTATCATCGGATGCATTTCGGAATTTGCATTAATAAGTTTATAATACTTCTACGTCTTTTTAACTCACGCATGGAAGAACTGAAGCTGCTGGACGTCTTCGATCGATGCGAAAGAGGTTACTTTTAGCCATCCTTTACGTTGTACTGAATCATGCTGTACTAATATGTGGATCATGCATTCTTGGTCCTTTGGCCTATATCATGAGCTTTCTTTGATGAATATCTTTACTCAATGCAATGTGTATATTTCTCAAATCACTTCCCAAAGTCCGAAACTGCTGTCGAAACAAAACCTTAACATTCTGCCGAGTCCTCTCATCTCTCTTGCTTTCGATGTACACCCTTCAAGTTTCCTCGGAGCCCCGAAAAGTCAATCTCCCGATCGCCCTCATACTCATTCCCGTCAAAAGTCCTCAATCCCTCCAATGCTTCCCTTTTCCGTGGATTATGCGAGCACTCGACGCACGACAGACCTCGGGCACTGCCCCAGCCACTGAGTCGAAAAAAAGCTCTCAATAGCTCTCTTTGCACACAAGGTCCCAGGTGGTGTCCCCAGGCCCAGCCTCACACACGGGGGCGTCCTCCCAAGATGCCTCGCTATATTCCGAGTCAGAGTGATACGCCACAGGGCTAAGCAGATCACAGTATCGGCCCGCACGCTCTTCGGTGTTCTCGCCCAGGCATCCTCCAAGTGTCAGGCCCTCGACCTCCTTCGACAGGGCGTCCAAGGTGCTGAGAGCCGCTCCGTTGGCGGCACTCTGCCAGTTGGAGTTGTTGCGCGGAGGCATGTAGCTCGCTTCGCCCATGGGGTGGTCCTCATCGTAGTGGGACGCTGAGATCGCCGAGTGATCCGCCCTGGGGACGGATAGAGGATGGACAGGCGGCACTCCGGCTGGCAGGTTCGTGGTGGAACGGGGTGCCCAGTCTCTGGCTCCGAAGGCTTCGTAGGTCGCGATGATCTCGTCGGCGATCGTGTCCCGTTCATTGACGATTTCAGCGCGGTGAGAGTGCACCTTTGCTCTTTGGCTGGGGTTTCGGTATAAGCCTTGCTGCTCGGCGGTGCTGTGGTCCATGTAAACGACGATGGATTGCATATCAGCATCATCACTGCGTCGACTAATTGCATAGCCGGATGCCTCTACGAATCCAGCTGCCTCTGGCTGTCCGGGCTCCATTCTGATAGACTTGCCTTTGTTCTTCGGATGCTTGCGCAGGTGATCAGTGTAGTCCTCGCGGCGATGAATGCGCTCCGGGCGTTTCTTGTACGCTCTCACGGCCGCTTTTCTGGCAGCTTTGAAATCAAATGCGGCTTGACCGCTTGCGTGCCAGTACTGCAAGGCGCGGTCTCCGTAATAATTGATAGCTTGGTCCACGAACGCCAGCAGCCTCGGTGCGCGATGTTTGGATCTAGTTCTAGTCCGACTGATGAGTGCGACGCGCAGGTTCTGCAGGAACATCGGCTCCTGGACTACCCTTGCCAGGATACATGCTTCGCATCTGTTCTCCTGGTAAGGTGCCGGAGCTATCGGCGGAGGACGAGTACCCAGCGGGACCAGAGACCACATGCCTTGCATGGATTGCAGCGCGCGCACGAGCCTGACATGGCTTTGGTCGAGGTTGTCTGAGTACCAGTCAACGACGTCCAGATGCTCAGTGACTTCCTTTCTGATCAGGCTGCAGATATTCGCAATGACATACGGATTGAATCCCCGGTGCGAGGGACACAGCTCCGCGGCGCGGATGACAGAATCTGGCAGGATTTGGAGTAATGTGGACTTCCGAAGCTCAGACGGGAGGTTCTTGATGGCGTGGTGGATCAGCTCGCTGCGCACTTCGAGAAGGCGTCCCATATTGTCGTGGGTATAGTGTACCGAATGCTGTAAGTTCAGAACTTGAATTAGCATTGCCAATTGGGATTTCTTGAGGTCAGTGGCCATCAGAGGGTACCTCATCTGAATTGCCCGCTGCATCTTGGTTTGGGTCCTGTTCAATCTCTTTAGCAGCTTTGGATAATGCGTTCAAGCGATATTGACGAAGTGTCAATAGAGCAGGCCTCTGCTCTTTCAAGTCTCTTTCAAGTTGGCGATAAGAATTCGAGAACGCACAGGATTGTCTCTCTGCTGTCGTGTAGGTATGCGTAAGGTGCTGTCGTTGGGGAAGGACAAGATCGGAGTTCTGACGATGACGGTGAAGGAGCAGTTGATGATGTTGTAGTTGGTCGATAACGAGAAGATGGTTTGCAAAGATGAGCATGGTATGGAGAAGCCATTTTATACCTGTGGGAAAAGCCTCAAAGGCTTTCTGCTATCAATGCCATTGTCTCTGTTCGGCCTTGTAGTGGTCAAAGAAGTGTCTAAGACAAGGTCAACAAAGAACACGCCGTGAGGTATTGAGATCCAGAAACATATTCTGTATCCATCATTTCTTTGTTGTAGTTCTTTCGCTTAGCCGCTGGACTGAATAGCCCGATAAATATCTCCATGAGGGCGAACATATCTTGTGAGACACCCCGGGTCAGCGTCATCACTGAGAGAGACATGCTAGAAATGTCTTGCAGATTGAAACCTCGATCGCTTTTAGAGGGACAAACGACCATTGACCAGGGTATGTTGCTCATGACTCGAGCGTGGTAGGGCAGCCAAGCCTTCAGCCCATGAACACAGCCGGAATGTGTGTAGATGATCGCATCACGAGGCCGTGCGCGCTTGACCTTCCGTTGGACAAACAAAATATATGAATACCTTCGATACTCTCGATACTCCCGAGTCCACGAACGCATCAAACCTCGGATATGATCCGATCCATCATATGCATTTTATAGCCTGATATAGATCACCAAGCATATACTTATCCCGAGTATGGTCGTCACATATCTTCCCTCCCAATCCAAGAGGAAACAAGAGGTGCCCTTACCATACACAGCATCGCCATGGAAATTGTTGTGGGCTGACATCCTTCTGTTCCTACGGAGCCTCTGGAGCCTGCCTGGTATAATCCTACCCTTGAGGCCATGGAACTCTGGTGCCTTGGACGAACTCTATCCGTCCAAGGAAAATTTATGGGACATCGTCGTACATATATTTCTGGCTGTCTATCAGCTCATCTTTCTCGTGTCACTGCCTATTTTGTTTATTCTCGCCTTCCCGGCGCTGGGGATCGGGATTTATATGACAGTCGCTTTGGCTCTGAATTGGGTAGTTTGCAGGTTTGCTCTGAATGGGAGTGCCAGGATTTTGCAGTCGCAAGTTCCCGTCGAACATCGTCCGGAACATGACCGTGAGCACTGGGTCTTCATTAATGGGGTCGGAGCCGGGTGAGTCCTCTAATATCTCGCCAGGGATTATGCAACTCATCTGACTGCTTTAAGACATCACTGGCTGCAGAGCAACCTTGACCGGCTGGCATATACATTTGGCAGAAATATTACCGGCGTTCACAATCCAACGTAGGTTTTCTATGCCACCGTCAACAGTGTGGTTTTGGTGACTCAACTCCAAAAATTGTAGCATGGGGATCATTTTCGATATCATCGAGTGCTTGATTCAAAGGAATTTCTCCTACGCGACCTCGGACGTGAGAGACGCGTACGCGATCATCAAGGAAGACTTGTTGAATCCGAAATACAAGAAGGTGATCCTCATTCTTCACAGCCAAGCTGGAATTGAGGGAGGCTTGGTCATTGACTGGCTGCTGGATGAGATGCCTCGAGAGTTACTGCAGGACCTCGAGGTCTATACTTTTGGTAACGCGGCGAACCATTTCAACAATCCGTTTAAAACATTGTCTCAAGCTCATCGGAATGAAGCTGAAGGCGAAACTCCACAGTTCAGCCCGGCAACGATAGGGACAAAGACCATTCGTCGAATTGAGCACTATGCAAACTCCAAGGACTTTGTTAGCGTCTGGGGGATATTGAACTTTGCCAATATCCCTAATCGATACATGGGACGAGTCTTTGTGCGGCCTGGTTCCGGTCATCAATTCATCCAGCACCATCTGGATACCATGTTCACGCTAGGAAAAGATATGAAGACCCTGGACACGAACGATTTCATGGAGATGGAAGTGGAAGTCCAACCTGATGAATTAAACAGGCTAAAAGCAGACGGGACAGATACTGAAGACAGGGATGGCCATCACGACATTGACCTTCCATATGATGAGATGAACGCAAATGTCTCATTACTCCAGTCAGATGGCTCTTTCAGGAGGAAGATGAAGGTCAAGGAGCTTAGCCGGCTGTGGCTGTATCGAAATGGTGCATCACCAATAGACGGGTCCTGATGGTGTCATCAAGCGGTTCTTGTCCAGTATTTTCTCGGTCATGGCTCTCTTATGTTCTTCCAAAGCTTGTTTCACCAGGGGTCTTGGGTAGATAGGCAGTCAGCGGTCTAACGTATATGTTATGACTGATCAGCATTGTTGTTAGCGAAGGATAAATATCGTTTTGGAAAGCACGCTCATTAAGGCCTTTGCTGTCGGTAGTCGCCAGTGAGTCCATCCACTTTTTCCTCCTCTCAGGCTCAGCCTTTTATCTTTCCTTGATCGGAGCCCAGGACTCATCATTCGACCCGTTCCAGAGTTAAAGGGTTGCAATTGTGGATTTGCCCGTTCGTGGTTTTTCCGACCCAATGACTCTTCCCCGTCCTTTCACCGTGGTCGGAGACATCCGCCAAAACTTCTTCTCCGGTCAAGCTGCAGGTCGTATTGTAGCCAGCCATTCCACAATTCGATTGCTTATCTTCTTTGCTTTCGATCGGGGTTAAACCATTGGCTAGTATCGGAATCTGTGCCGTGCTGCGGCTATTTGTACGATGGATAAATCATCAGTTTGTCGATACGGGGTGCAATAGCAATAAACTCAACCTCAAATGGCAGTCGCTTAGCGATCAGTCACTACTCACTACACAGGGGATCTCTGCTTTGTCCCAGAAAGCCAAGCTTGATGCCTGTCAGGTAGTGAATATTAACAAACAAAGCAAGCTTTTGCTTTCCCGTGTCGCAGTCGCCCGCAATGGAGCTTGTGCCTGGGGTTTCGCAATATGTCATATCTCCCATGACATCGCAGTTCGTGGATGGAGATATCTCTGCTTTTGAGGACAGCGGTCAAGTGCAAAGGTACGTCTAATTTTTGTGTCCTCCTAGTAATTGCCTGAAACTGATGCAAGAATGCAGAGCTCTCTGGCAATATCGCACACAGAAACTGTCCGCCTTCGTGGCCAGTGGAAATCTGCACCTCGGGGCGGTCTCTGCTTCATGCCTCGTGATCATCCTATCAACATGTCTTCATTATGCTGTTTGGTTTTTCAAGAGGAAGTCTCGTGGCCGCATGGATGATGCTACCTCTGCTGTTTCAGAGACAATTGTCCCCGTACCCTTTGCTCTTGCGCACCTGGCGGCTGCGATGGCAGCTTGTGGTCTGAGTTTGGGTGAATCATATCGCAGAAGAGACTGGAAACAGCTAATATTCTTCAGCTACATTGTATTATTGGCTGTTGCGAGGCTTTGTTTCCAGGGTGTTATTCACTGGATTCATTTCTATCGCCACTTGAACATGATGACCTTAGTGGCTTTGTTTCTAGCAATTGTGAAGGATCTTGTCCCAATGGCGATTGTTGGCTCGACCTATCGTCCAACCGCTCTTGCAAGTGCCTCACTAGCCTGCGTGGCTGCTATGCTGGTAATTGTGCTTGCGAGTCCTCGACCCCGGCCTTTGATCTCAGATGCCGAAATCCATGATGCACAGGTGAAGGCGGGTGTTTCGCCGGAGGAAACGTGTTCTTTGTTCTCATACTATTGCTCCTATGAGTGGATCACTTATGTGATCTTTCGTGGTTGCCAGAGAGATCTGGCGATGGATGACTTGCCGCCGCTTCCCTCATATGACGAACCACTGAATTGGCTGGAGAAGATCAAGGAGCAGCGCCGAAAAGGCGGGAAAACGTTTCGGACTCTGTGCAGACTGTTGAAGACGGAGATTAAAAGTATGGTTTGCTGGGCTGCGACTACTTCTATGGCCGATTTCTTCGCTCCATTTTCCATGCTGCGGTTGCTGGCATACTTGGAAGATCCGACTGGCGCAGTCGTGCATCCTGCGCTGTGGATTTGTCTGCTATTCATTGGTCCTATGATGCGGTCTTTCTGCTATCAACAGTACATCTTCACAGCCACAAGGCTCCTTGTCCGCGTCAATATCTCGCTTGTCCAGGAGATTTATCACACCGCTATGCGATCGTATATCTACGATGATTCTGTACATCCACATGGCAGACCATGCCCTCAGCAGCCGGGGAGACACAAGGCACATACTCCGAAGCTCACATCGAAATCTAGCCAAGCTAATTTGACTAGCCTGATGTCATACGATGTTGATGCTATATACAATTCCCGGGACATCTTTTATGTAGCTACTGCGGTGCCGATATCCACTACCATTGCCACGGTCTTTCTCTACCGGATGCTCGGATGGCCATCCTTATTCGGCGTCCTGACGCTGTGCTGTTTGACTCCGCTTCCAGCTCTGGCATCGCGCAGGGTCTCACGTATCCAACAATCAGTGATGAGGGCAACTGACGTCCGTCTTGCCAGGATTTCAGAGTACTTGAATTCTATCCGAACCCTTAAGTTCTTCGGATGGGAGCCAGCTGCTGTGGCTTCAATCAATGAGATCAGAAGCGTGGAGCAACGACGCCTCTGGAGGCGAAGTGTCTTTGCCGCCGCCATTTCTATGGCAGGTGATCTATTACCCATGATGAGCTTGCTTGTCATGTTCTCTGTCGTAGTTTTATTTACGGACCATCCTCTACGGGCTCCGGTTGCCTTCACTTCTTTGTCAATCATGGAGACACTGCGTTCTCAGTTCGTCTGGCTCTCAAATATCAGCAGATATTCGGCCCAGGGTGCGGAGTCGCTTCGTCGAGTGGATCACTTCTTTGACACAGCAGGCGAGATCAGACGTCATCCAGACGGACCGTTGGAGCTCAAACACGCAACTTTCCGGCGAACACCAATCGCAGATTTCCGCTTACACGACATCTCAGTTTCTTTCAAGCACAATGCCCTCAATGTCGTGGCAGGCCCAACTGGGAGTGGGAAAACTTCTCTACTGCTGTCGTTGTTAGGCGAGACTGTACTGGAGTCTGGAACTGCTACCTGCCCTCAGGATGTGGCCTATGTACCACAGTCGCCGTGGCTGCAGAATGACACCATTCGACAGAACATAATATTTTACAGCTCCTTTGATGAGGCCCGCTACAATACTGCCATTGAAGCCAGTGGTCTTATCCAGGATCTTCAGCAGCTTCCCGCTGGTGATCTCACTCTAGTGGGTGAGAGAGGCACGTCGCTGTCAGGTGGTCAGAAGCAACGTGTCTCTCTCGCCAGGGCACTGTATTCGAGATCATCTACATTGCTCTTGGATGACATATTTTCCGCACTAGATACACATACAACCACCTTCGTTTATGACAAGTGTTTCCGCAGTGGTCTGTTAGCAGACAGGACAGTTGTACTTGTCACGCATCTGCCAGCTGCCCTGAAGGATGCTGATCAAATTGTTCAGCTCAAGCATGGCAGGGCTTCCGTAATTAAGACTGCTTCTGAGTCCTCCAAGGCGTACACACAGAGTGTATCAGACCTCGCCGAAGGGGCAGAACGAGACGCAGCAATCAGCGGTTCTCCAACAATTGCAGAAGGGTCTTCTACCGAATCGGAAGCCACCATCAATGTCTTTCCCAACGTTCGCGCAGACCAGTCTGTACAGACAGATCGCCTTGTCAAAGAAATGTCAGCTACAGGTCGCGTGCCACGTACATTATGTGAGTCTACGCCAGTTGAGTAATGGAACCATCGACGCTAATGTTTCTGCAGTCTTGCGTTATATGCTGTTGTTTGGTGGAATCTTCTATGCGATAACCGTGCTGCTAGCAACTGTCTCAGTGCAATTTGCATACTTCTCAATCACATACTGGCTGTCTATTTGGACAAGCGCGTATGAGAAATATGAACATCCTAACTCACTATTCTACTTAGCCGTGTATGCTGCAGCGATCATTTCGTTTCTCCTCCTTCAAATCACGAACAATCTTCTATATCAATATGGGAGCTGGACGGCCGCCAAGAAGATGCACAGGAAACTGGTGGAAGCAGTACTCTCTGCCCCGATCTCTTGGTTCGACCAGAACCCCATCGGGCGTGCTATAAACCGCTTTGGAAATGACACCAGGTCAATGGATACTGTTTTGATTGATTGGCTGCGCATGTCCATCGAAAATGGGCTACGCTTCTTGCTTAGAATAGCGAGTATCGCCTCGATCATGCCGATCTTTGCGCTCCCGGCCGCTGTGGTTTGCACGATAGGCTTTTTCATTGGGGAGATGTACACTCGGGCCCAGATTTCCATCAAGAGATTATGTTCGATCAACTACTCTCCCATATTCTCTCACTTCACCGATTCTCTGGCTGGCATGACTGTCATTCGAGCGCGAGAAGGCATGACCGGGGTTTTTCAGACGCTGTTGGCGGAAAAGCTTGCAGTTCATGCTCGTTCAGCAGAAGCCCAGTACAACTGCAACCGTTGGGTTTCAGTCCGATCAGATCTATGCGCAGCGTCCGTTGCAGCATCGGCGGGATGCGTTGCGTATTTCGGGTCCGGCTCCGCGGGCCTCGTTGGGTTCTCATTGACTAACGCCATTGGCCTCAGTCAGACGATCTTGACTCTGGTCCGCACGATGAACGAACTCGAGGTCGAACTCAACTCGTTCCAGCGAATAAGCGAATACGCGGAGATCGAGCCCGAAGAGAAACTAAGTGACAAGGAACGCGCCAAAGCGGACGCTGTACCTGCCAGCTGGCCAACACTCGGGAAAGTGGAATTTCACAGCGTCTCGGCCCGCTATCAGCCCGAAGGTCCGGACGTCCTACGAAACGTCTCCTTCGTGGCCAATCCTGGCGAACGCATTGGCATTGTAGGCCGAACAGGCAGCGGCAAAAGCACCCTCGGCCTCTCCCTGCTCCGCTTCGTCAACCTTACCTCCGGCCGCATCACAATCGACGGTCTGGATATCAGCCAGATCCGCCTGCATCGCCTCCGCACAAGCGTCACCCTCATCCCTCAAGAACCCGTCCTCTTCTCCGGCGACGTGCAATCAAACCTCGATCCATTCGGCGAAGCGAGCGAGACAGAGCTGCACTCTGCCCTATCAGCCTGCACCTCGATCCAAGTGCACGGCGGCCCTGCCGGAGAAGCAGGCACCAACAAACCCCCAACCCGCGCCCTCACCCTCGACACCCCTGTCGCGGCCAACGGAGAAAACTTCAGCCAGGGCCAGCGACAGGTCCTCAGTATCGCGCGCGCGGTCTGTCGCCGCTCCAAGGTCGTGCTGCTGGATGAGGCGACCGCGTCCGTGGACCACGAGACGGACATGCACATGCAGAAGCTGCTACGGAGTATGTTCTCGGACTCGACGATCATCGCGATTGCGCATCGCCTGCGGACGATCATGGATTATGACCGGGTGCTGGTTATGGCTGAGGGGGAGATCATTGAGTATGTCCTTCCCACTTTCTTTCTTGCTTATCAATTGCGTTTGATTACAGAGGCTAACTTTGGAAGAAATGATTCACCCGCGAATCTGATTAAGAGGCAAGGCGTTTTCTGGAGTATGTTGAAGAATACAGGGGAGTATGATGAATTGGTTCAGATGGTAAGGGAGTGATTATTCAAATTGCCGGCGCAGCCATATTTGGCCATGTCTATTCTTATCGAAGTGTAGATATATGCATGAAATGAAGTGCTCAGATGCTATACCGGAAAGAATAGTTTGGTATCAAACAAAGCATATAAACTCTCTAATTAGGCTAAAACTCCTGTCAAAGAGTATTAGCCAAGCAAGCCACAAAAGCCACGAAGCTTGATACAAAGTCTTAATCTAGAGCGAAACTCTGATATTTACACATCTAGTTCATTCCACATCCTCTCCCATTCAAGATACTCAACACATATTTTGGGCCATCATGCAGACGCAATCTGCTGCTGCTCTACAGGCCACTTGAAAATCACAGCCTCTCCGCCCGTCAGCACAAACCGAAGGACAACCGACCGCTCATTGTTCAGCGCCAATTCGTACTTCCCCGGGTAGAGGACCCGATTGCCGGCTTCATCCGTACGAGCGACGCTGTCGATCGTTACAGGGATGGTCATAGTCTGTGAACTGCGTGGTTCGAGGCTCGACAGCCGGTCGAAACCGACGAGCCACTTGTTCGGATATGGCGCAGGCCCCGCGGTGGTGTTTGCGAAGAGCATGGCAGTGTAGTCGGAAGTGACCTTGCCGGTATTGGTGATCGTCACCGTGAAGTTGAGGAAAGGCATTTGCTCGACGTTTGCGAAGCCCGGGTGGGGCTGCGTGAGGAGGTCTTGGATGTTGAAGGAGGTCTTGTTCTTGTTTGCGGCAGTTAGGGAGGCGCTGAAGGTCGTGTAGAAGAGCCCGTGGCCGAACTCGTAGACAGGCGTGCCGGTGTACCACATGTAGGTCTGGCCGGGATTATTGCCGTGCGGCCGCAGGTTCATGTCGGTAGCTGGGAATTGGGTTGCGTATTCGGCTGGGTACTGAGTCACCACGAGTCGTCCGGCGGGGGCGCGCTTGCCGGTCATGATGTCCAGGAGAGCCTGGCCGCCGGATTGTCCGGGGTATCCACCCCAGACGAGGGAGTTGACGTTCTTGTTGGACTTGAGCGAGGAGGAGTCGACTTGGCCGCCGCCCATCTGGAGGACGATCAGCGGTTTGCCGAGTTGGCTTAACTGGTCGATGAGCTGTAGTTGATTGCCGGGCCATGTAATGTTCATGCGATCCATGGCTTCTGCTTCGACAGTGTTGTCGATTCCGCCCGCGAAGATGATGACATCGGATTTCTTCGCAGCAGACAAAGCCTCGGGAAACCCGTCCGTGGAGTGGGACGAAATGTTCGTGCCGAAAGCGTAGTTCACGTCCAAGTCAGAAATTTTGAAGGCATCCAATGGAGTAATCAGATAAGGCGCTGGTCCAAAGTAGTTGCCCTGCAGCTGAGTCGTCACATTCATCCAGGGGCCGATCAATGCCACACTGCGGACCGACTTGGCAAGAGGCAAGGTTCCGTCGTTCTTCAGCAGGACAATACCTTCGACAGCGGCTTCGTATGAGATATTCCAAGCATCTGTGGTCACGACATCGTTCCAAGTCAGGTTCCGATACACGCTTCGATTGCCATCGAAATAGCCGAGACGCACCAGGTTGCTGTACAGGCGGATCACGCCTCTTTCGATTTCCCCACGGGCAACCTCCTGCTCGTCAAAGGCTTCGCCGAAATAATATTGATAAGTGGTGCCGCAATCAATGTCCGTGCCTGCCCGGATAGAGTCTGCCGCAGCCCCCGTGATGTTGGCCGCAAACTCGTGGGGATTCCAGACATTGTACGCCGCGTCACAGTCGCTGGACACATAACCATCCTCGACGAAGCCGAATGTGTCACGGAGGAGGGTCTGTAGGAAGAACGAATTTGCGCAGCTGGGCACCCCGTTCACCGCGTTATAGGAACACATGACGCTGTGCACTTTGGCGTCCCTGGCTGCAACAAGGAACTGAGGGGTGTAATATTCGGAAAGATCCTGCTGTGTAATGTTCATATCGTTGCCCAGACGCGAGTGACCATCCCAGTTCTCAATGTCGTAGCCTGCATAATGTTTGGCAGTGGCTACCAACTTGAGGTGTTCCGGGTCAACACCACCCTGGATACCAGTAATATACTCATACGCATAGGCCGACGCCAGGCAGTAAGCGTCTTCTCCAGGGGTCTCTTGGCCTCTTCCCCAAACAGAATGCCGGAATGTGTTGATATTGGGGGCATACACGTCCAGCCCATACCGCCCAGCGTTATTGAAAGCTCGTCCCTGAGTCGCGATGATGCTCGCGATCTGGTTGATCAAGGTTCGGTTCAAGGCCGACATTGTCAGGATAGGCATGGGAAACGAGGTGGCCCAGCTGTACTCGCCCTCGTCTGTGAAGTTGGCGCGGTCAAGTCCATGGAGAGCCTCGCTCCATACTTGGTACGGAGGTGACCAAGCCTTGGGACACCAGGGCTGGTGTTCCCTGTGCTGTTCACCAGCTCTTCGAAGGTGAACATGGAGACCAGGGCAGCAGCTCGGTCATGCGGCCTAGCAGACGTGTCGCAAACTAGAGTCTTGCTGAGCGGTCCATTCTCGCAGTCGGGAAAGGACAGGTCAATCTTAGCGACCGTCTGAGGGGTGAGATCAGGATTCGCCTCCACATTGTAATCAACGTAGCTTGTGTTCGCCTGAGCGAGCGCACAAGGTAACAGAGCTACCAGCACGGCAGCAATAGATTTGGCAGCCGACATGTTGCGAGCATCCAAGAGACTTGGAAGTTGATCTCCTGCATTATGGAGTCGGCAGATGAACTGCTGAATTTATAGTAGGTTTCGGCAACACCGGCAGAAAGGATTCTGTATGTCCTCCTACCTAGTCGGCATCTGTACTCCATCTGTGCCGTGGAGGAGGAGTCCCTAGCGTCTAGACTTGTTTCCCCGAATTCCCCCACATGCGGATGCCCGAATTCAGCAGGTCCCACAGCCGATCCTGAGCAAAGAGCGGAGCGCGGGGATTCTCCGACTGTCCGACATGAGAGAATGAACAATAAGTTCACCGATTCACACTGCAGTTTAGGCTGAATTGACTTTAAACCTGAATGATGATGTCAATTGTGTCTCCAGTCCGTGTCAATCTCCCATTGTTCCTATGGAACTGTCAATGAGACGAGTGGACTGATTGCCTAGAGAGCACTGAGACAAAATCAAGTTCGGGGGAACAATTCTGTGATTGTAAATGCTCCAAATCAGCATGTGTCTAGTCTAGACTGAATGAGCAAGTACAGTGCGTCAAGCGGTCCTGTGATATTCAGCAGACCCCAGAGTCGTGGCCTTACATACCGTAGACCACATCTTATTACCAACGCAGGGGAAACTCCCGGGTGTAGCGGACGGCAAAGCTCAACTTCCAGCTCGAGCTTTCAGGCTGAAAAAGCCAGAGACGGAGACCGAGCATTATTAATGTAACCACAATGGCATGATTATCATCACCGTCTCGTTGCAGTTGACCCACTGCCATTACTACGGCTATCGAGCTACGACAGCCAAGGAGATTCACCAAGTGACTGACCCTCTCCGCAGGTAGTCTATTTAGCCGATAACGAAAGGCTGTAGAAAGGCGTAGCTTCCGAAGAGCAACAGGAAAGGCCCATCACTGCCATAGAGGTAATGGATCATCATGGTAGGGGGACGATGCAACTAAGCTTCTGGTGGAATCTCGGGAAATTCTTATCCGCCCACGCTTTACTGCTTCTGGATTAGTATGATATGGGGGATAAATGTGAGTAAAATATAGTAGTGGGTGACGGAGGTGGACGTTGTAACTTATGGCTGTTTAACATTGTATGGACATCATGATTTGGGACAAAGGGCAGTTTCACCATTGCACCCATGGATCCCATCAATTTCAGGACAGTCACGTGGCGCCGCCCTACCAATAAAGCATCATCAACTGGCTGAAGGCGATCTGACATCGCGATGACATCACTCCAAACACAGCAAGACGAATATTTGGTAGAGGGGTAGATATCAAAGAGTTATGCGCTTCGTCAAAACAGCTCAGATGAGAGTATCCAACCTTCATTTTGCAACAAGGACGTTCCAATGTCTGGCATCTTCGACTATATCCACCAGCTGGTGGACCAGGTGTTCGCCTTCACCAAGCTCATCCAGAATCGCGAAGTTGGATGGATGACAGTCGACCGCAAGACCGGCGAATACAAGCGCGAGAAGCAAGCACTATGGAAGAAGTTCAAGCTGCTGCTACTCTTCAACCCGTTGATAGAATGGATTGATCAGACTCATCTCATCCGAATGTATACGCACGAGAAGAACCTCGCTGCAGGTTCGTTTATATCCTTCAAGAATAAGTTCTGCAACCCCTGACTGTATTCAAGGGCGCAAAGAAGGGAAACCCCAATCCCACAATCAGATAAAATCCTTTATCGACTTCTACCAAATCGACATGTCCAAGTTCGACCCATCCGATCCAGAGAAATACGAGACATTCGAGGACTTCTTCGTGCGGAAGCACGCCCCGGCGCACGACCAATCCATGCACCGAACGACCCCACAAAGGCCACCGTCGTTGCTGACTCACGAGTCGTCGTCTATCCAACCGTCGAAGCTACTCGCAGGCTCTGGATCAAGGGTTCCGAGTTCACCACTGCCAATCTCATTAAAGACAAGGACCGCGCAAAGGCGTGGGAGAACGGCGCGGTGGCAAGCTTCCGTCTGAGTCCCCAGGATTACCATCGGTACCACTCCCCCGTCGAAGGCAAGGTGAAGTGGTATAAGCAGATTCCCGGGGATTACTTCCAGGTTGATCCCGTGGCGCTGCAGAGTTCGGTCAACATCCTGACGGAGAATGCGCGGTGCTGTGTGTGCATTGAGACTGAGGATTTCGGGCTTGTTCTTTTCGTGGCCATCGGTGCTACTGATGTCGGGACCGTGGAGTGAGTATTTCTTCTGGCAAGGGAAGTCAAATGGCACAACTGACATGGTATGTAGATTCAATGAGGAAATGATGACTGCGGGACACCATGTGAAGAAAGGCGATGAAATCGGGCTTTTCCAATTTGGCGGCTCAAGTATCCTAGTGGCTTTCGAGAGAGATCGGATTCGATTCGACGAGGATCTGGAGAAGTTGAGCCATCAGCAGATCATGGTGGATGTTGAGGTGGGTATGAGCTTGGGGAAAGCGACGCAGAAAGGGCATACTGCGACAAATGTAGTCACAGCAAGCCTTTAAAATGTCTAGTCACATGCTCCTCTCCAGGAGGATACGCTAAACGGTCAAAGAGGAAGCGGACATGGAGTTTGTTGGGCGACATGTTTCTTTTAACCACCTTTGCGGGAGAAGCAAGGGAACAAGCACGGCGTCGGGTCTTTTTTGCTGTCTAACTGATAGGCAAGTCATGATGGGACATACTCCTTTGCTGTACCTAATGATCTCGGGATAGTTAATCCGCCTTGCAAAGTTGTTCAATCCCAGGTCGAGCAAGTATGAGAGTTTTCTGATTGAAATTCGGATGCAGCTCGCTTTAATTAGCTATTTACATATGCTTTACGCCTCAAATGCGTCACAGGCTTGCTATATGCTCTAAGCCTTAAGCTCTGGGCTTTGTAGTTTGACTCCCGCCTGTTTTTACCTCCTTCTCAAGGGTGTCCAGCGCAGCTGCGTATCTCGACTTGATCTCGGCCGTGGTGTCCAGCTTCACATTCAGCCTCTCCACCTTGGTAGACCGCCTAATCTTGCCATCCGAGCCCTTGGAAATCTCATTGACAAACCAGCGGCCCTCGCGGTGCGCAACAAGCGTCCAGGCCGAGCCCTCCTTGTCTGCTCTTGCTGTACGTCCAACACGATGCACGTATGTCGTAACACTGGGAGGAACGTCGTAATTGACGACGTGAGTCAACGACTCCAGATCGAGACCACGAGAAGCACGATCTGTAGCGACAATAACAGAGATCTTGCCTCGTTTGTAGGCAGTGAGCGTTTTCCGAGAGGCTGATGATTTATTAGACTTGATAATCGTCCCGACGCGGTCCGCAAGCGACGGGTCGAGAAGTGAAATCAGGCGAGAAAGACGTGATGCGGATTCAGATGACTTGGTGAAGATGAGAACTGTCGTTCTTGCAGGTCCACGATGAGAGACATCCTTTTCCTCTTCTTCGCTCTCAGATGACATGGATACGTCAGACGAGTCTGGTTCGTCGCTTGATGAGCTATCGTCTTCTGAGGAGTCTGAATCCGATTCATCTGAGCTGGACTCGTCAGAGCTCGTGTTGTCCGAGCTGGTATCACTGGAGTCCGAGTCCTCAGAGTCCGACTCATCAGAGCTCGTATCGTCTGAACTTGACGCTTCTCCGTTCGAAGATCTCGAGAAACGTTCGACAGACCGTTGATTTTGTGTGTCCGGGTTGATATGAGACTGTAACAGCTGAAGGAGGTAAAGCGGCTTTTGCGAACCATCGCCGACAGATACCGAGTACTCTTTCAAGGTAGAGGGCAGAGTGAATTGTCCATCAGACGTTGCAGGGACGCTATCGTGCTCTGCTTCTTCGGTTGCAGTAGGCTCTGCCGAACCAATGATCACCAGCTTCGGATTTGCCAGTCGTAGAGAATTCAACTTGGAGATATCTCTCGTCATTGTGGCGCTGAGAATGACCTTCCGGGGTTCTCTGCTTTGAATTGGAAGCCCCAGCTCAGCCATAAATTTACCGCTGGAGCCGAAGGTTTTAGGATCCTTGCGGGCATCCAGGGAATTCATCACAACATCAACCCATTCCTGAAAACTCTCGTTCAGAAGTCGATCTGCTTCATCAATGACCAGCCATTCAAGGTGCTCCAAAGTGAAACCCTTAGTGTAACGCAGATGGTCAACGAGACGACCCGGAGTACAGATCAAGATATCAATGTTCGGCTCCGCCCTCTGAACGTAGCCTGGCAATGACTCGCTCAAGTCTCCTGCCTCTGCAATATAGTTCATGAGACTAAAATTCGTCCAATCTTCTCCAGTGAGATCGACAGTCTGCCTTTGCTTCGAAAGTTCAGGTCCATAGCATTGGTCAACACGCATCAATGTGCGCTGTTCGTCCTTGATCGCCACATTTCCCACCGCAGAACCGATACGAAGTCCAGAACCAGTAGCGCATAGCTCACAGGCTTCTCTGGCTTGTTTCACCAACTCTCTTGTGGGCACTACAATAAGACCTCTCATTCTGGGTGCCGGTGTCGGTTTCAGCGCGGTGACCAAAGGCAGTACGTACGACAATGTCTTTCCCGAACCTGTAGCGGCTGATATACAAAGGTCACCCGGGTGTCTCCTGGGGCCATGCAGAAGCAGTGGGATAACCGTAGATTGTACTGCAAAAGCTTCCTTGTATCCATGGTCTTCGAGCAGGCGAAGAAGATTTGACTCGATCCCTAATTTCGAAAACCTGGCGCGTTTGCTTGCCGACTCTCTGACGGGATTGGCTAACCAGGCAGGGAGAGATGAATAGCTTGGTTTCTCAGTTTCTTCAGTAACTTGTTTAGGTTGTGGAAGAGGCTCTAAGCCCTGTGCAACGACGGGTTCTGCGGTAAGCGGTCCTGTGAGTGTCCCGTTATCCGTACTGTCATTCTTCGCCTTGGCTGCCTCCTTCAACTTTGCGGATCTTTCGAACTTGGACAGAATGCCGGAAAACTTGTTCTTCTCAGATTTTGTGCCGCTCTCATCTTTAGAATTTTTGGTGGATTTCAACGCTTTGCCGGCCTTGTCCTCTTTCCTTTCCGAGCTGTCGTCCGAGTCGTCCTGCGGTCCCTTCATATGTGCAGACCCCTCATTAGATTCAGAAGCCGTCTTTTTTCGCCCTTTGATTTCTTCTTAGACTTGGAGACTTTATCATCTGAGCTCCTAGCATTCGCTTTGCTGCCGATCGGCGAGACAGCACTATCTTTCTTGGTCTTTTCCTCGCGAACACCGTCCTCTTCTGAGTATTTGTTCCGCTTTTCTTTTCTTGGCTTTTCTTTTGAACGGACGGCGGTTGGCGAAAGGATCTGAGTCTTTTTTGCTTTCTTGGTAGGTGTTGGTGTCGATGTAGCAATGGGGGAGCCATCCGATTCTCTCTTCCTTTTGTGAGACTTCTTCGCGCTCAGTGGAGTGGCTGAATCTTTTTTCACTGACGCATGATGCGCAGGTTTGTCGCCAGCCATGATCCAGTAAGAGCTGGCAGAATTGCCGGTTGCTGTGGTTGCTAAGGCTCTAATGCTTCGTGAGATTCTTCTCGAACATGATTTCTTTCCGCGGGGATATTTTTGTTGCATACCCGGCAGAATTCCTACACCGCCCCATATGCCGCCAGGGAGTGGGCCTCAGGGATCAACCAAGTCTAGAGCTTCATTTCGAGATCACATTCGTCTGGTCGCATATTGTTCGTTGTATGCTGGTATATCCGAATGTGTACCGAATTTACCGAAGGGCGAATCTGCTCGCCATGGGTAGAGTGACAGCCGATACTTATCAGAGTTGTCTAGATACCAGCTAGAAGGGCGGAGCAGCCATTATGCCCTACAACATTGCGTTAGTTTACCCCATACTCATCGCGAAGAGATGAAGCTGACAATGATTTGCGCAGTATGGTTTGTGACTTCTTCTTCCCTCAACCGGGTTTGTCTCCTCGTCGCGCATTGTACCTCTGCAGAATTGACTTATTCTATCAGGGGGAGTTGAAAGTCACATATACCAACTGTCAACTGTATGTACACTCGCTCCTTTCGCATGATATACCTGCTCATTGTTATTCCAGAAACTGATCGACCGCGGTCATAAAGTTATCATCATCACTCATGCATACAAAGGGAGGACCGGAGTTCGATATCTTACCAATGGTCTCAAAGTGTACCACATCCCGTTCTTCGTCATTTATCGCGAGTCGACCATGCCGACAGTATTCTCCTTCTTCCCCCTTTTCCGGAATATCGTGATCCGTGAACAAATACAAATCGTTCATGGCCACGGTAGTATGAGCAGCTTATGCCATGAGGCCATTCTACATGCCCGAACGATGGGTCTACGCACGGTCTTTACCGACCACTCTCTATTTGGGTTTGCGGATGCCGGTTCGATTTTGGCGAACAAGATGCTCAAATTTACATTGAGTGACGTTGACCATGTCATTTGCGTCAGTCATACATGGTACGTCCATTGAAGCCTAGGTTTATGTTCTAAATCTTACCTGGGGACAGCAAGGAGAATACAGTGCTTCGAGCATCATTAGACCCATTGATGGTCTCGGTCATTCCCAATGCCGTGGTCGCAGAAAACTTCCGCCCTCTTTCTCACGACACTCGAAAAGGCGATCGAACGTCAGGAGAAATCGAGCCGCGGCCACCGCCTGCACCGATCGGGCCGAACGATACTATCACAATTGTTGTCATCTCGCGTCTCTTCTACAACAAAGGGACGGATCTCCTGATTGCGGTTATACCAAGGATTTTGGCATCCCATCCGAATGTACGGTTTATCGTCGCGGGCTCGGGACCTCAGGCCATCGACTTGGAGCAGATGCTAGAAAGAAACGTGCTACAGGACAAAGTTGAATTGCTTGGGTCGATTCGTCATGAAGAAGTCCGGGATGTGATGGTCCGAGGCCACATCTATCTACATCCGAGTCTGACGGAGGCATTTGGTACAGTCATCGTCGAAGCTGCTAGCTGTGGTCTTTATGTAGTCTGCACTCGTGTTGGTGGCATCCCAGAAGTGTTACCCCAGCACATGACAACTTTTGCGAAGCCTGAAGAGGATGATCTAGTCCTGGCGACTGAAAAGGCGATTGCCGCTTTGCGTTCGAACAAAGTGCGAACAGATCGATTCCACGATCAGGTCAAGATGATGTATTCCTGGACGGATGTGGCCCAACGAACAGAGCGTGTCTACAAAGGCATAACTGGCGATGTCAGCCCGGAGGAATTTTATGGATATTATCCCGGTCAAGGCTGGGAAGCCAACGCTGACAGGGTGCGGAGTTTTGCTTTGATCGACCGGCTAAAACGATACTACGGCTGTGGTGTTTGGGCAGGCAAACTGTTTTGCCTTTGTGCAGTAATAGATTTCCTACTTTATGTGTTTCTCGAGATGTGGTTTCCGCGATCGAACATCGACATAGCCCGCAGTTGGCCCAAAAAGCTCGGACCAAATGGCGAGAAGAGTCACCATCTCAACAACAGAGCTCGAACTAGCCAGGAGCGTGTTGCTCCATGAGTGAGCGAATGTCTACTCGTGACTGGATCATTCTCATTCTGATATTCAACTTTTTTTTGTTCCATTTGAGGACCGTCTCATTTATGTGCATAGCAAATGCCGACCGTGATACCCGCGCTAATTGGATGATTTATACAAAAAATGAAAATAGAACATTGAAAAATATCTCATCCCGCTTTTTAACTCGCCTAGTGCCTGGCAGCGTTATCCCTCTTCGTACCAGGCTCATACTTCCATTCGTGAGCCGCCGTCTCTGCCGACTGGGGAGGGATATCTTCGGCAGCCGAAACGCCCTTGTCGCCGTGCTCGTTGGGCCTGGCCTCTTCGCGCTCAATACCGCGCTGGTCAGCCAGTGTGCGCTCAAACTTGTCCTGACGGTAGCTGCCAACGCCCTCGAGGCCAGCACCCTCGTGCTTCCGGTGGTGTTGGCCGTCGTGCTTCATTTCGGTCTTGGTCTGGCCAGAGCCGGGGTGGCCCAGACCCTTGTGGACGTCCTTGGAGGTGGCTCCCCTCAAGGTCGACTCGGCAGTGGTCTTGACGGCCTCCTTTCCATGGCTGCGCTCGACCAAGGGGTTCAAGGCCTGGCCGCCAGACTCTCCGGTGGTGTTCGGGGTGTATGAGTTGCTGGCGGGAGCAGTGCCGGGAGGATGAGTCTCAGCACGGAACTCTGGCTTGAAGTCTGCAGGGCTAACTTTTGTGCCTAATTGGTGCTGTTCGTGGGTTAGTATAGCTCGTTTGGAAGTCAAGGGGGCACTTACGCCATCCTTTCTCATGGGAGTAGAACGCTGGACACTGGGATGGATGAAGTCCTGGTTCTTACCATTGTCGAAGGAGTCGGGGTTGGCGGTGTGGCTCATGTTGAAGTTGATGAAGACTAGTTTGTAGAAAGGTCGTGTGCTTTGGTTCTGTTTAGAGACTAATAGATGAATATGTTGACAATAATCAAACAACTGCTGGCAAAGTCTTTATAAAGGCTCTTTGTAGAGAAACATCATATCAATTCACTCAGGTGCAGGGCCCAAAGGATACAACCAGAACATGACGTCAAGCTGATGGAGTGACTTCATAGTCATATCATACGCTCCTCTTCCACTGTCAACTTCCTCGCTGGGTAGAGAGGTAATCATTTGGCGAACCAAAAGCATCTGGAGTACCTCTCTACCTGACTTCAGATTGCATCCGTCAGAGTTGTGACGTCAAAAATTGGATCATGATGTGGAGAAGTACCAGCTTCGAACACTCTCGCAACTGCGCATATAACCGGTTGATTGTACCTTTGATATACGATTATACATCATAGATTCTCCGCTATTGAGGTTTTGAGTTCTTGGTAGCGTGGTGACTTGGGAAAACCGGGCAAGCCAATCCGTGAAGTTCGCGATAGCTTCATTTTCTGTTATCTACTATCGATAGCCCGTGGAATCGGAAGGTTGATGCAATCAATGTATGCACAGAACTATCTAGGTATCTTGTATAAACAAAGTCCTCCAGCGCCAAATCAAAACAAAATCAATCACCCAAAAAGAAGGGTATCAACATTCCGCTGCCGAGAGGAGCTGGTCCTGACCAAGCTGGCATCCAAGTGGCATCCAGCAGCGCCCTGCAATCACACCAGCATGCTATCACGAGCCTCATTTCATAATGGGAGGTCGTCCCTCCTTATTCCACTTGACTCGACTTTGGATCCATTCGACTGCTTCCCGAACCCCTGTACCCATCAAGGCACTGACAGGCAACACGCGGCTATCGCGGACTCCGCCCCCGGATTCACCCTCAAAGACCTTGCGCACAAGCCCTTCTTTGATGCGGACAACTTCAACGCAGTCTTCCCGATCTTGCTTGTTTGCTAGCACTAGAATAGGGACTCCAGCCACATCGGAGTGTTGCAACACCGATTCCAGTACCTGGCGACACTCGTCCAGACGTCCAAACTCGCTTCCCGGCGCATTGATCCCTGCCATTTCTTCGGTAACAGTGTCTCCTCCGGGCGCGGATGGGCCCGACAGCGAACCTGGTTTCCGATTCGACGGTAGACGGGTGATGTCTGGATCTTGTCCTACGTCCGTACTATCAACGACGAAGATGATGGCGTGACAACTAGAGTAGTAGCTCTGCCATAGATTTCGCATCGAGATTTGACCACCCACATCCCAGATCTTCAGGTACATGTCCGGTAGTGGGATCGTGGCGACATTCTGGCCGACGGTAGGCACGGTTTTGCCTGGGTTGGGAGCAGCGGCGCCATCGGGACGGGGTAGATAGAGGGCCTTGATTTGCGATAGGAGCGTAGTTTTCCCCGCGTTGTCTAATCCCAGGAGCAGGACGGAGTATTCTGAGCCCGTCTGTCAGCGACACACATGCAATGAGACCGAGGTGTATGATCCTTACCCTCTTTGCTGGTAGCGTAGAGGTATAGAGACTTGGCCAGATGATACATAGTTGCGGTCGGACGCCCTATGGAGGCCGGTCCAGCTCTGGGGAACGCAAGCCTCTAATTTCCAATCAAGAAAAAGGTAGCCAAGCCCTTGGTGAGACAATCATGGCAGCGCAGAGACTTTCGACCCCGACTTCCTGAATGTCTTCGAATCTTCCATCGTTCGTCCCTCCAACTCCCGGGCGACGATCCCCAGGATCCAGGACGCCTAGTAACGGATCATGCGTCAGCTGTGTCCCAATCAGGTAACTAGGGTATAGGGCCAATTGCCTAAGCCACCCTAAGCCCTACATACCGCATCTAGAAACAAAACCCCGCAAGCGGATCCCGAATTCGGCCAGCGAATCTCATGATGACTTCACGCTGTTTCGGTCAGCGCCGAGGAGCTGCATATGTCACTCTACTGTTTAGCCTATATCTCCGGTACATCGTGCATTGTGCACATCCAAACGGTCCGGTTCGGACTACGGAGGAGTTGCCCTCGAAAGCCTGCCTGGCCCTGAACAAGGCAGATGGCTCGATCAGGCAGGCTTAAACAAGGCAATCTGATTTCATTCGTAGCCGGACGCCACTCGGTGATCTTTGATTACTCCGTACCGTCCACTGGCTCAAAACCGTTCCAACTACTCACTAGACGCATTTTTTGTTTTGTCAGCGAACCCCGTTTATGGGCGAACCCCCAATCCGAGCCTCCATAAACTCCCCCATGTAATCACTACTAATCAGATTTTGACCTTGTTTACCTCTCCATGGCCTTCCAGTTGATCAACCTTCATCTGAAGGTAGTAAACAGATTCGCTGGTTCATCGGGGCCACAATAACCGTGACCGTTATCAAGCTGTCTACCATCGCATGTCTGATGCAGAATGCCCCACGCTGAAGCCGCGGCCCGGGGCACACAAGATGCCTGCAATGGAAACTGACACCATAATCATCGGTATGTCGCCATTCTTCAGGGGAATGAAATCGTTTCTCGCCAATCACTGTGGCCTCTTGATTGACTTTGACACTGCGATTGATAGGGAACGGGCCATCGGCTATGATCTTGTCATTTATTCTCCATGGTCATCTCCCGTATTATTCTATAAATCGTTCGCATCCCGACCCTCTACTCCATGCGAAGCTTAAGGACAACCCGGACTTACTGGATGCGGATGTAGCGGCTTTGACCGAACATTTCCATGCCTCTCGATTGTCGTACTCGACGCAGGCTCTCCCAGTGAATGTTCTGCTGGACACCCTCGTCCGGCCAAGCATCGATGTGGATGTGGGAGAGGGTGAGACCAGAGTTGACTGGCGATACGTGCCGGAAAAGGCCGTCCCACACTTGGTATTCGGCAATGCGCCGAAGGCCGGTGGTCAATGGAATGACAACCTGGTATTCGCTAGCTGGGATATTCAAACGTTGAGCTATGCGTCAATGCTGTCCTTGCCAGGATATTCCTTCGCTGAGCACTACCGCAAGGTCAATGGCAACGATCTTCCCGCTTTCACGCGGCCCACCAGGAGGGAGATTATGGACTATTTCAGCGACTATCCCGAGGCAGTTGGAATTGCTGACTCTTTTCAAAATAACGAGACTCTAAGCGGTATCACAAGGACTGCAAATGGTTTCTTCATTTCCTCCCACAATATTCATTGCAAGCATCTGGTCTTGGCGAGTGGGATATTCTCGGAAGTGCTGCAGCCCCTTCCGATGCTACAACCCCTACGATTTCTCCAGCCGACTCCGGGGATACCGCTCCTTGTTATAGGATCCGGCTTCTCAGCCGCGGATATCATAATATCTGCTCCGGCGGACCAGAAGGTCCTTCATATATTTAAATGGGACCCTGAAGGACATCCCTCTCCACTCCGCAGCTGTCACCAGCGTGCATATCCGGAATATGCAGGTGTGTATCGACTGATGAAGCGAGCTGCTCTTGCCGCAGAGCCAGCTACAGCCAAACGCCCCGGCAAACCAAAGCGGACGACATCCTCTCCATTCCTCGAAAGTCGGGCCTGGGATACAGTTTACGAGGGCCTTCCAAACGCAGAAGTGATTGCAGTGGATATGCAATCGGAATTTGCAGTGGTAACCTTTCGACTACCCGACGGAAGCACAATGGAACGAACCGTCCGTGGCCTGGTATATGCAACTGGTCGTCGTGGAAGCCTTGGCTACCTGGATAAGCCCCTTCTTTCCGAGGTTCTCGGCTGTCCAGGTGGAGCAGAACCAAGTCCCATCATATCGGGCAAGACATTGAGAGCAAAGGCCTTGGAGGATCTCGAAGTCGCTGATGATGTCTTTATCATTGGCAGTCTCACCGGCGACTCCCTGATCCGGTTTGCCTACGGTAGTTGCGTGCAGACGGCTGGTCGACTTATAAGAGCCCATACCGGGGATGATAAATCCGAGTGCAAAACGCCAACCTCTTCCAGACCACAAAGCTCATCTTTGCGTGTGATGAACGGCGTGGAGGGCCATGAAATCTACCATAACGGCGATTATTACCAGCAACTGGAGAAGGTTGATTCCGAGGCCACAACTCGGCCCCCCTCGAGTCTGGATGGCCTGTGGAGCTGGATGGTGAGGTTTTGGAGGTCATAGAGTTATCGCGCACATATATATATATATAAGCATTAGATATTCCAGAGCTCTATTAGAGCTCGTTGCGTAATAGTCGTCTATATCCTCAAATATATCATTGAACATATTGTATCAGCATATTGTATCACCATATTGCAGAGCACATGGCAGTAATTCAGGAACAGGCTAGGTTACAGGGTATATATTATCATTATCATCACTAGGTTGGCAAGTCTTCACCCGCAACTACATCCATCACTAACCCATAATCTGCAGTAGATCATCCGGAGGCCAGCGTGTCTGCGCAAAGCTCAAGCAGCGCTTGATACTCTGTAAGAACTTTCGGGTAATTTCGTCACTGAGGATGTGTGCCTGTTGATCACTCTGGTGCAGCTTTTCTCGGGCTGATCGCTCGTGGATACCAACCATAGTCACACCAATAGGCCAAGCTCTGTACCGAATTGTTAGAATAGACCTAAATGTAGAGGTAGAGCTTCACTTACGCTTTTCCGATACTGACGCGTAAATATGCGTCGTTAGCATCAACATATCTCCGCAATTGAGCCTTGTGCACGATCTCCATAATGGGCTCTAATAGGTTGTCGTCGATGTCATTCTTCTCGAACTTCCTGAAGAGCGGCTTCAAATTTTCCCTCGACTGAACCATCGCATTGTAGGCCTGACGACCGGTCAGACTCTGCTTGACCGATACATCCCGTCGTGCGAGAGCACGCTCCCACTCCAGCAGCACCATGTTGAAATACGAGGCCAACTGCCGGAACAAGAACTTGCGACCATCTGTATCCTTAGGAAGAGTGGTTGGAATCTTCATGTCCACCTCCGATACAGGTTCCAAGGTAGTAGGGATAGGCCCGTCCGTCACCTTAGGCTGAGGTGTCATCGACCGACGGACAAGACGGCGGTACCGTCGCAGACGGGCAACATGATTCTCTCCAAATAGACAGATAGGCTCCTTGAGGTCGCGAAGTTTCTGGTTCAGCTCCTCGTCCGGTATATCAGCCTCTTCCTCTCCCAGAGTCGACTCATCCTTCTCGCCGGCAGGTGGCAGTTCAGGTAGACCCAGTCTCTTCCTGCGCTCTCGTTCTTTCGCTGCCTCTTCCTCTTCTCGCTTCTTCCGGGATTCCTCGGCTAATCGCCGTCTCTTCTCTTCGCGTTCGCGTTGCCGCTCTGCTTCTTCCTCTTCGAGTTTGCGTTTCTGAGCCTGGCGCTCCTCGCGTTCGCGTTGTAGGCGCTCCTGTTCTGCATTGTAGGCGGCAATTCTGGCAGCTTCGAGTTCGGCTCGTCGGACGTATTTCTTGTCTGGGGTTTGGGTGGGCTCCTTTTTCTCTGATCCTGATGATGTTGAGCTGGGCGTAGCGGAACTCTTGGCCTTGGAGATTTCCTTGGCCATCAAAGATGCGAAATCCATGGCTAAGTTTGAACGGGCTCTGCCACTCGCTAATTAGGATATCACAAGCAATCAAAAGATGTGCGTATAATGAGAGTTGTGGGAGGTGTAAAAAATGATCTTGAAGCAGCGGTGGTGCAAGCGGCCAGATTCGGCGGGCGAGCTTCTTTCCTCCGCCAGATAGCTCTCGCTCTCGTGACAAGCAACACCTCAACCACCAACGTCGCCAGCTTGCAGCCCCATGATTTAAAAATCAGACTACTCGTTTACTGCAATTCAGAAAGTCATATCTTACCTTCCACTATCGCGTGACAATTCACCATCATGGCTGCTCGCGATGCGCCCAAACCGCAGATCGACCGTCAAAAGACCACACCTTTCCACCTGAAGCTCTTCTACCGCGTGGACTCCTTCCACCCACTATCCGACTTTGCCATTCCCTCATCGCCATCTTCCTACAATGGGCCGACCAGCGGTCCTAATGCGATTCGAGCTCGCTCCCCTCCCCCAGCGCGACTCCCCCGCACCTGGAAATCTACACCTGGCAGTCCTGCACCCTACGAGAATTAACCCAGCTCCTCACCTCGGCATTACCATCCCTCCTGCCCGATCCCGCCGTCGGGACACGCATATGCTTCCGGCTGATCTACCCGGACACCAAGGGCGCCGCGACAATGGGCGGCGACGCGCGAGGGCGATACCTGAGCAAGGACATGGGGAGTGTGGTCGTTGGACCGAAGGATAGTCCGTACCGGGGCGAGAATGACGACGAGAATGGGGCCAGTGCTGCGTCGGGGCCCGTGCGCTGCGGCTGCAGGGTAACGATGCGGACAAGGCGCTGCAGGACTTTCGTTTCGTGATTGGGGACTACGTGGATTGCGCGATCCTGCCGCCGCTTGAGGACGGCTCTGTTGCTCCGCCGCTGATTACAGGGCGAGGGCCGGCGAGCGGGCCCGTTGGAGGGGCATGAGGGCGTTCCGTGATCCGGGGTTTGGACGGCCTGGTCGTGGGAGAGGGGATCGGGGGATGCCGTCTGGGGATTGGAGGCGTGGTGAGAGGCTACCGGATGGAGGAGGGCGCAGTTATGGTGGGGACCTGGGAGAAGGGGGTGGGCGCCGTATTAGACGTGCTCTAGTTGTTTCTTTTATAGCTTACATGGAGTTTACGGTAGGAAAATCAGCTCAAGTCTACAGTTCCGGGAGTGCATGTTCTTGATACCGAGCAATTGACAGGACGTATTGCGTCCAGCCCGCAGTTCAGGAGACGCATGCCCTACGTCTGCATTTAGAAATTTCGAATGTAATCGATCAGTCCCCGAGAAAGGGACCGGGGTTTTGGCTCATTCAAGAGGAAGCAATTGAACAAGAAAGCGAAATGATGCGGTATATTCTAGTAATAGGTACAAGGCCAGCGGGTCGGCGCACAACTCGATTTCGTACCCGCCCTTTCCATACTCTCTGCGTCACAGAAACAATCCTGTAGAGGTCACCTCACTCAACATAAATCAACGGACAACCTAATATTCGAGAATGGTATCGCCTTTCCTCTTCCCGCGGAATTCATATTTGCCCTGTTACAGGTCAGTCAATCGGCGTGTTCTTCGCTTCTCCAAAACCTGAATATTCGCAAGGACATACATCTGTCTTGTAGGCAATGTAGCCCAATGTACCAGGGATCGCAATCATGTAGATGAACGACAACCAGGCATGGCGCGGGGTCCAGCGGAAGTACTTGTATCGGTTTGCGGTGAGTTCTGCACAGCATTAGTCGTTGGCATATAGGTTCTCGCGCATCTTGTCACAAAATCAAACGGCGATTCGCGCTATCTGTTGATGGGCTGGAGGGTAGGAGTAGGACGGAGAGATGTACCGTAGTATTTCTGGAGGGCCGGGTCAAGGACCAGGGCTGTGGAGCAATTGATCAGTATTGAGGTAGATGGTCACTTTCGGGAACAGCTACTTACACTTGCTAGGGCCGGCCATGGTTGCGACGTCAGCAATTTCAGGCGAGGCCGAGATACTCGTCTGATGGTGATGGTGATGGTATCCATGAAGTTCAAGTGGGCGGTCACCTGATCTTGGCGTGCTGAGTCAGCTGGCTGCAGAACTGAGGCCTGAGATCGCGGGCATCTACTCGCCCCCGTCTACAACCGCAGTACCGCCAGTACCGCCTAGAATGCTACTTGGAAATTGGTGGTACAATATCATCGTTGTGGGAGCAGACAGCTACTGATTCACCGATTTAAGGCTCATACTAGCTATATGACTGAAAACTGCTATATGTACAGGTGATATGATCTGAATTGACCCACATATGCATCGATGACGCCAGCCTTAAGATTTTCACGGGGGTAGATGCTTGGCCGAGGGATTCATCCGAGGTTGAGCTCCAACCTGCGATTGTTCAGAAACAGGTCTAGAAGTAGTGCCGTAGATCCTGAGAGAAAGTGCAGATCAAAGATAAAGACTTGTATCTTCTGTTGCCCACTTAGCCTTTCGGTGCTCTCGTCCATATTCTGTTGACACGACCAGCTTCCGTAGACCAGCATCATTCAATCTACTTCCTAAGTTCATATATACACCTATCAGAGAGTCACTCAAGAGCAAAATGGCAGACGCAAACAAAGGTGCCAAAATCACCCTATACTGGTACATTCCCCCGGTTACCACCATCAACACAGAAAACTAACACTGGCACACAGGCTGGAACATTCCCGCGCCCAGCGCATCCTCTGGCTCCTCGAGGAACTGCACCTCACCTACGAGCTCAAGACCTTCAAGCGCGGTGCCGACATGCTAGCCCCAAAGGAGCTCAAAGACATCCATCCGCTAGGCAAATCCCCGGTCATCAGCATCGAGACCCCCGGCGCCCACAAGCCGCTGGTTCTCGCCGAGTCCGGGCTGATCATGGAGTATCTGTGCGATCATTTCGGGGGCGACAGGCTCAAACTCATCCCGCAGCGCTATGCCGCAGGCAAGGAGGACCAGGTAGGCGGCGAGACCGATGAGTGGATGCGGTATAGGTACTACATGCATTACACGGAAGGCAGCTTCATGCCGTTTTTGGTGATGCAGTTGGTGATGAATAGTGAGTTTCTTCTCTGCGGTGTTTCTGGTTTGATGGAAGTGGAAGTGATGCTGACACGGCCCAGGCATCAGGAACGCCCCGTCCCGTTCTTCATCAAGCCGTTGACGGGCATGGTCGCGTCAAAGGTTGAGCAGGCGTTCGTCACGCCGAACTTGACCTCCCACTTTGAGTTCCTTGAGGATCAGCTGAAGACTGCGCCGGGAGGCGGGCCTTACCTCTGTGGCAAGGAGCTGACTGCTGCGGATATCATGATGAGCTTCCCTCTTATTGCGTCCTTGGTTAAAATGCCCGATCTCCAGGCTCGGTATCCGAGGTTGGCGGAGTACACGGACAAATTGCAGGACATGGATGGATACAAGAGGGCTGTTGCGAAGGTAGAAGAGATAGAGGGGTCGTTCTCTGCGTATGCGTGATTGAGATTCCTGGGTCCGGGGATTTCAAGCTGAATATCTTGCTGAATATCATGACTTTATGTTTGTCAAAGCTCGACTTATTGGATATAGGCATTTGTCGCTGTAAGAACAAAATGTCAACAATAATAATGGATAAGTACAAAAATTCGCCAAGTCATCGTTGCTACTGGCCTCTGTAGCAGACACTGAAGCACCAAAGTATAATTACACCAGTCTAGACGGTATGTTCTCGATAAGTGTCGAAGCTGCCACATGCAAAAGAAGGACGAAACACGAAAGAAAGCAAGATAATGAGGGGTATCAATTTGCAACAAGCCTTCCTGAAAAATTCAGTGCTAGATGTCACAGTTCAAAGGGTCAATGCCTGATGAGATGACAGCCGGTCGTCTTCCAACGGCGTCCACATAGACACCGAGTTTCTCCATCTCATGAACATCCAGGATTCCGCGTCCATCAATGACCAATTTCGGTGCCTTCATGTTGTATGCTATGCGTGCCCATTCTACAGGCTCGGTTGCAGTGGGATAGCTGGCTGTTGAACGGCATGCTGCACAGGCATCCTCGCACGTTTCTTGAGGGGACAAGCGGTATGACAGGCCGTTGCATGACCAGATTTCCTCCTCTAGATCTTTGGATATTATGGCTTTGGGAGGAGTGTTAACAGCCTTAACCTCTGTCTTCGGTGCAAAAGAGTTTGGCTTCGATTTGGTCGGCCTGTTCCGAAATTGATCACAGTCTGAAATGATGAGGACTGCGTCGGCTTGAGAACAAGCTTGGTACGGATCGGGAAAGACTTTGACTACCCTGCCGTCCAAGGTACCGCAGACACATTCAACCTCCCGCATGATGTCCTTTTCAAGGCAGAAGGGATCAAAGATCGCAATCTCCATGGGCTTTTCTTCCAGCAGCAACCGGATCACGTCAGCTGCCAAGGACTCTCGCGTGTCGCCGGTGTTCTTCTTGAAGGCGAACCCAAGCATGGCGATCTTTCGTCCGGTCAGGTTACCATCGAATCTCTCGATGACCTTCCTGGCGAACCGGTTGCGTTGCATTTCATTCATCACATTAACTTGGCTCCAGTAGTGAGCCACATCTTCCAAGCCCAATGACTCAGCGAGATATGTCAGGCTGGCGATGTCCTTGCGGAAACAGGAGCCGCCAAACCCGAGTCCTGCTTTGAGAAATTGTGCTCCAATTCGGGCATCCAGACCGATAGCTTGAGCTACTTGATCGACCTCAGCTCCTGTCTTTTCGCAGATAGCACTGATAGAGTTGATGCTGCTGATTCTTTGGGCGAGCATAGCGTTGGCTACAAGCTTTGCGAGTTCCGACGACCATGCGTTGACCTCTAGGATGCGCGACGAGGGCACCCAAGATGAGTAAATCTGTGCAAGAGTGCGCGCTGCGTGGTGTCCGGATGGTGTTCCAGATGATCCGATGAGAACACGATCGGGTGAGATGAGGTTCTCAATAGCCGAGCCCTCGGACAGAAATTCGGGGTTCGACAGCACCTCGAACGGCACACCGGGTCTCAGGGTGGCCAACTATACATCGTCAGATTGGATCAACGAGGAGCAGGCAGATGGGTCAATAGCACGTACCATGTTTCGAATCCGCCGCGCAGTGCCACAAGGAACTGTGCTCTTCTCGACGATGATTGTGCCTGGTTTTGCAATGGCTATCTGCCGCACAGCCTCATCGATAGCTGACATATTTGTTGCTCGACCAGCGCCCAGACCAAACGTCTTGGTGGGTGTGTTGACGGCAAGCATGATCATATCTGCTCGTGAGATACTAGTCACCGAGTCACTTGTGAAGAAAAGGTTTGCGCGCCGCTTTAAGCGCGTTGCGTTGATCTGGGACGTAGTCTCATGATTGACAATCTCCGCTCCATCTCTCGTCACTCGGACGACGTCGATCAAGCCCGGTTCATGTACCGGAAGGTGTGGTGACTTCCACTTCCGAATGCGAACAGGGTCTCGGTCCAAGACTTCGACTGATATCGACGGGTTGTACAGCGCCATAACAGCTGCGGTTGGCCCACCTGCAATAATGAGACTTTGCACCATTGAGACACAATAGCACAAGCATACCGACGTATCCAGCGCCCACCACGCAGATGTTCTTCACCTGTCCCCAGGCCGGAAAGCTTTGTAGTGAAGCAGAGCCAGGAGAGTGCATGAAATGCGACAAAGCCAGATCCTCCATCCTAGAAGCACAAAACAGCGGACTTGAAGAAGGGGTTGTAGGGCGCGTCGAGCCATCATATGAGCTCGCATCTGAAGTCCCTGCAGGAGACAACGGGAGATCCATTGCGACTGCTTGAGTTTCTGCAACCATTTCAATCATGACTCCCAGTTCGACCATCGTAAAAGTCCATAAATTCACTGCAGAAACGGGCGCAGAGCGTTTATAGACTTTTACCTCCCGGCTTCACCCTTATCGAACCCTCCCCCCAACTCCATCGAGGGGCCAAACATTTCTGTTTGGTCCCCGCGTGCCTTGTCATTGTTGCCGCCATCCTCCTAGCGCCTCAGATGATCGTGCAAAGCAATAATAACCGAAGGTTCATGAGTGTGTAATGGACAGTAGAGTCGATCGCATGGATCCCCAAAGAGCTTGACTGCTGGGTGCACGCGGGGGATTCGCGGACTGCCACTGGTTGGGAGAGGAGAGAGTCTCGCAGCGGAGGGCGACAAAGAGTTGACCCACGTGCAGCCACCGCGGCCTCCTACACGAAGCATTGCGCTCTGGCTTCAACGTTGCAATCCGGCACAAGCACTTTCTTATCTGCTGTGATCGCCGATGATTGCACCATTTGACTTTGGATGGAAATACTGCTTTCGGCTACTTCAGGCTCGCATCATGCTTTTATGCGGGCAGGTACTGCCAGGTAGATCTGGGTTCTGGGTTACTGACTGGGTTATTGCTCTACAGAATATTATTCGACCTTTGGTGCGCAATACTTCATTAACATATAAATGGATAGAGAGAGATTTCCTCAGTCTCTAAAAGGGAAGAAGGTGCTGTTGACCACCGAGTCGCTTGGTCCCGTCAACGGAGTCAGCCGGACAACAGGCAGTCTGATCGACTATCTTCGTCGCAATGAGGTCGACCTGATCGTGGCGGCACCTCAATTCGCAGGTGCCCAACAGGCCGAGCAACCAGTGGCAAATTTGCGACTGCCAGGTTATCCTCTCCCGTACAACCCAGATCTGACGCTGGTGTACCCGTTCCGCCTGAAAGATGTCTACAAGGAGCCCGTCCAGCCGGATGTTGTCTATGTGGCGAGTCCGGCGTCCTTGGGTTTCCAGTTACTACTGTACCTGCGGCAGCTCCGAAACCCACCCGTTGTGCTGCTGAACTTCCAAACCGACCTGTCAGCATACAGTGAGATCATCCTCCCAACTCCCTTGAGTCGGTGGTCTGTTTGGTTGCTGGCAGTGGTGCAAGGCTTCCTTTTTAGCAATCCCGCTGTGCATACCATCTTCTATCCATCATCATGCATCTTAGACTATCTGAAGAAGGCCGGCGCGCCCTTCAGACGAGCCGTCAAATTGGGCCGAGGCGTCGATACGACCTTGTTCAATCCCTCTCGTCGCGACGAGGCCTATCGGAAGGAGATTGCGCCTAATGGAGAAATCATCCTTGTCTGCGTGTGCCGACTAGCCCCAGAGAAAGGATTCGAATTCCTGGCCGTGGCAGCAGCCAAACTCGCGAAAGAGAAGCTACCGTTCAAGCTTTTGATTGTCGGAGGAAACCGCAATCCGGAGGTCGAAACGAAAATCCACCGTCTCTTTGGTCATGTCAAAGATCATGTAGTTTTCACAGGCTTCATGACTGGAGGACCACTGGCTCGTGCATATGCCTCGGGAGACATTTTCCTGCACTGCTCGATTACTGAGACTTTCGGGTTGGTGGTGCTCGAGGCAATGGCCAGCGGGCTGCCTGTTATCGCACGGGACCAGGGTGGTCCGTCCGATATTGTACGCCATCAAGAGACTGGATACTTGGTCCCTCCAAACGACATTGAGACATTTGTTGCTCTGGTGCGACAGGTATCGCGCGACTCTCAGCTTCTGTCGTCCCTGGCTGTGGCCGCCCGCGCATATGCAGAAGATACGACATGGGAGAAGATTAACCGCAGGGTCGCCTGGCAGATGGCAGATGCGGTTGACGACAGAGAGCAGGCAAAACGAGGTCAACTGGAAGGCCAGGGTAGATGGTGTGCTGCTTACGAAAAAGCCAAAGACAGAACCATCATGGCGCTGGTTGAGAGACTCCGACTTATTGCTGCTTTCGGGTTTGTGTGCTTTATGTGGATGATCTCGGTCGTCCCGTTGATCATTCACGGGAGCCGTATCATTCCAAGGGGTCTGGCACATATCCGCGGCCTGGTCAGTTTGCGTAAATGAAATGTACGTAATGAGAAACCGAAGCCATAATGCTTGATTATGAATAGGTTCTTGCCATAGATGCGAGAAGCGAATACCCAAGTGCTTGATGCGACTCCTTCCCAACTCATAAACGAACAGGCTCCGTATCCCTCGTAACCAGTAGATGGCCTTCACGCACCAACGAGTTCTTGCATGTCCGCTTCAATACAAAATCCTGCAGATTGCCCAGCGTGACTCCCGCAATTTCACTCAGGGCCTCCTCCGTGAAAAACGCCTGATGCCCGCAAACAAGCACATTGGGAAACGTCATCAGTCGCATCAGCGTGTCGTCATGGATAATTTCAGCCGAATGATCATTGTAGAACAGCGAGCCCTCCCCCTCGTACACATCCAACGCCAGACCACCGAGATGGCCCGCTTTGAGCGCCCCGATCGCAGCCTTGGTGTTGATCAGCCCTCCACGGGATGTATTAACCAGCAACGCGCCCTTCTTCATCTGCGCCAGGGTCTCATCATTGATAATATGTCGCGTGCTCTCCGTAAGAGGACAGTGGAGGCTGACCACATCGCTCCGTGACAACAATTCAGATAACTCGGTAAACTCGCCGTACTTTTTAAACTCATCCCCTCCGAACGGATCATACGCCAGCAGCTTGCACCCAAACCCATGGAAGATCTTCGCAAGCGCCAGCCCAATGCGCCCAACACCCACGATCCCCACCGTCTTCCCGTGCAGCGTATGCCCCAGGAACCCCTCGAGATTGAAGTTCCCCTCCCGCACGCGGTTGTACGCGCGGTGGGTCTTGCGGTTCAGAGTCTGGATCAGCGCCACGGCGAATTCGGCCACGGCTTCGGGGGAGTAGGACGGGACGTTGGCGACGAAGAGGCCCAGCTCCTCTGCGACTTGTAGGTTGACATTGTTGAAGCCGGCGCAGCGCAGAAGGATGGCACGAATGCCGTATGCGTGGAGGGACTTGAGGACTGTCGCGTCCAGAGTGTCGTTTACGAAGGCGCAGACTGCATCGCTATCTTTGGCTAGTGAGACCGTCTCGGAGGATAGAGCGAAGGAGTGATAGACGATTTCGCAGAAGGATGCGTAGTCTTTCTCGAGGGCGCCGTCGAGGAAGAGCTTGTCGTAGGATTTGGCGCTGAAGACTGCCACCTTCATTTTGATTTTTTGAGTTGAGTCAAGACGTGGGATTTCGGAAAGGCTGAAGAGTCCTCTCTTCTATGGTGCAAGAATGCAGCATAATTGGTAAGCTGTAAGATGGCATGATGTGTTCGTCTTACTGTGCCTCTAAGCGGATGACGTAGTGCATATTCGTGAGGAGACAATCGATAATATATAACCACTCTTCGCTAACCGTATTTGGAAGATAAACAAAGAACAAGGTACGTTTCGAAGAGTTCAAGAAAGGACAATACTATCCCGTGAATATCGGCGACGTCTTGGGTTCAAAATACCAGATCATTGGTAAGCTGGGATTTGGGGTTATATCCGCAGTATGGCTCGCTCGTGATCTCGAGCAAGGCAGTGCTGGTTCCGTTTGCTCGCGACCAAGACCAGCTAATATGACGAGAAGCCATCGATATGTGACACTCAAGGTATATACACGCAATGAAGCCAACCAGGAAGAGCTCCAGATTTATAAGCATCTGAACCAAGGGAACCCATCACGTCCTGGCTATGCTCATGTGAGAAGAGCGCTAGATATATTCACCATTCCTCGTCCCGGAGCGGACCATCACTGTCTTGTTCAAAACCAATGTGGGAGAGTTTCAGGGATCTACTATATCGCAACCCTAATCATCGATTTACTGAAGATCTACTCAAGACTGGTCTTATGCAAGAAAAACTTGCATATCAAATCAAGGACAGCCTAAGAAGAGGGTGGTATGATGGGACCGGCCTGAACAAGGATGAGTCGTGCATCTTCCGAAAGTTCCGAGTTCCGTCAAAACAAGCGTGGAATCCTGAATCCCTCCCGCCTTGGTGGTGCCCACCTGTCAGCTTGTTAGCATGCTCCAATGCCCACTCGTACATTACTCCGCACTCAGTCTATATCAAACCGCCGCAATAATGCCGAAACCTTCAGAAATGGAGCAAAAAAGGACCACGAGCTATAAGCCAGGCGACTATAGGCTGCATTGGAAGGGTTCTCCGCCAAGGTGTTTGGTCTTTAAACCCTGAAGAGTTCGAGGTCTCGCAGTTTCGCACTACTGAAACATAATAATAAGCCACCATTAAGCTTGTTCAATTGTTGCAGGAGGAGAAGCTTCGGCTTTCTGAACGTTCATGATCCATAAGTATTTCCGGCAGTCTGACCGTGCAGTGTAGCTGCCGGATAATGGCCGAAGGACTCTTGATTCAGAATCCTCCGGCAATGCAGCCCCGCATGTCCTAACTGAGTTACATGATGAGTTGGATCCAAGTAGGGGTCCAAGCCATGCACCTTGGCAGGCGCCGTGGCGATTTCAGTAACAACCCCGGAAAATCTCTGGGAGTTTTAATGGAAGTAAATTCCAGTTCCCTCCACTCGTTGGTTAGAGATGCCTGTTCTCTCTTAACCAGCCGTATGTTTAGTATGCAGTATGTGCTCATACATCCGGTCTAACCGCAGAGGAGATCCTTGGTGGAGAAATTTGAAACATTTATGTCTTCAAGCTTTCCTCCTCTGGTTCAATGAGTATACAGCCCAGAACTGATTTGGAAAGGGGCCCGCGGACACTCAAATGACGTTTCTTAAAGTCCGGATTTGTGTCTCATTTATGGAGAATATGGCAGTTGAATAGCGTCATTAGTCCACCTATTGGTGTTTTTTTGTTCCCAACCCCCCTGTCTCAGGTTGTTTCGACTTGATAGATGTCTCACAACCTGAATCATAAATGGCGGAGAATCCCACCGCATATAGACATGTCGTATCCGTACTATGACACAGTCCGGCGAGAGGGGATCAGAGGACTACGATTCAGGGACTGAACTAGAGATCAACAAACTCACCAAAGAAGAGCTATAAAATGGCTTTGCTGCTCTTCCGAGCAAAGACAAGAACAGGATCACACAGTCCACACTGAACGTACAGTCATATACTTCCAAATCACTACCACCATGCCTTCCATTAGCCAGCTCCTCTCTGCTGCTCTCACAGCAGGAGCCTTTACCGCTGTGAATGCGGCTATGGGTCCTGCCTTTAGCACTGGTCCTGTTGCTTCCAACTCCTTCATCCGCGAAGCAACCTCCACTCTCGTGCTGCCCACCCTTGTCGAAAACAACAGGGGAAGCCTTTCCCTTTGGGTCGGCATGGGCACCTCCAACGGAGACTTGATCCAGTCCATTACCGACAAGTGGCAATCCAATGGATGGAGTGTCTATACCTACACGCTCCTGAAGACTGGAGGTTCGTTGATCTATCATGACACGTCTACTACCTGAACCATCAATGGCACTGACGCAGTCTATCTAGAGAACTCGCAGTACCCTGTGCAGGGCGAGAGCGCGCCCGCCAACCCTGGCGACCACGTAACAATGCACTGTAAGCAACAGCGACATCTCTCCGCCTAGACTCTGGACACGCAGAACTAAACATCCTCCAGACAAGTTCGATGATGCTTCTGGCAACTACACGCAGACTCTTTCCGTGAATGGACAAGTCGTTTCCACACTCTCCACCAGCGATGGACATGCCCAGGGCTGGGGTAGTGCTGTAGAGTGCGCCGCAACCGACTGCGGCACCGTCGGTGCTCACTGTAAGTTTACACGCCAGCTCACTGTTCAAAGCCACTGGTTAACATGCACTGTACCTTTAGCCTGGATCGACACCAAGATTATCCTGGACCGCGCAGATCCCAACTACAAAAACACGAACTACAAGGGCCAGGGCGTCACCGGCGAGATGTCCACTTCCGATGGTGGCAAGACCTGGACCGTTAGCACGATTCAAATCCCTCAGTACACATTTTGAGAGCGAGCGGCAGGTCTACACTGACGGGGAATACCGGTAGTAAAGCATAATTAGGTTGCTCTTTAAAGCGTTTGCCTGTATAGCGAATATCTAAACCACTCTTAGTACGTGACCTTCCGAAGAGCAGTATCTAGCTAAGAGAGTCCTCGGCAGCGTACTTCCGAGTAAGTAACCGCCTAAACCTATCAAAAACACCGATTGTTTCATCTATGTTTTAGCTTGCCCATTACGGAGTCAGTTCCCAATGCAGCAATTCTGCAGAAGCCCTATGATTTTTGCTGACAGTTAGGGCAGGGATGCACCGCGCAGCTCCTTACTCGTACAACCTGTCCAGCAGCTTGGTAGTGGCTGGGAAATGTCAGTAGTAGGGTAGGTATGGGAGGATGAATAAACTACGGCTAATTTGATCCTTAAGTCTTATATCCATATCCAATCCACTCCGCCGCCCTGCGGGGGAAAAGGAATAGCCGCACTAGTTGATGATTAAGAGAAAATAGGTAGTTAACTTATAGAAGACTAGAATATCTAATCCCATGAGGGCCATGACAAGGTTGGGTACAGAGTCTACAGACCCTAAACTCAACAATTATTAAAGAATCTCCCAAGTTAAATCAGTACAGAAGGCATCAAGCTAATATACTCTAATTTCATGAGTATGTGTTGAGATATAGAAAACAAATCTGAAAGTTCAATTATCTGATATTCCTAGTCCGAGTATTCCTTGCTATAGATATGAGATAAAGATAGCAGTAGACTAGTAGCTTAATTTAGGGTTCAGTCTAGCCTCCCACTTTATGGCGGCATGCTGGATAATTATATCAGCTAGACACTTCCAAAGCTTTAAGCTCAAAATGCACACCTAATGTCTGTGAAATATGATCTCCTCTCCTTTTATAGATCTACAAGGCAAGCACGTGATTTACGCGCCGGCAAATCTCGTAAGGCTGAAGCAGCAGAACGATGGAAGTCGAAAGAAGCGCCGTGGATACGAGGATCCCCTGTCCCGTCTAATAACGAGTACTGTGCGAATCAATGGACCTACAATGATTACACTGTCGCTGTGGTGTACGCCATTAGCTTTGAGATGAGCGCAGTCCACTACATGCTCGACAATGAACGTCCCCGTTTGCCCACCAAGCAGGGCGATTCAAACCTATACGTCCTGGGCAAACTCAGCGGTCACAATGTCGTGATTGCCTGTCTTCCAGGTATAAAAGGGAAAGGAGCCACAGTAATTTTTACTAATAATATGTAATGTACATTCCTATTATTTAAATAGTGGCTTCTGGTGGGCATAGAGGTGGTGTGCTGAGCCCAACACACGACATCTGCCTCGGCAATATTGTTGTGAGTATGCCCGACAGTTCGTCCGGTGGAGTAGTTCAGTATGACCTAGGGAAGGATGAAGAGGATGGCTTCTCCCTTAATGGATTCCTCTGGCCACATCTGGCCTCTTCGAAATCTAGAGGACTATTCAACTTGGCGACTATTATTACTGTGCGATGTTTCCAGGGCAAGTGTGCAAGATGCACTCGTTGCTCGACATTGCGCCGAGATAGCGATGCTGAATAGACTCGTGATATCAACTGGCAGGCAAACTGAAAGACTGAGCTTGGCATGACGTCGGGACATCCAATTCATGAGCATGGCAAAAAGTCAATTACGGCTTTTGATTGCTGACCAGAGACTCGGAGGCGAGGACCATTAGGCCCTTCCTAGCCCTAGATCAATGGGACTTGACGGTCATATCCCATTGGCTATCGAATGAATTGCTTGTGCGGTGTCGATTACTTTACGTCCAGATGCCTTCCAAGTCTGTGTCTACCTTGTTGAAGAAACTACGTGGAAACTTATTCGTATTCGGCAGAGGATAAGACGCCTAAGCTCGGGTATCCTGTCGATCTGGGGATTGTTATGGTCACCAGAACAAGTACTGCAATCAAAATGATGATGAACTGGTCCGCTGTGTGGCATTACATTGCATAGGTGTTCATCATTCCAGTTACATATACTATAAATAGGCCGTGCATTGTAGGCCTAATGCTTTGCATCGTAGCAGCAGAAAAGCTACAGGGAAAGCAGAAAAGCTTCCTGCACTTACATACACCAGTCAGTCTTTGAAGTTCACCGCGCACTATGCAGTGGCATTTTGAAGCGGTCGAGCTACCTTAGGCGGGGAAAGGCTTTGTATATGTGGCAAGCTAATTTTGCTCTTTGTTAGGGTTTTGGCCTTGAGTAGATTCAGTGTGGAAGAGCCCCAGCTGGACGTTGCTGAGTAAGGGGGTAGAATGACGTGTAGATCCAAACAGAGTGACATGACCTCACCAGAAGACATGTCATGTCACTCTGAAGATATGCTACTATACCCCAAGAGGCGTCCCCCGTGTCAAGGAAATCTACAAGGCATTGGCAGAGGTAATGATGACACAGCCCATTGGTTTCTGAGCTTGAAAGAAATGCCGATGTAGATTTTCTTGAACTGACTGCTGGAGCAAGTATATACAAGCTAGGTACAACCATACATTCATGAAAGACGATCTGAGGTAGAGAGTAGAGAGTAGAGACTTATCCCGGCCCTTCTGAAAATAGGGCTTTATTGGAAAGAGAGCCATAACCTAACGCAGCCAGACTCAATTCTATGTGTATTGGAGTCTGTACTCCGCCGAGCTCACTGATGACGCCTGCGCCATGCACAGCAATATTGTAGGATCAAGTCGCATTCAAGAAGGCTTCACAATCGATATCCTCTCTTTGGAAAAAGAGTGCACCAATTCCCGCTTGACTGTCCGATAATCGTCGAATGATTCTTCGTATGTTTTGAGAAGTTGCTGTTTCTCTATAGATGAGAGATTACTCCCCCATGACTCTGCAAGGTTCGCCGTGGCCTCGTTCTTATTTATCGGAGGCCAGGAATGACAAAAGATCATCGGGACTCCGTGGTGATCGTGAAAATGGCCGTCATGGTGGGCGTCATGCACTGAAATAGGTGCTGATTCGGCCTCGAAGACACATTTCTCGGATTCTCTAGGCTTCGATTTAGGAGCGTGGGCGAATAGGCCGCTCTTTGCAAGATAGCTGAAATCCCACGTCATTCTGCTTGAGGTGAAAACGCGGGGAAATTATTATTCAAGACAAACATTCATAGGAGGCTTATAGCTGGCTTAGCTAGTAGAACTAGTGTTTCGACGCAGAGAAGCTACAGGGCTTTTAAGCCTGAGCTAGAGAAGGAACTATCCAGTCTAAGCTGTCAACATAGCTTTCCTGGGTACAAGTTAGAGAGTCATCATTCCATATCTAACTTAAAGATCCAGCCAAAAGCTGATCTTGATGATTCATAGAATGCTACAATCGGGTATGCTGCGAGATATGCTTTTTCTAACGAACTGCTGGTTCTCTGTGAAAAAAGAAAAAGAAAAAGAAAAAGAATAAAAATAAAAAATTAATAGGATGGCCGGGAACTCCGTATGACAGGTACCTGCCACCCACAAGGGTCCAGATCATGAACATGCATTGGTCAAACAGCTTTTGAGATGAATGTCACTGAAGTGTGTTCTGCCACATCGAGGGAGAAAGCGTGAGTGTCATTCTCTAAGTGGTGGCTAGAACATACCTCCCCACATTCCTGTCATAACCATCCAGCAAAGAAAGTTCGTCATACCCATGGTAGCTATTTTGACGGCTGTGTTTTCCAGCCGCTTTAAGCCAATGCGAACTTTTAGGGTCCTGGACTGTCACTTTCGCTCCATGTGTCTGGGGCTTCAACGTTGAGTATATTAGAGGATTGTACCTCTACATAAGACACAACTTAATAATCTGCATCAAGGAGAACCTAGGCAAGCATGTATGCATGTATTATCATCGCATTGAGCCATCTTCAGGATCCGAGGAGGGCAGGCCGTCGACTCCCTTCAGAATCGGACGGTTTCAGATGGTACACAGTCAAGTCATCTGATAGAATGAGATCCCTAGAGAAGGGAATTGAAAATTGCTGGATCCCTGATCCTGATGAGGATCGTTAACGAACTTGGAACCCAATCGCAGCGATTCTCTGGCTTCGGCCCTCCCTCTCTTCCTCACTACACGTTCGGGTTGTGTCGGTCGGTGAACCACTCCATCCAACGAGTATCTGACTAATCAATTGCCCTATGGTTACAGTAAGGAGTCAAGTAGGTTCATTCAAGGACGACATTTGACATTTGAATGACACGCGAATTGAGCCTCATTGGTCGAAGCCCTACCTGACCATCTGGTTGAGCGTCTATTGGACGGCTGAGGTTTCCGGCCATAGTTGGTTAGGCGCATGTATACCGCCACCCATGGAAATCCAACGTTGCTGATAGTTACCGAGTGAATGGAAACTATCAACTATCAACCTTATCGGAGAGCTTTTTATCTAGACAGTTGCCAAGACTGAACCGTGAACCAGAATCCCATGGGCAACCAAATGAAGAGTCAGCTTAGTCAGTATTATTGCGACTGTGAGATCACCGGCAGTGTCAATCGTTCGATCCTCTGATGATGAAAGATCGTTTGAGCCATCATTCAGTTTAGTTTGGCTCGGTCTCTGTCAAACTTGATGGCTCTCCTCTAACGCCAAGACATGAATGTCAAAAAACGATCGCCAAGCCCTTGATGACACCCTCGGCAAATCTGATTTGACAGACACTGGGGTTGCAGTCAGATGGCCGCTCCGGCAAGTTCTACCGAGCCGATCTAGGTGCGCCGATTGACATGTCTAGGCACGACATGTGAGCTTCATTGGTGGAGGTTGATATAGACGCCGCTGCTGAGAGGATGGTGGTTGGTAGATCTTTCGGTCGATGATACATGGAGCTGATAGTCTTGGTGCTGGCCATATAGGCGTGGATAGATTTTTCAGGCGGTATACATTCTTCTTCTGAAATTGAGAGAAGATTTCACGGAGATCTCCTCGCGAACCATCCTTACTTAGTGCAGAGGACGAGTCACTTTTTCATGTTTGGGAACAGGAACCTGAACGTGGATTAGAAAAGGGCATTCCCTAATTCTAAGCTGGTGGATAGGACTAGAAGGAGAACCTTACAGCTCCTCGCCTCGGAAACACTAAAATAATGTTAAGATAGGTTTGAACTTAGAATGTCACTTATCCTGTCTGGTTGGGTCATACATGACATAGCTTTCCCTCAACCCTGGGAGGTTGAGGGTCCTTCCTAATTTGCAGCAACGTCAAAATGTCGACCATCTGTTCTTCAACGCCTCACGCTCGATCTGGCTTGATTACTATTGGTTAGCATTCAGCATTATCCCTGGTTAATACTGGCACATGTCGATCCCCAGGTAGGCCTTAATGACACATGGCGTCATGAAGCTGAATTAGGATTTCTCAACATCACTTCCGTGGCAATACTTTTGTATATGTATCTATCGTCCTTCTCTCCCTTATTCAAGCTCTAAGAAATCATTATAGATCGACTTTCTGCCTACAACTATGAATATGTGATCTAAGGCAGCTGCCTTGTTTTGAAAACTATTGCCTACTGCCATCAGAATGGATTATTACAGCAGAGCCAGTGCTTCAATATTGTGGCCTTTTCAAAGCAACAGTAACATTTGCTTCCAGCAGAGCTCTGGTATGGCTACATATCCCGACATATTACCAAGTCCTCAGGATGACAACAATACCATTGATGCATTTCAACTGAGGAGCATGCTGCCAGAGACTATCCCCCAAGATTCCACCGGCAATATGGTACTGGATCCAGAAGACATCTTCCCTGACGAAATGGCAGGGCAGCCAGAAAATGTCAAGTTCCCTACTTATATCAGTGCATTTAGGGAAACTGCCGTCTCTTCTGATCTCCCATCATCAGTAAGTTATCAATTAATCCAATCCATCTTTTCTTCTGTTCTAACCTGCGATATGATGTAGGAGGTCAAAAGTAAGACCCAACTGTGGCCACCAACTTCTTGCGCGCAACAATCAGATCCAGCCTCATCTGACAATTCAACCTCAGGCACCACCGCACCAAGCACCTCAACTGATTCCATGAGTCGCATAGCCAATACCAAACATAAACCCCATAACAGAACTCCACAGCGGTCAAGCCCCAGATCCGCTTCTCAACAAGATCTTTCCCTAATCACCGGTGTACTATCTCCATCGCCCTCATCAACTCCTACTACCAGAAAAAGTGGAACTTCATCTGCTGATCCTCAAACGATCAAGGGCCGCAAAGCCGCCAAACGGGCATCCCATAATATCATTGAGAAGCGGTACCGCACCAACATGAATGCCAAGTTTACCACCCTAGAAAAGGTCATAACTAGTTGTCGGAACAAACAAAAGGTCTCCAATAACAGGCCGTGCTCGATGAAAAAATGTGAAATCCTCACCAGCGCAATTAAGTGTATTCAAAATCTGGAGGAACGGAATGCTGCTCTGAGTGAGGACGTGGCATTCTTAAGAGAGCAGCATCGTCTGCTTGGTGCGATGTGAGGCCTGTCAAACAGACGTCTTGCGATGCTGGTATCAGGGTTTTGCTATTTTCTAAACAGTGTATAGTAGGGATTTGGCGTTGTGATTGTATTAGTTGACTTTGACTTAGCGGCTTGCTGTACTACTAATATTACCAAAATCTGATAATCCAGGAATGAGTTAACCTGGCAACCCTCTTCATCAGCACTTAGCCTAGGAGCGGTTATAAAGAAACTAGAGTCTCTAAGCTTTACCAGTAGGTTAATGTTCTAACTTTAATGAGGAAAGCCTGAAGAAGCCTAAAAAAAGATTAGCCCTGGTTCATTCCGACCTGCGTCATCAAAGAGCGCCTACTGGCTACTGGACTTATACCTGGCATGACCTCTCAGATGGGGCAAGATTTAAGCAAGTTCACTTTCAATATATGATACCGAATGAGGTTAAGACATTGAAAAGTTTAGGTGTAGAAACAAATAAGAAGACTGAACATGCAGCAGCTGTAGCGGCTGCTGAATGTGTTGCCAAGTTGATATAGGGTTAAACATGCCATTTGTCAGTTGCTCGATCACTGTTAGAGATGATAGCCAGATAAGAGCAAATCCAGTATGATCACAGTCCATCTACGGTGAATGGCAAATGCTAGGGTTGAGAAAAATATCATATCTTCGAAGTTAAAAAAAACCTGAGATGGGATTGCTTTTCATATCCACGTCTGCTTAATCAATAGACGTAGTAAAATCACTTCCCGGCTTCGAGTATTCCTTAGGACGCATTACCCTATGATAGTAAAAGGATTGATGGCATAGAAGGAAGTACAGTATGCTGCTTGGGGAAATATCACATGAACCTTCCCGGGAAATCAATGCCTTACTTCTCTTGATAAAATGTCAGCTTTTGAGTCCTATATACGCCGCTAAATAAGAAATCCAAGAGGGAATAGTGCGACCAGATGCTTTCTATTATTATTCTCTCGTCTAATATTACTCTCATTAAAGTAACGAGTGATCTAGACTTTTATTTATGAGCTGTAGAGACAGTTATACTTGGAGTTGTATACTAAGGGGACGGTACTACTCTCTTGTCTTGTATCATTTAGGGAATCTTTTCGAACTATTATGAACCCTAAAATTTCCATGATACATATATCTACCAGTCTTCTATGGTACTGTCTGTGGTGGGTAGTCTTCCATCCATAGCAGCCTACTGTGTCACGCTCATTCGTAGGATGACTATGAAAGTATTTAAAACGACATACTAAGCATTGGAAGTGAGAAAATCAGAGTGAGTATGCACGGTATAGGAAGGACAAATACAGTGTAGAGACCAGAATTAACCTACACAGACCTCGAATAATGGTTCTACTTTAATATGGAGAAGAGAGGTACAAGGCATAATAACCCACAGGGCAGAGCCTGAAGCCGACAAGATCACCTGACTTCAACCTGCAGAAGGATCACGAAACATATTTCCATATTGAGTGGCTCTAACTCCGTAGTAGATCTTGACCTTCAATTGCTCAGCCATTCTTATGGCTGCGGAGTTTGGCAACAATAAAAACAATTAACCAACTATACTAGCGGATCTCTAACAGTTTCTTATTACCAATAGCAATACTCTATGAGCAGTCTGGACCAGCTACGAGAGGGGCTCCAACGCATGTCAAGAATGTCTGACATGTGAGCTGCAGCGGCCAAACGGTGAGTGGAAGACCTTGCCTTGGACAGATACATAGCCGCGGTGCGCTGCGCGGTACGTACCACCCCTCAATACTTGATCCACAACCCCTCAGGATCCCAACTGTGTGTTCTTGATCATAACACTTGCGGTTGCTTGACAACAGTTGACACTCTTATCAAACAGAAAGAATACTAAGAGAGAGCCTTTTTCTCGAAGAATCCAAAACCCCAAGTCCAAGGGCCAATGGAAGCGCTAACCTTACGCGGCAAAATACAAGAGAGCAGACTGCTCCAATCTGTTACATAATCTCAAGTCATTTGCCCAAGCCGATGGAAATTCCGGAGACCGCCGTTCGGGGTCTGTCCGTGCAGTCGGGGGCACTGTCCAATGGGAACGTGTGTGCTCTCCTGAGCCAATCAGCTCTCTGCGATAACAAGATCAAAGAACCTCCAATTCCAAGGCGACGCCAAGAGCCCCACCGAGACCGCTTGCAGGATTGATTGGTTTCCACCCTTTGGTTTGGACGCCATAACGGATTGGCCAGGTAGCAGTGCCCAATAGATAGGGTAGCAGCTCGTTGTAGTATGCTGGAAGTGGGATGGATTCCTGGCTCGCGATCACACCGCTAGACGATGGTTTGGGAACCAGACCGATAAGGACGGGATATTCAAGGAGAAAGGGGGATCTACCTTCAGCATCATCCTGTCGTCAATGTTTGTCATGAGGCTACTTGCAGTATGCATCGTAAGTTTGATAAAAGAAATTGTAGGTATGGAGCAGTTGATATGCACATACCTCTTCAGTTATGGGTATGGAGCCATTCTGCTCCGTCCCTACTCGTGAACTACTCCGTTCAGGGTAAAGAGACATCTCGGTCAAGGTGGCCACTGTGGGTCATCGTCGCATGTGGAATTTTGGAGTAGCATCCAATAAGAGTAACCGTTTTTCATCTTAGTCTTGACTTCGGTCCGTCCTTTGGAAATCTGGATCCATCTTATGAAAACCAGAGAGCTAGCATCACAAAAGCAGCCTATGAAGTACTTCAGCCTGTACGGTGGCGGGTTGGAGATTTGGAGATGGAACATCATCGTCCATCATCCACAACGTAACAGTGGAGACGACAGTTGAAGATGAGCTGAGGATTGCCTGAAGGGGCAAGAAGTCATGCTCATGCTCCTCTTGAAGTCAGAGGTAAACCTCATGGGGCTTGCCACTCGCATCAAAACCAGACCACGGAAGGGAGTGACGACCAAACAGACGGCAATGCGAATCAAGAAGAAGCGGTCAACAGTAGCTTTGATGTCCAGCATTCGAAGTTGTCATTAACTCATTATGACTCGAAGTGATTTGCAAGGGAGAGGATGCGATAGGGGAGGATGAACACTCTACTCCGTCCCGCAAGATTATCGGAGTAGATAGGGAGATAGCAAATTAGCCAGTTGACGGGCTCGCTGATCCTGGGCATGTTCGGCAGAATGTCCCATCCCGTCCATGATTTGCTGCCTTTCCTCCAACCGGAATCCCACCTGGGGCGACTCTGCCATACCGCTTATTTGGATGAAACGCGAAGCTCCCCCAGAAGGAATTAAGGGACACCCATCTACTCCAAGACTCTTATCTTCTCTGTATCTACTCCATACTACTAATTTCAGAGATTCATCAGGAAGAATTATGATCATCCATGAATGAGATTCATAGCTCGACTGTCATTTAGATAGATTACACACCGGACCCGCAGAATGCTGAATGTCAGCAGCTAAACCGTAACACTAATAGAAATTAATCCGGTAGACTAGGTAGACTAGCTAGACTACAAGTGAGGCTAAGGAAATCCCGAAAATCAGCCAAAACAAAACGGCCTCGGTAAAAGGCCGTTCTCGATCAAGTACGGATAGACACCAGTACACTATTTCTTCCGATGGCTGGTTTTCGGGATTCACCCATAAACGCCGTTTTGGATATTGAGACAACAATACAAAGTATTTGTCTTCAAGATCATGATGCAGATGGCCAAAACCATATACATCATAGCTTTATGGTCTTCATCATTTCGGGATAATATCCATGTATAGACCCTGCCACCATGAATCTTATATGCTCCATGGGCCACTCAGCGTTGTTCACCGCTGTTCACCATCCGTTCAATGCCGTCATGATTATGATCGTTTGGAGTTTATTAGTTCGGCCTTGGTAATAGAAGACATACTTTACAGCGTATCTAAGGGAAGTCTGTAAAGGCAAGAAAACCCGTCCGTCCAACCGGCGCACGATGATTAGCGTCCATTTCCTCTAGTTAGATAGCTGTTAACAAATAACGTGGCAGGGATTCGTTTCGAGCGATCCCCATCTCCATCGTCCATGCCTCGCCTTGCTCCACTGTGTTTCTGCGGACTTTCTAGCCTCAAACCTAACCTGTTAGTGTCTTTCGGTGTCCTCCACAGGGCAGCATAATAATACTACTACGGGGTACTAATAATAATAATTAATACTATGTACTGAGTAGACTATCTACTAAGCATGGCAAAAAGCGGTCCCTCCATTCCGCCGTTTCGAGTACCGTCGCCTCTTTCCCCGGCTAGTAATGTCTCTTCTGGCTGTTCCATTCTTCCATCCGGGACTTGGCTCGTTCCCTGGGATATCCTTATTAGTACTCGGCCTCGCCCAGATCTATACCACGCCTTTGGTTTTCTTCTCCTTATCTGTGCAGTAAGCCCTGTGAGCAAGGTACATTCTTCTGCTACATCCATCCAACTAGCATTTGATCAGTCAAGCGCTTATATTTTTGCATATCCCTTGTATCCCATACATCATAATCATCATTCCGATTTGCATATACTGCTTCTTCCTTGAACCTCCCATTATTCTTACTGGTCGCTGCTGTCTACAGTGAGCGATGCTTGTCTGCTGCCATTCAACAAGACTTGCGACCACCATTCACCACCCCTGAACCACTGTGTATTCACTGCTTTTGATAAGCATATTGCTACTCGCCTCTCTCTTCCGCCATTATTTCAGTGTTCCCTCTTCTTCAACTCTCTGTTTGAAATCACCCACATTTACGAATCTCGATCCCCTTACGAAATAGACACAAACTAAAGATCATGGCCACTCACGTTGTCACTACCACTATTTCTCCTCTCTCTGCCAACCAGATCTCTGTTTACGGCCATCCGTCTCCTGTCAACTCGGCTTCCGCCACCCCTGCCAACAATTCTCCAACTTCTCCCCGTCTACAGCATCTTCCTTTGCAAAGTCGCCAGCTGCGGCCTCTCAAGGGTCCCTTGTACGTCCCCGCTGCACTGCGTCCTACCGAACGCCCTCAGAAGTCCTCTCCCCCAACCCCTCCGCGCAGTGCGCACGGTTCTCTGGACAGTTTGAACGACGAAGAGCCTAGTACGCTCGTCAGCCGTCGTTCGACCATGGAGAGCAACTTTAACAACACCATCAGCAAGCTCGCTGAGAATGAGTGGATGAAAACGGAGCACCTTGGTCAAGTTACTGGTCTTCCCACTAGAGAACACTGGAAGGTTAGTATTCTTTTTTCTTTTCTTCGAGTGTGAGCGAGGGATATAGTGGGATATATACACCTTATCCTCGCGCAAGAATACTCGCAGATGGCGTGTAAGCACGTCATCACATGCGATGGCGTGACTTGACCCTTATGCTGCTGGGATTCTACTTTTGTGTTAGGCAATGAGCAAAATAACTAACATGCTCCCTCACAGGCGGATGCTGCTTCTCCTAACTGTGACTCACCCACCTGCCGCTCATCTTTTGGCCTCTTCCTACGTCGTCACCATTGCCGCCACTGCGGACATGTGTTCTGCTCCTCTCACACTCCCCATATGGTGCCTCTTGATCAAGATGCTCGCTTCCACCCTGAAGGAGTTCCTTCTCGCGCCTGCGATCTCTGCTGGAGCGCTTACCAACGCTGGGAAGAGGCTCGCACTGAGCGTTTGAACAAGATCCAGACCCTCTTGACTCAGCAGGAGACGACTAGCAATAGCAACCAAGACACCGAGTCTGCCACCAACGCTACAGCGAGCTCCGACACTCCGCAGCAAGACGATCTTTCGAACCAAGCCACTAATGCTCCTCAGGGCCAGGCTACTGAAATCGCTGCCAGCGTTCCCCGCGGATGGAACTGGAGCACCTTCTAATCGGATCACTGATCTACGCTCTACGACAGTCCTACATTTTCTGCATATGCATGTCATCTCCAGATTCACTCTCTGAATCTGTCCTCATGATCTTTCAGCGAGGTCTTTCTGACCATCATTTCGGTCAATTTCGGTCATCTGCGCGGAGTACTGGTTTTCATTCCGGGTTCTTGCCTTTCGTACCCTTTCTTTTCTCTTCGCATATTTTTTTCATGCGACTCATAGAAAGGGCTCATTGTCTTTATTGTTCAGACTCAGGATACCCCGTCATGCTCCTTTCTGAGCGGCGATATGTTATTCAATTCTCATGGTTCACGGCGCTTACGAAGGAATGGCGTGGCTATTACATTATTTTCTTCTTTAATCAGGGTGCCATAGATGGTTTTCTAATACATTACAATGATTTTCTATCTAGATATTTTCGCTCGCATCGTTTCTTCCACTCTAAATCTATGAACGAGGCTCTAGGTCAATCCTCTTCCACATCCCTACATGCTCAATCCCCTCCTCATCCCACCTCCCCATCTCTTCATCCGTCACAAACCCAAGCCGCTCATACATCTTCTCCCCCTGCACCTGCGCATGGACCAGCACCGACCCTTTCCACCTCAACTCCTTCCCCACCACCCGTCGACATGCCTCCTCAATCTCCTCCCCATGGCCCTCGCCCACCCCAACGCCTCATCAACCAGTCTGCGCCCCAGCCCAAGACCCCGGTATTCCCTCAAAACCGCCACCCTCGTCAACTTGATATACGGCTCATGCGCAATATCGTACTTTGGTAGTGACGCATCAGCTCCCGGATTCGTGATCAGTTCATGCGGTGCATGCGGCGGTGGGACGAGCCGGATCACCGCTACGGGGGTCTTGACGCCGTTGCTGCTGTCATATATCACCCATTGCCAGCTGCGGGGGTCGTCGTCGTCGATCTCGGCCGAGGCGGGGACGTGCTGTTCCTCGACGAAGACTTTGAGGCGGATGGCCATTGCGTCGTTGAAGACCGGGGGGTTGTTGGTGGGAATGGGTTGGAGGGGTGGGGAGGGTGAGGTTCTGGCCTGGAGGGGGTTGGATGGCGACGGTAAATGAATTTGGGGTCGGTTGGATGGTCATTTTGATGTGCTATGCGTTGGCGGCCGGGGGAGGAGTAAAAGGAGTCAGGATAGATCCTCAATTGATAGAATGAATGTCTTGAATTGATTGGGTTGAGAGGTATAGACGGAAGCACCGAGGCTTATCAGTCACTATCAGCAGCAACGGATGCAAACAGCGCAAAGTAGTGCAAACATGGCTGGGATTTTCCTGCATCATATCTAGCTTGGTGATGATTCTGTCAGAAAACTACCACCATAGATAAATGTCTCTTTACTACGACGCGGTCTCCGTTCTGACCGCCCCCTCATCGACAGGGGGTTCTTTCAAATCCCGCATCTACAGCTCGCGGAACCTCAAATCTTCCCCGGCGCAAATCTACGCTCTGGTCATCGAGGCCTCGAAATGGGATATCCTTCTGAAAGAGGTCATTGAGGCGGCGGGAATCCTCAAACAAGAGCCCAAGGTAGCTACAACCAGTTTCTGCCCATCGTAATAGATATTTCCTGCTGACTGACCGAGATCTGTGGTTGACTAGCTCACTCCCTTACTTGGCCTACTTCTCGTCCACGACCACCTCCTCGCCAAGAATGGCATCGCAGCCAACGCAAACCATCCGCTCCGCCAGGCGGTCGAGAGACACAAGACTCGACTAAAGGGGGAGTTTGCCAAGGCGCGCGTGCGCCGCGGATGCGCCTCGATACCCGATCTGAAGGCCGCCGTGCTGCGCGAGAAACAGGCCGCGCAGGGTGCGCTCGGGACTTCTTCGACGGCCGTGTATCCGCGCTGGGTGCGGATCAACAATCTCCGCACGACGATGGAGGAGCAGATCCGGTCTACATTCAAGGCGTATACCAGTGTCAACTCGCTCGCGGAGCTAGGGGAGAAAGAAGAGGCGAAGCTGTACGTTGACCCGCACGTGCCGGATTTGGTGGCCGTCGCGCCGGGCGTGGATTTCACATCGTCCCCTGCGTACAAGAACGGGCAGATCATCCTGCAGGATAAGGCGTCGTGTTTCCCGGCGTATTTGTTACTCGGGGATAGCGAGGAGTGGTCCGGCGACCTGCTGGATGGGTGCGCGGCGCCTGGAAACAAGACAACGCACATGGCTTCGTTGCTTGCGAAGCATGCCGCTGATAAGGACATCACCCGCCACATCTTCTCCATGGATGCTTCCAAGGTGCGGTCCAAGACATTGCAGAAAATGGTCACCGCCGCGGGCGCAGACAACATCGTCACTGTCCTCCAGGGCCAGGATTTTCTGGCGCTCGACCCCACCGAGGACCGCTTCGCAAACGTCACCGGACTCCTCCTCGATCCAAGCTGCTCCGGCAGCGGGATCGTCGGCCGCGACGACGTCCCCAAACTCGCCCTCCCCGCGGCTGCATCCACGCAGACCGGCAAATCGCAGGGGAAGAAGCGTAAACGCAGAAGCGACGACGACGAAGAGACTCAGCCGGGAACCGTAGCCACTTCGGCCCCATCTTCAGCTTCAGCCACAGATGAAAACGAGTTCGCGAGCGCAACCCTCGACCCGGACCGTCTGACGAAACTCTCCAACCTGCAAGCGCGCATCGTCGAACACGCGCTGAGCTTCCCGGCCGCCACCCGCGTCACGTACAGTACATGCTCCATCCATCTGATCGAGAACGAGGCGGTTGTTTCTCGTGTGCTGGCCTCGGAGGTAGCGCGCTCTCGTGGCTGGAGGATCATGCGTCGGGAGGAGCAACCACGAGGCATGAAGGCCTGGCCGCATCGCGGTGTCAGGACGGAGAGCCGATATGCTGATGCGGAGGGTGACGGGGAGGGCGCTGCTACTGCTCCTGCTGTGGATCTATCCGATGAAGAGCTGGAGGCCTGTTTGCGGTGTTGGGCCGATGATGAGGAGGGACTTGGTGGGTTTTTCGTCGCGGGGTTTGTGCGTGATGAGGGAAGTGTAAACCGTTCTACTACGGAGGAGCCAGTGTCTCAGGATACGGATGAGGATCAGGAAGGCAGTAATGAGGACGAGTGGGAGGGTTTCTCTGATTGAAAAGTCTCTTGTGTTACGTCTAGCAGTAGCTTACTACAAAGTGTATTATAGATTTTCATTGCTGCAAGGTAGCACAAGGTCATCAGGAACCCAAGAACTCCCTGGATCGATTCCTCACCCTCTCTTCGGTGTAAACATCCAACTTGACAGCTATCAGGACCAACTCTGCATTCGATGCGGGACCAGACTCAACCACTAAACGCCACTGTCCCTTCCTCACTACCAGGCTCCCAGACTCCAGATCCTCCTCTACTCGCTTCCGCTTCGCAGGTGGCCGCTCAGAGGCTTCTGCAGCCCCGCCTGGAAAATCGAGGTAATCGATTGTCTGTCCGTTCAGAATCAGCTCCGTCTCACGCTCCAATCGGATCGAGAAACTGTCCCCGCCTGTAGAGGGGTGTGCTGATTCCCCAGTCCTGTATAGGGGGCCATCAAGGCCGACGCTTTTGGCAATCACCTGCGCCAAGCTCGACATGCGGGCTTTCGCCAGATTCAGGAAACCCCCGCGCATGGCGCGTGCGTCGAGGATCGTACTCTCGTCGCCGATTTCCAGGATCAGGTCGTGAGGCGTCTCGTCTACGAAAGGGCGTGCGTACGTCACGCGGTAGCGAGTTGTGGAGCCGGTGTCCCTCGAATTGTCTTCGCGTGCATGGCGGATTCCGGAGGGACGTACATCGTCTAAGCGGATGACGATCTCCGATCGTTGCCGGATGGGATTGAAGCTGATGTGGTGCGGGATGAGTTTCTGTTCTAGGCCGCGGAGGTGAAAGTAGCGACAGTCGCGGAGGAGCTCAGCGCGATGCTCCTCATTCTTGATCTGGAGGGGTATCCGCGAAGGAGGTGGAGGAGCTGTGCGAATACGTCGCCCGAGCGGTGGGTAACGCGTGGGGAACGATGGCGGGTGGGCGCAGCAGGCCGTGACGGTCTAATCCGGGGAAGATCTCGCTTGGGTTGGCGAAGAAGATGGCGAATCCGAGGGAGAAGAAATTGGGAGAGTCACCGGGTCCGGAGAAGATGTCGCGCGAGATTTGGAAATGGCGTTCGCCGATTTGGATGAAGATTTGGGATTCGAAGAGCTGGGAGATCAGTCGGGGTACTGCGATGGATGAGTCTTCGTTCTTGAGGACGCAACAGATAGCAATGGACTCCGTACAGGTGTAGAATTGTGCGTCCGCAAACAGTTTGACAAACTGCGACTCATCCTTGGGTTCTACGTGATAGCCTGTAACACGTCAATCCTGACCTCCTAAAGACTGGTCGCGTTTCATCCTACCCTGCAGGTGTCTGGCGATCTCTCGAAATGTTTCTGGATCTCGGTCAATGTATAGCGTCCGGATAGTCGCGTTCTCTCCGTTCTGGCGCAATTGTTCTTCGAAGAACTCGGAGAAATAGGACGGGGCTCCAGGACGTTTAGCAGGAGGTCATTATAGGCGCGAGCACTTCAACTGACCATCGGAGGCGATCGAGGCCCGGAAAGACGAAAGAGCTCGGTCCCGATCTGGATCGAGAAGACCTTTTCGGTCGGCAGCGTGGACTTGGCCTTTTGGCCAGGGGAACAATGTTGCGAATCGGAGTCAGTGCTGGCCATGTTCGTGTGCCTTCTCCTTGTTCCGTCACTTATATGTCCTCCCAGTACTCGTTGACGGCTCGGATGATTGAGGTCCAGTTCTCAGGTCACTTTGCGCGTTGTTTACCTAACAATCAGAGTTGTATCGGGCTAGAGATCGTCATGCGAGCGTTTAGAAACACTGAAGTGACCCCTGGATTGCGCATGGGCGTTAGTAACTGGAGATGAAGGTAATGTGGATGTGTTTAACTTACGCCTGATGGCACAAATAAATCAATTCAATCCATGGATGCAGCTATTCATCGAAATGGACGCGAGCACCCGTGTGAGTGAAGAGGTAGCAGTGGTAAGCAATGACGGGCGCTTGAGCTAAGGCACGCGCGACCGCAAAGTGCGCATGGCTCGGGGATTTTGCTTGACTTGGAGCATGAGATGGCTTCCTGCAGGATCATTCTTTTCATTTGATAGTACAGTATACATGAATCAATCATGTCACTCAGTAACTTATTATCACTTCACTCTGTACAATCACTACTAGAAGGGCTACATCATTTCCTAGTGCGAGATACTCTACGCACTCAATGCGAACAAGAGCGAAGCGTCATCAACCACTCCACTAAACACCATATGATAGACATCTTAGCATCTCAGACTATTAATACCCGATCGACGAACTGTCTTCTGACGATCAATTGAGTGTAAAAGACCCCAATTCTCTTGTTGAGGGCGAGGGACAAATGACGAATCCATCTTGGAAGCTACGAGAGTATCAACAACTCAACTCAGAATCCAGGGATTTAATCATATCAATATCGATCAATTGCCCTTGATTCGAAGAAAGCGACCGTTGAAAGGGAAATCAGATACCTCTCTCTCTGCTTGAAATAGAATTGTCTCCCCAAAGGTGTTCACATGGAGACCCCGGCCAAACGGTAATGGATCTCGGCTCAGCGACGGTCAATCGTTCCTCTTCCCCGCACATCTCCAGACTCATCATTTGACTGCTGTGGGAACAACGTGAATGATAGGTCTTCCCAAGAGCTATGGCGTTAACTAAGGGCGCTGGTCTGAAAATGTATCCCCAAGAGCGGCCGATCCTTCCTTAGTCCAATTATTCGACAACCTTTGCTGCTATTTAGACTCTCGGAGCCTCGACCCACAGCGTCCTAAACTCAGGCAATATCATGGCCACTGCCTCGGTTTCGAGCTCTACGGGATTGTCGAAGCGACCTGGTTTGAGACGGCGAAGAGCAATAAACCTTAGGTTGACAGGTCACTGAATCATCCCACTCGGAATCGCCAATAACAATCCTAATAATTGGAGCGGAGGGCCGGACCGGGTTTTGGGCTTGTTCGCAAGCATTACTCTTCTGGGCAGGGCAGTTCGTGCCTAAGAAGGAGCAAGAGCAAACTACCTACATACGGCTCCTGAACATATCCTGAGCAGCTACCGCTTTGGGCTGAAGCAGGAAAGCATCACCAGGACGTTGTTTATCATCACGCCGCCCGCTGTCTTTCTTCGTGTTTTGCTCCACATCCAAGCGCGGTCGGTTCTTGACAGCCTTGATCCTCGTCCTGGTTGACAGCCATTACTCTCTGCAGGCTTATTCTACCTATATATTCCTCGTTCTCGAGGCAACTACTTATTACTACTCTTCGGCTGTGTTCATCATGGCTGAGCAGGCTGTAACTACATACGTCCCCCTGGACGTGTCTCTTCCACCGATTCCTGAAGGGCAAGTCTTTTCCGACTTGCAATGGAAAACGTTGTTATCTCTGGCAGACACCGTGATTCCTTCCATTCGTTCTACGTCACTTACAAAGTCACTCTCTACCAAGGTGGTACCTGAATCGACATTCAAGGAAGCTGTCTCGACTCTGGCATCTCACATCCACGACCCAGACGCCACAAAGATTGCTGAACAGTATCTGGAAGAGAATGCGTCCACCAACCCCCAGTTCGTGGAGGGGCTGCGGCGACTTTTCGCCGACTATATCCACGAAGAAGGGAAAAGCGGCATCAATCTCATCCTCAATGCTCTCAAGTATGTCACCCCGCCATCGTTTACTTGTCGACTGACCAAGTAACAAAATCTAGCTCCAAAGCTGGTTCGCTCATTCTGACTGGCTCGACCACTCCCATTCAAGACCAACCGTTTGAAATTCGCGAGAAGATCTTTTCTGCTTGGGAAACTTCCCGAATAAAGCCTCTTCGCGCCATTTATAGGGCGTTCACGGCCATTTTTAAGAAGACTTGGGCCACGTCGAGCCCCACGATCCGTTCAGTCGTTGGCTGCCCTCGTGTTCCCATCCACGGCAAACCTGCGGATGGGTTCGAATACGAGTTCCTGCAGTTTCCCCCTGGCGACGAACCTGAAACCATAGACACGGATGTTGTGATAGTAGGGAGCGGTTGCGGTGGCAGTGTCGCTGCCAAAAACCTGGCCGAGGCTGGATACAGAGTATTAGTCGTGGAGAAATCCTACCACTACCCATCCAAGTACTTCCCCATGAATTTCAACGAGGGCTTTGTCAGCATGTTCGAGAACGGAGGAGCGACGACGAGTGACGACGGGTCGATTGCCGTCCTCGCTGGTTCCACATGGGGCGGCGGTGGCACTGTCAACTGGTCGGCTTCGCTGCAGACACAGGGCTATGTGCGCCGGGAATGGGCAAGCAAAGGGCTGCCGTTTTTCGAGTCTTATGAATACCAGCAAGCCTTGGACCGTGTCTGCGATCGGATGGGTGTCAGTAATGACCACACCGAGCATAACTATGGCAATCGTGCTCTCCTTGATGGGGCTCGGAAGTTGGGATATGCAGCCAATCCTGTCCCTCAGAACACAGGCGGATCGAGTCACTATTGCGGATACTGCACGATGGGCTGCCATTCCTGTGGCAAAAAGGGGCCCAGGGAAACTTTCTTGGTCGATGCTGCCAAAGCTGGCGCCACGTTCGTTGAAGGGTTTCGCGCGGATAAGGTTCGTTTCAGGATGACCAAGGGCGGACGGGTGGCGTCTGGAGTTGAGGGAACCTGGACTTCCAGGGACTCTTATCTGGGAACCGCTGGCACGAACCGTACGAGCCGCAAGGTGATCATAAACGCTGCTAAAGTCATTGTTTCCTGTGGAACATTGCACAGCCCGCTCCTGCTGCTGCGTAGCGGACTCAAGAACCCACAAATCGGGCGTAACCTCTACCTCCATCCTGGTGAGTCTTGAATCGATATGGCCGGCCGCCGAGACTTTCGCTAACAACTATAGTCGTCCTGTCATGTGCTGTCTTTGACGAGGAAGTCCGTCCCTGGGAAGGTTCTGCTTTGACCACAGTCGTCAACGAGTTTGAAGATCAGGACAGCCAGGGTCACGGAGTCAAGATCGAGAACGTGGTAATGCTTCCTGCGCTTTATCTTCCGACGTTCCCATGGCGAGACGGACTGGATTACAAGCTCTGGGCGGCCAAGTTGCCCGCATGAGCGGCTTCATCGCTCTGACCAAAGAACGAGACGCGGGACGAGTGTACCCTGACCCTGCAGATGGACGTGTCAGGATTGACTACACCGCGTCGGCCTATGACCGGAAGCACATTGTCGAAGCCCTGATTGCGACGGCAAAGATAGCTTACATATCCGGGGCAAGGGAGTTCCATACTTCGAACCGCGAAATACCGCCATTCATCCGTCCCACGGAGGCATCGGATCCCAATGCGCCCGAGGGCGTCACCAACCCAGCACTTCAGGCGTGGATTGCCGAGCTCCGGCGCAAGAACCCTGTCGATCCCGAACGCACACAGTACGCCAGCGCTCATCAAATGGGTACCTGCCGTATGGGGTCGTCCCCGAGGACGAGCGTCGTCGGCCCGGACTGTCAAGTCTGGGGCACTCAGGGTCTGTACGTCATGGATGCGTCTGTTTTTCCCAGTGCTAGCGGTGTGAACCCGATGGTGACGAACATGGCGATTGCGGATTGGGCCAGCCGGAAAGTTGTAAGATCTTTGGAGGAGGCGAACTATGGCAAGAGCGTGTTGGCTCGTCTATGATGACTACGGACTGTCTCCTAAGCATATCAGTACATAACTTGGTTTAATCCTGATGATATCCATAGCTGTTTAGTATTAGGGTTTGGAATTTATTTTTCCTCGTGATTCAGCATCCACGTAGTAGCGGTAGCGGTTCTCTGGATGTATTAGGCAAAAAAATCAATTGCTTGGATAGATGCTATTTGGTATCGTGATATGCTAAAGTATGACAATTAAGCCTTGGGGATCTCACGCTTCTCGACGAACTTCTTCTCACCAAAGGCCTGCTTGACGCCCTCGCTCTCGATGGTCTTCTCGTACCAAGAGACGACGAAGGGGTACTTCTGGCGCATCTCGCGGTCAACAATATGGGAGAAGGCCCAGTAGAGGGTAGCAGCGACAGAGATATCCGCCAGACTCAGCTTTTCCTCGGTAGCAATCCAGTTGCGGCCTCTGAGGTGGCCCTCCAAGTATGCCAACGACCGCTCCAACTTCTCCAGGTTCTTCTTCTCGACACCCTCATCATAGGCCCCATAACCAATCCGAGGCAGAATCAGGGGAATCAAAGGATTCTGGATCTCCCCATCGGCGAAAGCAATCCACTGACGGATAGCTGCGCGCTCGACGGGCTTGGTACCCAGCAGCTGTGCAGAGGCGGGCCCACTCTCGGCGACGTACTGCGCGATAGCGTCGGATTCAACGAGCTTGGTGCCGTCTGCGCCTTCGAAGGCGGGGACTTTGCCGAAGGGGAATTTGGCGAGGAATTCGGGGGTGCGGTTATCGGTGCCGATTTTGAAGGCGGGGGTTGAGATGGTGAGGTTGTTGAGGTTGGCGGCGGCGAGGACCTAGTCCGTTATTTGTTTGTTAGTCTGCTGGTTGTTATACAGGGGAGAGGGGGGAAGAGGGGTATGTACCTTCATGACCCTCGGGTTGTTGGGGTAGGAGTAGATTGTTCCGAAAGACATTTTTGGTGGATGTGTTGGAGTTGATTTCGTTAGGGAGGTAGATGGTATGTTCTTGCGATGTTGTCAATAATCAGTACAGAGTGTCATTGTCTCTGACTGCGTTCATATACCTCTCTCTTACTGCGTGCATTTCCAATGATGACAAATGGAGGCTATGGAGCTGACAAGTGGAGTGGAAGGAGATCGAAACGCGGAATCGCCGTTTAGGATAGTTGAACGGCGAACTAGACAGAGTGTCGTTGGTCGATATGGACAGGTTGTTGTCGTCTTTTTTAGAAGTGAGGATAGAAATATATGGAATGATACTTTGATGGTATACTATGTATATATCGTATATTGCCAGTTTGCCACTGAATTTAAGCTTAGATCCCTTAAGATTCCTGGCGTCAGGGGCCGAGCGAGGAGGTCCTATCGGAAGTGATGGGGATGGACTAGTGTATGGCGACATTGTGAAGGTTTATGAGCAAGCATCAAGATAGATTGAGATATTGATTGATGTCTGGTTTTTATTCGTTCTTTACCATGGATGCAGTGATCTTTTTTGATACGAGGACTGATATGATAAGATTCATTCGATAAAAAACGAACCCCGCATTCTGACTCTATCCGTCTCCTGATCTCCTCTCTTCTGGGCACCATGAGATGCGCTCTCGCATCGAGCCACCTTCTGTCCAGACAATTACAGGTCGATCATAATAATACAATGTGACAGCCAGAAAATGAGATCATGCAGGATAGGGATAACCCGAGGCCAAGAACAACTCTCCTCTGTCTCCCTCCCGAACTCCACCTCCTCATCAGCACCTACCTCCCATTCCCCGACATCGCCTTCTTTCGCAGAACATGCGCATATCTATACTCGCTCCTCCCACCCCTCACTCACGCGCAACTTCTCCTAGCCGAAACCACCGAGTTCGCTTTGTCCAAGGACCTCTACGCATGCCGGTACTGCCTGCGTCTGCGTCCCGCATCGCGCTTCGCGGATCGGATGCGCAGACGCAGACGGGGCAAGTTTGGTCGGGACGCGGAGAAGCGGTTCTGTGTCGAGTGCGGATTGCAGCCGAGGAAGGGGACGGATGGAGAGGCGAGGTATGGGCCTGGGGCGCAGATGCGGATCGATGGAGTTCTGTATGTGATTTGTATGGCCTGTCGGAGGTTTGGGGCGATGTATGCGGGTGGGATTTTGTGTCAAGAATGTGGGCTGGAGAGGGAGAGGGTGCGGCGGCGGGAAATATTACTGAAGGGGAGAGAGTTGGGTCTATACCCCGAGGCTACGGATGAAGGGTAACTTGGTCGTCGTGCATTTTTCACGTCAACGTTATTGGTCTATCGTTCTATCATCTAACAAGACGTGGATTAGTCCTGTCGAGCGGGATCCTGTGCCGGCTTGTTGCCCAGATACTCGTCGATCTGGGACATCACTTCCGGAGTGAGCCTCGGGAGCAGCTTCAGGCTTTCGACGTTGTCGATGATTTGCTCCGGTCGCGAGGCGCCCGTGATGACCGAGGACACGTTTTCGTTCTTCAGGCACCATGCCAGCGCCAGTTGCGACAGCTTGACTCCTAGTTTATCCGCCAGCTCCTATGCCAGGTTAGTGCGGTCCTAGAAAGGGGGAGATGGATACCTGCCTTCAGACCGACGATCTTCTTGATAGTCGTCGCCCATTCGTCATTTCCATAATTTTGCCGGACGCTGTTGGCGAACCGGTCGTTGCTCTCGGCGAATCGTGAACCAGGGGGAGGCTGCGTCGTGGCATCGTTGTATTTCCCGCTCAGGAGGCCCATCTTCAGCGGGGAGAAGGTGGTCAGACCGATCCCGCAGCGCGAGTACAGCCGCTGGAACTCCCCCTCGACCTTTCGTCTATCCAACATGTTGTAAAGCGGCTGCTCGACGATGGGCGCAATGAGGCCGAGCGACCGGGCGATGCCGCAGGCCTCGGCGATCTCGTCTGCCGACCACTCGGATGTACCCCAGTAGAAAGCCCAGCCCTTCTCGATCACATGGTTGAAAGCGCGCACCGTCTCCTCCATCGGCGTCAGACGGTCCGGCCGGTGGGCGTAGATGATGTCGACGTATTCGAGCTGCAGACGTTCCAACGACGCCCGGGTGCCTTCGATGATGTGTTTGCGCGAGAGACCGTGGTTGTTGATTAGGATTTCACCGTTTGCCATGCCCCAGTTGAGCTACATCTGTCAGCCTGGGTTATTCACTATTGGCCGATGACGAACCTTTGTGCTGATGACCAGGTCGCTTCGCTTCCACCCGAATTTCTTGATGGCTTGTCCCATGACGACTTCAGATTGTCCGTTTGCATAGCTGCTTCGTGAGCTTGGATCATTGTACAGGAGTAAAGGACATACCTTTCTGCTGTGTCGAAAAAGTTGACTCCGCAGTCATAAGCTTGTTTCATGCAGTTGAAGGTGATCTCTGGATAGTCTCAGTCTCAGCGCCACACTTGCGTTCAAACATTGAGGGCAATTACCGTTATCGACATGACCACCGAAGCTGTCAAAAGCATGTTAGAAAATGTTGTATGCTTGAAACCAGAACAACTCACGTTAACCACCCTCCCAATCCAATGACGGAGACATGTAGACCTGAGTTGCCTACTCGTCGGTAGAGCATGTCTTTGTTCTTGTTAGGCCACGCCATGATTGGAGAACAATCGATTGACTCCTGCGATAATTTTTGTATGCTTTTGAACTGATTTGAAGAAAGAAGGGTCTTCAACCAATTTATCTTCGTGGCTAACAGCTCTAGCCTTCTATTGCAAGTCGCAAGTCGCAAAACGCCGACACAGTAAGCGGATCGGGGACCTTAAAAGGAAATTGGTCAATGTATAGTTTGTAAAGTGGGATGACACCAAGCTCATGATGTTTGCTGTACAAACAGAGCTCCATTTGCCTTTTTGCCAATATAGCCGGCACCAATCATGGCTGTAATTGTTTACAGGCGCGGGGTGCTGCGGAGTAGGGCGAAGTTCTCGGAGTAATACTCGGAGGTTCCTTTTCATCTTGGGTTAGTCTCGAGGATGGTGAAAGTGATCCACGGAACTATGGAACGTGTCCAGGAGTTGAATACGACGAAAGTCTGCATCATCGAATGAGATGATGGCAGTGCTTGGGTCTGAGGTGGAGTAGCACGAGAAATCTGGACATTAAGTACACAGAAGAGTAGCTGCTAGAGCAGAGGACTGAGGCATGAATAAATCAGGTGACTGGTAAGAAATGCTTCATTTCTACTCTGTACTGTCTCGCCCCTCTACGGAGTAAGTCCTTGGGCCGTATCGCACTCAACTGTTGACACCACATTTGTACCTCAGCTACATCATTTCTCCTTCTATTCACTACCTTAGATGTCCAGCCCTCTTATGCTTCAACTAGAACAGGATCCTTTCTCCGTTCCAGCATGGATCTGGCTCGGCCTTCTGATGCCCGGTTTACGGCCCGGCCAGAAACTCAACACCATAGTGGGCCTAGCCTAGCTATGGCGTGCCGCGTGGAGAAAGTAACGCAACTTTGGGCTTGTAGCATGCAAGATCGCAAGTCGATAATGACAAGCTTTTCCAATGCCGACTTTTGAAGGAATATTGTCGTGTGGATTTGTCCAGGGCACATTTGACAACCTCAGCAAACAATACTTTGTTACAGCTGGTCTTGCACTCAATTATTCTACCAAGTCTGTTCAGCGTACCTTGTGACCTTGGACGTTGAGTTCATCCTTCGGCTTGGCTACCCCGCAGTCTACAAGGAGATCAGTGTGGTGTCTACTTCCGTACTCATCTGGATTCCATCGAGGTTTAGGATCACTCAACAGTCAACATTTTCCCCAAACGTGGTCGACGGTGGTCATAATTGCTCATCGCATGAATATGTAGACCGGCCGATGGTCATGATGCCTTGAGTGTCTACCAACATGCCAGCTTCACGATCAAATGTGACTAAACGTGCCTGTGACGGATGCAAGATTCGCAAGATCCGTTGTGGAGGCGGCCAGCCATGCCAGGCCTGCACCAATTCACGCATCAAATGCACTTATATTCGCGTTCAGCAGCCTCGGGGTCCGCAGCGTTTGCGCTCGACGACAAAGTACCTCATTGAGCAGACGCAGCGTGGACTGGACGCTCAAAATGGCGGATGTGCCTCCGTTCCAGTCGAACAGCCTGGTCATCAAGGTCATCAAACAGAGAGGTATGTACCGAAACATCGGCTCTCATATTTTTGGAACCTTATCTGACTGAACAGATTGCGAATACAGACCAACATTCTCGCTCCCCCGCTCTACGTATACCACATGCGCATGTACCCAGTTTGGCCCATAGTCAATGTCGAAAGCCTCATCTCGGCACTACAAGAAGATACAGAACGAAGGGATCTGTCAACCTATTCCTTGGCGACAGCCGTCGCAGCTGCAACGCTGGCTCAACTCAAGCTCGAAGATTTGACTACCGGCGACTCGCCAACCGCAGACGCATTCGCAGCCGAGTGCCTACACGCCCGTGATTCGTGTGGATATAAATCAAAACCAAGCTTGGACAATATTCGGACGTCTTTCTTCCTACATGTATACTATGAGAACCAACAATCTGGGGGAAGTGAGTCATTGCTTTATTTGAGGGAAGCGATTACCATGGCGCAAATGATGCGCCTACATCAGGAGGCTTCTTACATCGGACTCAGTCCTGAGGAAGAGCAACTCCGTCGTCGCATTTTATGGCTGCTTTTCGTGACGGAACGGTAATTCTCCTTCATTTCCGCCTGATCCATGCTATCCTGACATGGTGTGTAGGGGTGTTTGTATCCTCCACCAACTTCCGGCGATACTCCGAACTAACATCTCGACCCCTGGGCTCGACGTTAATGACGAGCCGCAAGTCTTACCCGCATTCCTGAAACTACTCAATCTATTCCGCCTTTTCGAAAAGTCGAAGATGTTTGATGTTATCGAATGCGAAAGCCTCGGGACTCATGACCTAAGCGGAGCTGGACCGGACGGAAGATTCCTTAAACTGCTACAGGACGGACTGCAGGACGGATCAGCACTACTGGATCATACCTCGGACGTGCAGAAGGCAGACCTCTGTGTCACACGGCATTGGATGCGTCTGATCCTGTGGAAGAATCTATCAAGAAACAGGACGGCAAACGCACATTCACCGACTTCGCTTTTCTCACCATTATTTCCCGTGATGGTCGCGAAGGAGCTCATGGCCATAGTAACTCAGTTACCAAGGCCGGCGATTGAGGCGCATGGCTTGGGAATGGTATGATTGCCCTTATGGACAGGGGACGCCGCTGACGTATGTAGGAGCTGAAACTGTATGAAATTGCCAGTTCGCTGGCGGATGCGGTTATGAATCTGGAAATGGTTCCGCGGCCTCATGTTTGGGACATCGAAAGTCGACCAAGTCAGATTTTGACCCGCTTACATGCCATTCTGTCAACGTTTCGCGGTGGTGGCAATAAGCAGCTGGTGGAATTGCTCTATAAGAAGATGGCCGAGGTGCAGTCGATTAGCAGACTCACATTGGGAGCGTCCCTCAAAGATCCGGCTAGCGGGCCGCAATTTCAGCAGTCACCGGAATCATCAACTTGTAGAGATGCAATGACGGAAAATGTACTCCTCGACCAGTCACTGGCCGAATCGAGTCAGGTCGTTACAATGAGCGGTTGGTTCAATTTTGGACCTTCATACACATTGCAAGAAGGCGGAGGCCTACAGCCAGATCGCTCTGATGACTGCATCTTGCCTAACGATATGATCACTGCGATAGCCTCGACATCTGACACTTCCTCGGACGCATGGCCCACGGAGTCCCTAGTCATCCCCGAAGACATTGGGGAGATGGCATCACTCTTCACCTCTTTGCCATCATGGACAACTTCTGAAGAAGAATTCCTGAGATCATTTGAACCTTCCTTACCCAATGACGATATGACTTTCTGGCACGCACCGGTAGTAGGAACTTGAACCGCAGCATTTTGCTTGCTGAGCGATATACCTGACATTATCTTGTACAACTGCCATCAATACTTGAAACGAAAATCTAGGCGTCTGTTTCCCTCCTTCTCCCTCGCGTCCTGATCAGACTGGTACAAGACCTTTTCCTCGGCCGACATGGCGCTCCACTTCCTCTCCTTCTGCCGGTTAAGATAGCGCAGGAACTCGCGCTGGCCGACAAAGACGATAAGGGCCAGCACACAGATGGATATAAGCACCTTGTTGCCCCTGTAGTAGTACGGCGAGTCATCGGCGCGATAGATTTCTGCCCGGTCAGCCTTGTCGAGGATACCAAACAAACATAATGGAACGGAACTTACGAGACGAAATAACCGACCCAACCTGCACAATCACATTATACGTCGCCGCCGTGATCGCCCTCTTCTTCACATCAAACGTATTCTCTGAGATCCACGACGAGACAATCGGATGGAAATACGGATACCCCGAGATCATAGTCGTGATTGCAAACCTGCCCCAGTTATACCCATGAGCCGGGAGCGCCAGCAACGCCGCCAGCAGCGGCAGCGACCACAGCTCGCCAATGAAGCAGTGGAATGTCCGCTCTTTAAAGAAATCGCTGCTCTTGGATAGCGCCAGCATGAGGATGATCTGTAGTGCGGCAGAGGGGATGGAGAGCATGTTTGCGTCGAAGGTCGAGAAGCCGAGGCGTTTGAGGGTGAGAGACAAATATGCTTGCACAGGGGACTGGGGGATGTATGCGACGAGGCCGATCAGGTATAATCCCCACATGGACTTGTCGCTCCAGGCGTTGAGGACGTCGGCTAGGGTTGCGCGGTCGTGGATGTGCGTGAGGCCTTTGGAGGGGTCGTCGCGGAGGAGGCGCTTTGTCATTTGTTAGTATGAGTACACTGCATTAGTGGGTGTAAGATATGACATACGTTAATCATGATGACTTCCTCGCGCTCGGTGTACCAGGACCGAGGGCAGAGGACACTCTTGGTGTGCGTTGGCGACTGGGGGAGGTAGAAGAAGCTCTAGAGGGTTTTCGTCAGTTGCAGTTATACAGAAGGGACGAGAGACATACAATCAGCCCAATCACGAAAGTCAACAATCCCTCAATCAGAAACAGCCAGAACCACCCCGTTTGGCCGTGGACACCGCGCATCTGTAGAATCCCTGCCGCCAGCAACGAAGAGATGATACGTGCAACCTACATCCATCCATCCATCAGCATCATAGCTATATAATTCGGACTAGGGAAACTTAAACTTACATTTAAAGTAGACCAAAAGAAGGACAACCGCACAGACAACTCCCCGGTCTTATAGAAATACGTCGCAAAGAGAATCGCCCCGGGGATGAACCCGCCCTCGCAGGCGCCGATCAGCGCGCGCGTCACGTAGAACGCAGCCCGGGAGGTGATCCACGCTTGCGTCCAGGAGACTAGACTCCAGGCCATCATCATGCAGGGCAGGACGCGCTTGAAGCCGAAGCGTTTGGTGAGGAGCTGGACGGGGAATTCGGCGGCGAGGAAGCAGACGAGTTGGATTGTTGTGCCCTGCATCATATCATCAGCTGGCTGCATTCAGTTTATAGAAGAATTGGTATAGAGGTGTACATTATTATAGTCATTAGTGGTCATATTAAGGTCTTTGAGGAAGTTATCTGTCAATGCATTGGAGAGATTGCCGCGGTCGAGTTGGAGGCCGAAGAACTGTATCAATCAGTACCGTCGTTCGTTCCATGGGCGAAGTTGAAGGAGGGAGTACCATGAGACAAATCCAGGTCAGTAGCATCAGATCCGTCTTGAAGACCACGCTGCGCTCCTCTTTTACGCTCCATGACGCTGTCGGGTCGAAGCGGTGGTATCCCTCGTACGACTCGTGGGGCGGCGTCACGCCGGCGAGCTGGGACTGACCCACGGCGACGGAGAGCTTGGAGGAATGGGTGTCGTCTTCTTCTGCTTCTTCATCTTTCCGTTTGGGGTGGGTGGTTATTGCGGCTTTGCCTTGTTCGATGTCTTCCATTTTGGAGTGTTACCAGGTGGTTGCTAGGGATGGATATGGGAGCATTGGGTGCTGTTGGGTGTATATATACTTCTATCATTCTACATGTTTTTTTTGTTGGATGGTCTAATTACTTGGAGCTACTTTACTAGCTAGTCTGTAGAATGTATGTCAAAAGCAAATTTCAGTTGAATACTCTCCCCGTCAAGGATGGTGACTGGCAAGCTAAAATGGCATAAAGAACTCCTCCGAGCACATCATCGATAGGCTGATGCGTACAACCAACCATTGTCCTGGAATGGTGCCACTTGGCGTTATTTCTTCAGGGTTTCTGATCTTAATCGGCTTGTACCCGATTGATTATTTCACAGTCATACTCTGTACCTAGAGATTGTTCGACAGTTTCCCCAGACTCATTCTGTCATGTGTACAGTAGCTAACGTAGCTACTGGCTAAGGGGCAGGCGTCTTCCCCGGATTGTCCAGACCTTGTACCCCCAGATGCGGCATCAGTAGCTTTCTGCTCCGTTACACAGAAAGGAGATGCTTCTGATCCGCCTGGTACTGCAGAGTAGTCGACCAATAATTCGCTGAGCAGCTACAAGTTAGAGGGTGGTGGCACCGAGAATTTCGCCGATGCCCCACCGAGAACAGCGCCGTCGGTTTCTCTTTTCTTCTGGATGGAATGGTGCCCCTTCCCGGTGCGGGGAAATGGAAATAAGACTGAGTAAACAGTCCAGATCGGTTATTCGTGAGTTTGCAAGGTCGCGATAGCCCGAGACCGAGTCAGTGGAGTGATGGTGTCACTTGAGTTTCGGTACTGCCTATCGTAGATGATATATAGATTCAATTTCCCGCGCAATGGACACATTTGACGATCACCTCAGCTAATATTATCGATCGTAGCAAACAAAGTGAAATGCCATCTGTTGCAGAATCCATCCGAGGAGGCCATGAACAGGCCCGGCCATCCATCTCCCAGCCGCTGGAGTACTCTGGCAGCCTGGACTCATTCTCTCATCTGGACCTGACCCCGGTCATTGGAAGAGAGTACACCGGCCTGCAAGTGGTTGATATTCTATCATCGCCAGAGTGCGACCGCTTGATTCGCGATCTCGCAGTCACCAGTACGTACCCTGATGCTGGCTGCATTCATCGACCAGAACTAACAGCACAGTCTCCCAACGGGGCGTCGTCTTCCTCCGTAACCAAGATGTCACACCGCAGCAAATGCGCGAGTTCATGGAGAAACTGACCGTTCTCGCCGGATGCGTAAGCAGTGCTCTCTCCCAGTGACACCGCACCCAGTTAACAAACTGCTACAGCCCGAATCCTCCGGCCTGCATGTCCACCCCCTCACCGAAGAAGGTAGCGAACTAGGCGACCAGATCAGCGTCATCAGCAGCGAGAAACAGAAGAAAGGAGGCGGCCTCACCCACCAGCTCAGCGACACCAGCCGCTTCGCCTCTGTCGGCTGGCACTCGGATATCAGCTTCGAGCGTGTGCCGTCTGACTACGCCATGCTTAAGATCCACACCCTCCCGCCGACGGGCGGCGATACCCTCTGGGCGTCGGCGTACGAGGTGTACGATAGGCTGTCACCGGCGATGGCGACATTCCTGGAGGGGCTGACCGCGACGCATGATGCGAGTTTCTTCCATGATGAGGCGAGGCGGTTGGGGAATCCGCTGCGAAAGGGGGTGAGGGGGTCGCCGTTGAATGTGGGCGAGGAGCTGCAAGCTGTGCATCCGGTTATTCGGACGAATCGTACGTTTGTCCTCTTGATTTGGCAGACTGTAATGGCTGACGGTGATAGCTGTGACTGGGTGGAAATCGGTGTATGTCAACCGGGGATTCACCAAGAGGATCAACGGGGTGACCAAGGATGAGTCGGATGTGCTGCTGCAGTATTTGTTCAATGTATGTTTTGCCTGCAATTTTAATCAGTATAAGTCGGTGATCGAGACACTGACATTCACAGTTGATCACGCAAAACCACGACGCTCAGGTGCGGTTCAAGTGGAACAAGAATGACCTGGCCATATGGGATAACCGGTCGACCTGGCATTGTGCCACATACGACTATGCTGAGGCGCGCGCGGGAGACAGAGTGTGTAGTCTGGGGGAAGCGCCGTATCTGGACCTCCAGTCCAGGTCGAGGAAGGAGGCTTTAAGAACTGATTGAATGTATGATATGATGAAGCTATGATTAATGTGTGAATTTGCCATTATACTTGAACAAATCGATTCTCTACAAAGACCTGCTTTGTACTAAGAGCTAGACATGCCATGGCTCCGACAGCCGCATATAATTCCAGCACACTGTGTCTACATTAGCATTACCCTTGACAGCACGAGGGAACATACCTTTGTACGCCATATCATCCCCGAACATGGACGCCAGAATATCCTCGCCCTCCTTGACGCCGTCCACCGGGTGATACGAGACAGCCGTCTTACCGAGACACAGCCCGATCATGGGCGGAATCTCCTGTAATTCATGAAAGGTAGGCTTCGAGGCGATGCACTCGGCCAGCATCAACTGGTGGATATTGTATCCCGCATAGTGGCCCATGTGCATCGCGGCACCGCAACGTTTGACACCGGACCAGGCGGCCAGGTCGCCGATGGCAAAGTGGTGGCTCGCATTTGGTACAGTCGACGGGAATTGCAGCCTGCATTCATTAGCACTCGTCAGCTGGGGAGAAAACGATAAGAACATACGATGGCTGAATTCTGACATGGCCCTCCTCATCCAAGATCTGAGGTGGCAGATACGACGAGGTAGGCCCGCACCGGGAAACCGCACTGAGGACATGACCCGCCTTAATGACACGACCATCCGCCAGCGTCAGACTCCAGACTCGTCCCGTCTTCTCCTCTACCGCAATGGTATCGATAACGCGCTGCCCCAGGATGAGCTCAACGCCCGTCTCACGAATGACCGCCCCGACACGGTCCTTGAAGTCGTCCGGCAGAGGCTCAGCAGAGAGAAGACGCTCACGCGAGTGTATCAGCGTAACAGGCAGCTGAGGATAAAGCAGTTTGATTTCCGTCGCCATTTCCGTTCCCACGGCGCCTGTCTCGCATTAGCCTTGTTCAACCTAATGGGAGACTAACATACCTCCACCAACAACGACCACCCCCTGCCGCGCATTCACCACATCGGCAGTATTCTCCCTCACCTCCGCCAGAAACTCCTCTCGCGTTCGACTCTGTGGAACAGTAGGAAACACCCTTCGCAGCCCCGTCCCCGCTATGAAAAAGTCATACCCTTCTTCCCTGCTCGTCCCCACCACCGAGTCAAGGATCGTTGCCGTCTTACTCTTGCAATCAATAGCGCTGACACTCCCCGGATAAAGCGCACATGCGGCGACTGGAGAGCCTTGATATCCGAGAAACGCGTCCACGTGTCTGAGGCGAATTGCTCGTCTACCAGCGCTCGTGGGGAGCCGATCAGATGGTCTAATCCGTTAGTTTAGTTAGTTTGGCGGTATAGGGTAGAGTGCGTACAGAATCCGTCTTTCTCGTCTACCAGCGTGATGTCTACTGGGATGTGGTGTTGAGGTGGTTTGATCTCCGAGTCGTAGTTGAAGCGGGAGGCTTGGCCGCGGGAGAGGTCAAGGAGGGTGAGGGCTGCGCTGAGGCCGCCGTAGGAGGCGCCTGCGATGAGGACACGGAAGCGACGCGCGAGTGAGATGAGGTGTTCGTTTGATGGCATGTTTTTTGCGAGCGAGGCGAGAAGATTGAGTGGTGTAGAGGTGAGTATAGGTAAATAACGAAAGGCTGTGGGCAAGGCCTGGCAAAGCAACTGCAATGAATATACGGATAGGGGTCAACGGTGAGCGGAAAGATCTGTATTCAGGAGGATGATAACTTGGTGTCTGAGCCGACAAGCCCTTGGCTCTTGGTGATTACGTCTTAGAGTACACCTATTCTTACTTCATCCGTACATTTTCATCGTTTTACTCCGTACTGCTCACGCCATCATGGTCAGGCGAGCCGGGTACTGTACAACACCAGGGGCTGCAACGCAACACCCCACTTTCCGGTCATTCCTTATCAGATGAGCGAAAATTGTCTTGGTTAGGCTCTGCCAGCGCAGCCAAGACCGAGTTCCCAATACTGTTACGCAATAATAACAGGACTTAGAGGGCTATGTGGAAGTACGGTGGGTGTAGTCTAGGCTGGAGGGTATGCTTCAAGATTGTTATCTGATCCGGATCATCGAGTAAAGTTATCTGATCGAGGCCGTGCCACGCCACGCTTGACCTGGAAATGAGACAGGTCCAAGACCAGTTCTGCAAAGGGAGACAGTATCTGTGCCAGGTGCCCCACCCCGCTTCCCGGTGTGGGTGCACCACACCGTAACTTCCAACCACAGCGTAACTTCCAATTTTTATTGAATTGATCATTTGAAGCTATTCCAACTACACAACATGCCGAAAGCTCCCAAATTTGATGAATCTTGCATGATTAAGGCCTGCGAAGCCGCAAAAGCAGAAAAAAAACCAAATATCTCAAAGATTGCGCGTGAATATGGCGTTCCTCGTTGGACATTACAAAGCCGCGTCAAAGCTGCCTCACAGGCTCGTACGGCTCGGAAACTAGTTAATAAAGTGCTTGAGGGATATCAAGAGGAGGCTTTAATATGCTGGATAGCCTTCATGCGCGATGTTAACATGCCAGTGACTCCTAGGCTTCTAGAATCGTGGGCAAATCGGGCACTTACACGCGCTGGTAGGCCTGACCAGCAGGTTAGCAAGATGTGGGCATATTGCTTCGAGAAACGACTACCAGAACACCTCAATCTAGGCCCAGTGAGGCAAAATACAAAGGAATCAAAGTGTATCCAGGCCGAAGATGCAGGCTTATTATAAAGCTGGTATAATTAGCTTGCAAATGTGATTAAAGATAATCCGGCGCGGTTAGTATATAACTTTGATGAATGTGGATTCCAACCTGGCGAAGGCAAATCCAGGAAGGTGATTGGTATAAAGATCACTATAAAAGGTAAAGGGAAAGCTTCAAAAGCTGTCCCTGATCTTGCTGAATCTGAAAGAGGAGAGAATATCACATCTATTGAATGTGTCGCTGCGGATGGTTGGCAGATGGATCCATGGTTTATCTTTAAAGGTATATTCCTACCTATTCTTTGAAATAATTCTCCTAAATCTTCTAATCCTTTCTGACTATTTACTTTACAAAAGGCAACGGAATCTTTATGGAAACCTGGTTTAATGAGAGCGAGGCCTTACCACTGGATGCTATAATAGCAACGTCTCCTAACGGCTGGATATTAGATGAGCTAGCTGTTCAGTGGCTTCAAAGCTTTGTTGAGGCAACAAATAAGTGTACAAACCGGGGAGAGAAATGGATACTTATATTTGATGGCCATGGCTCCCATCTTATACTGGAATTCTTACAGATCTGCGAAGATAATGGCATTATTCCCTTTGGATTCCGTCCTCATTCAACACATCTTTGCCAGCCACTAGATGGCAAGCCATTCTTAAGCTATAAGCAACACTTCCGCCGGATGAATAATGAGCTATCTTACTGGGCTGGCGAGCCAGTAGGCAAGTCAGAATTCTTACGGGTAATTGGACTGGTACGGGAGAAGGCTTTTAACCAACGGATTATCTGTGAGGCCTTCAAAGATCGTGGTATCTGGCCAGTCAATGGTAGTAAGATAGTTGATGATCTTGCTGCTGGGGTATGGGAACAAATTCTGGATATCTACGCGCCTGATCTTGATGAGGCTCTACCTTCTACACCTTCACGTCCGCTGTCCTCTTCTAGTGTTGATATCTCACCACCAAAGATGATTCAGGCGCTCAAAAGGAACTAGGCAAAGCTATCTAAACACGCAGATATTCTTACCCCAAAGCTGCAGCGGAATCTTGAACGGATATTTGAATATAACCAAATCGCTGCTGAGCACCTGGCTATGGCAAATGATACTATCAGTCAAATCAGGGCTGTGCAGGCCCCTCTACAGCGTCAATACACTAAGCGTCAGGTTAAGCCGCTTAGCCAGACTGGTATACTAAAAATTCAAGATGCAAATCGATCTATTGCTGAGAGGAAGGCCAAAGATGCTGCTGCGGAGAAGAGATGATTACAAAAGCAGTGGGAGAAGGTGCATGGTAATAAGCCAATACTTATGCCTACACAGGAGAGTAGTATATCAATCGAAGCAGCGAGAGCAGCTGAAGCGAATGGTGATATTTATTTTTTAGATAGCCAGCCAATGCGTTGCGAATAGCTTCAAATATCATGAAATTGGAAGTTACGCTGTGGTTGGAAGTTATGGTGTGGTGCACCCACACCGGGAAGCGGGGTGGGGCACCTGGCACAGATACTGTGCATGCTGATAATCTCTGCACTATTGAAATGCGGCATTTATCTGCAACTCCACTTTGAGATCATTCCTGATTTGTCCTGAAGTTCTCAATCAGAATCCTCCGAATCCGACGCTTCGAGTCCGACGTCGCACTGCGATAGACTAAGTGGGGATAATCTCGTTTCTGTTATCAATCAGTGACGGTAGGCGATGATCGTGGTCAGAGTACATTTGAAAATTACAGACACTAGAGTGGACCGTCAGCCGTCATTGAGATTTTGAGAACAGATGCGTTTAGGCTTTGAGATTCTTCTTCATCCGAGGTAAGGGCCAAACCAAACAAGTCTCCTGCATGCGCTATAACCTCCTGGAGTGGGCCTCCAAAATGGCGGGTCAAAATCCAAGTGCTAAATTGTTGAAAGAATTCCTTGGCTAATTTCCGAACCTCTGTGGACATGTCCTACGGTCTCTTCTGTATGACCCACAGAGCCGAATATCGGCTTGCCTGCGCATTATATTCTTCCGACTTTAACAGTAAATGAAGACGAAACTTCAAGAAGACAAGAATAATTAGTATTATTGAAAGAAAGTTTAGAAGTGTCTACTTTCTGGTGTTTGGCGATGGTTCGGCCCTGAATAATTTTTACTTTTCATCAGATTAGATGGTCATCTAATCTGATTGTGCGGTGGGGCATTTCCCCTTCCATTTTCTGCTGCTCACCCGCTTCTACCCTGAAAAATTCCTAGAATTCGCTCAAACTTGTAAAAATGGAAATGAAGAAGAAAATAGGTAAAAGAACTCTAGAGTATATACATTCAGCCATCAAGTGAGACCAGTCTATTTTTCCTTTGCCATTGCCAACCGTCTCTCCAAAACACGCGCCGCAATCTTGCGTAAATCCACCTTTCGAACCTTGCCGCTACCCGTCACAGGAATCGTGCGGTCGACCCCCTCCTCGCCAAACACAAAGAAATACTGCGGCGCCTTGTGCCGACCCAGAGTTTCCCGCGTCCAAGCGCGGAGCTCCTCGTCCGATGGTCTCGCGCTCACGTCAGCAGCCAGCGCGAGGAACGCCCCACGACCTCACCGTATTTCTGGTCCGGGATGCCGATTACGGAGGCTACCTCCACGGCTGGGTGTGCGGCTAGTCGCTCTTCGATTTCCAGGGGTAGATGTTTTCTCCGCCTGTGTGGGTTAGATGAGATTTTTTGCGCAGTAGGAGAGGAAAACTGGATTACCTCTGATGATGATGTCCTTGAATCTTCCGGTGATGGTACAGTAGCCCTCCTCATCGAAGATGGCTTCATCGCCTGTCTTGAGCCAGGTTACGCCGTTGGAGTCGGTGACTAGCGCCTCGGCTGTTTTCTCGGGATTGTTCCAATACCCCTTTGTCAGTTGGTATCCGGCAATGCAGAGCTCGCCGCGCTGGCCGACGGGGACGATGTGGCCTTGTGTGTCGATGATCTTGGCTTTGGCGTGGGGCATGACCTTTCCGACGGTTGTGAGGCGGCGTTCGATGCTGTCGGTTGTCAGGGCGTTGAAGCAGGTGGGTGAGGCTTCGGTGAGGCCTGTACTCGTCAGCACTGTGCTAGATCAGAACACAGAAAATTTGGAATACCGTAGCTGCTGGTATACTCGGTCATGTTCAACTCCTCAAGCAACCGCTTCATGAGCGGCCGGGGAACAGGTGCACCGGCGATGATTCCCGTCCGTAGATTCGAACAATCAAAGTTTGGGGGTTTGGGAAGACTCAGAATGGCCTCGAACATGGTCGGTACGCCGTGCAGAGCGGTACATTTCTCGTCGGAGATGGCACGCAACACGGCAGTCGGATCGAACGTCTCGCTGGGGAAGATGATCTTTGACCCGTGGGTGACAACAGCGAGCATACCCAGCACGAGCCCGAAACAGTGGAAGAGCGGCGGCGGGCAACATAGGGTGTCGAACGAGGTGAGGTTCATTCGATCGCCGATGAAGCGGGAATTATTAACTAGGTTGCTATGACGAGTTAGCTAGTGTCACAGCCGTGCTGCTGTATGGGCGTACTGATGTGTTAACATGGCGGCTTTGGGATTGCCCGTCGATCCGCTGGTGAACTGCAGGTTGCAGACGTCTGTAGAATGGAGCTCCGCTTCTCGGTCCTGCAGTGCATGGCCGGGAAGCGGTAGACCGCGCTGGATGATGTGTTCATATGCGTTGAAACCGGTGTATTGCCCTCGTAAAATGACAATTTCCTCCAACGCCGACGAGGTTCCCTGCTCCTTTGGACGAGGCCCTAACTTGGCCAGTACCTCCTCGAGCGAATGGCGGCCGATGTGTGGAGTCAGGAACAGGAGTCGACAGTCTGCAGAACATGCCAAGTTAATTCTGTAAAGATCATCAGGAACGCTGTAGCAGGAACATACCTGTGTGCCCGAGAGCATAGTACAGCTCAGACGGAGTATATGTATTGTTCAGCACCACCAGAATCGCCCCGACACGAGCAGCGGCAAAGAAAACCGAGATGTACTGCTCGCAATTACCCGCCATAATTCCTATCCGATCGCCCCTTTGAATGCCCATAGCCAGCAGGCCGCGAGCCACCCGGTCCGCTTCATCCTTGAGATCGGCGTAGGTCCAGCGCGCGCCAGTCCAAGGAAAGACGAGACACTCATAGTCGCCATATTGCAGGCTCTGAAGGGTGAGAAGCTCGCCGAGGGTAATGTCTAGTAGTTCTGGCTGGGTCGGACCTTCGACGATCGACAGCAGTTGGGGAGCCTTTGGCAGCTCAAGGTGCGAAAGAGTTTGTTGTAACCGTCGTACAGTGGCCATTTTTTGGTTTGTCTGTCGATCACAGTGTACAAAGGTTGATCCTCAGATACGGAACGGACCAGAGGAAACTCGTCTTATATTACTAGTGCTGCCTTCCAATGAGGATGTCGCCTCGGATAATACATCTTGACTCGGCTGTCGCTGTCTCCGTCTCGGGTCTCGGTACTTGATGAAGGAAGGCGTATTCATAAGCATTGTAGACTGACCCAGATCCTTCATGGCATGTCTTTGAGCCCACTAATATGTTTTATTGACACATTTGTCCAGAACGATGAGCTGAGGAGGAATCAGATCCATGTGGCTCTCCTGACAAGGCTCCACTGTAGAGCCGTTAGCCAATCTGCGCAGGATTGCTCTCCTAGCCTTATGCCTCGCTTATCAGATTTTTCGCGTGAAGACTTGGTATGACGAGAGTGTCGAATCAGATAGAAGAAGGCAACTCATGTGGGATTACGTTTGATCAGATAAGAATGCTCCGGAGCCGGTCAAGTCTACGGAGTTACTGAGTGGATGTGTCGACGTTCTCCTAGGATTCCCACATAGATATTACTCAAAGAGGACAAAGATGGTCTATAGAGTAATTCCATGGTATAATTCAAATGTATTTAGGGACATCATCCGTTGGTCAGTGACAGATGAAGTCGATTCTATTCAATCGAAGATGAACTTGATGCAGCCTTGCAGTCAGCAACGAGACCCTACGTTTTGGTTGAACTTATGTTTCAACGAACTGGTGGTTTACCGATCGTGAAAATTTCGGAATGGATGAATCTGTTTCCGGGGCTAGAAACCACGTTCTCACTTATCTCGTCCTTACGTTGGTTTTTCTCTCGATATAAGGTGTACCATGTTTCGCTTGCTGTTTCCTTGTGGGATGTCCCACCCCACCCTAGACTAACCATGAAACAAACCAGGCTTTTGCTCTAAGGCCGTGGTAGAATACAATTTCATGTAATGAAGAGGTTGAGTAGAGGTTATTTTCAAGTATTCCATCATTTCCATGGCTAGAATTAAAGTAGGTAGCAGTGAATGAATCAGAATATCTCAAAATATATAGCCCTGCAATAAGGCGACCACCAGATTTAATGAATACTATGTCCAAGAAACATATTAAGTTGGCCGGCATAAATCCAGCTATTCCGCCTGTTAGAAACAAGAGGAAACCCACTAGGAAATATCATAATACGCTCAGGTCCAGTTACACACGCAAAAAGTTAGTGGCGTGTTTTTGCAAACTGAAGCGCGACTAACGCTGTATTAATCTAATCAGATGATCTAATCAGATAAAATGATCCCGACAACGGGCGCAATCGGAGGCTGGCCTGAGAAACAAGGTGCTTTTTGTTCCTTGACGCGTCTTGGCGCGTGTCATTCCTTGGTCGGCTTGTGTCTCATCAGCTGATCTCTGCCCAACATGGCTAATGGCATCCAGTTCTGGCTGCCTTTTCTGCACATTATCGTCGTCATTCCTGTTAGTCACCATCGGGGATTTTCTTACTTTTTTAGCTGCTGGAATTTCCCCCACATGCTCCCAACAGCACCCAATAAAATCACTGTGACCCCTCGGTGGTCCACTCGAAGATTACCAGCGAGGGGCAGTTCTGGCACAGTTTTTGCTCGGGAGGGGGGAAAAGTAATGCTGAAGTGTTGATCTTCATGAAATGTTTTGCTTTTTCCATGTGTTCAAAAACCTGCGCATGCCTCTGTCCTTCAGAGAACCACACCACATTACAGTGTGCGACTGATTTTATCCCAGGTGCGTGATAATTCCGCCCACAGTCGACTGAAGCAATGGCAGGAACAACAAACCCCGCAGATGAGGGGCTCACAGGTCCAACGGAAACCACAAACCACATCAACGGCGTGCGCAGTGATTTTTCACTTGGCTCAAGTCTAACTGGGATTGTTCCTGTGACGAAGATACCTTCTCTAGACACTATCGACCAGTATGCTGCTGAAGGATCACCAGACGATCCAATGGGACAAAGTCCCTGGCGAAGGATCGGCCAAGGCGATGTTAGCGGAGAACTCGCGACAGGATTGATCGAAGGCTATGCTCGATTTGTATCCGCTCTCACCGGTCTCGAAGATATTGCTTTTGCCGTCTTGTGCCAGTCTTCGACAAAACCATCGCAGGCTCTGATTTGCGCTTCCGTGACCGTGACCGACCAAGAGCAGGAGGTGCAGTCAGCACGGCAATGCGCAGTGCGCGAACTCGACTTTTCATACTACAACAGAAGCGAGGTCCAGTTCGCTCTGGACTTAGCTTTGACTGGTGGTCCTGAGAAGGAAAAGACAGATCTGAACACTGTGGCAGAGAGAAACGTCAGTATGCACCAAAAGCGCTGACAGACGATAGCTAACGTATATGACAGTGTTTCTCGTTGTACGTTCGGAGTTCCGCCGACGGACTCTGCATTAGTTTCACTTATCCAAAACGACTGATCCCTGATGCAGCAGTGAGTCAGCTGCTGAAGACGATTGCGTTCCATATGGCGCAAGCCATTGGATGTCTACAATCCACAGGAGCTTGGCCGGATGACCCAACTCTAGACTTATCTATCCTTAATTTCCCCCCTCCGATGATACCCCCTTCACGAGATCATGATTCTGCAACAATGCCGCGCCGTACCAAACCATACCTTCTTCATTCGGCTTTCGAGGGCTGGGCCCAGAAAAGCCCTACTTCCATCGCACTAGACTTCGTTCATTCTTTGCCATCGGCCAGCTCTATGGCGGAGCATAGCACCCTAACCTATGCTGCTCTCAATGCTGCAGCCACCCACTTGGCAATCCATATCAGGAGACTCCTCTCAGACGATACGCGCAATACTGGCAATCGCATTATTCCTGTCTATATGTCAACGTCTCCCGAGCTTTACATCTCATATCTCGGAATCCTCAAAGCCGGTTATGCATTTTGCCCCATTCCCACAGATGCTCCAGCTCAGCGAGTCCGTGAAATTCTTCAGGATATCGAGTCCTCCGTAATACTTGGCGACGCTGAAAAACCGTCTTCTGCGCCATGGCTCCCAGATGCAGCCGATGAGACAATGTCAAAGCCAACTTGGGTCAACGTGGCTGAAGTCTCTAGATGGAAGCACTTCTCCGGGGAGGATACTGAGATTGCAACCGAAGACCGATTGTTTGAGCCTCCAGACATCGACCATAATGAGATTGCCTACCTTCTTTTCACGAGTGGGTCCACGGGCAAGCCCAAGGGCGTACAAGTCAGTCACCTTGCAGTTACCTGTTCAATAGAGTCCCACGCTACAGCCATCCCGCTTCCTGGGACCTCGGCTGGCGATTTCCGGTGGTTCCAATTCGCGTCGCCTACGTTCGACCCGTCTCTGATGGAAATATTCGTCACGCTGAGTAGTGGCGGAACTCTCTGCTCGGCATCGCGGAGCCTGACGCTTACTGACCTGGAAAGAACAATCAACGAGGCCAGAGCTACCGTGATGATGGCAACCCCTAGCCTAGCAGCACTCCTTCGACCCTCCCGGTTGACTACCCTTCAATCTTTGTGGACAATGGGAGAAAAGCTCAATCGGACAGTCATTGAAAACTTCACTCAAAAGGCGCACAATAACGACCGGAACGGGGACACTGTTCCAACATCAAGGATGTTAGTCAACGCATATGGTCCCACCGAAGCAGCCATTAACTGCACATTCCTCGCACCAGTCGAGTATCATATCCGTGGGTCAATCATTGGCGAGCCACTGCCCACATGCTCAATGTTTGTCCTCGATCCAGCCTCCCATACCCCAAAACCTATTCCAGCTGGTCTTGCTGGAGAACTTGCAATTGGAGGACCTCAGGTCAGCCAAGGCTACTTGAATCGCCCGGAAGAAACCGCCAACTCCTTTGTTCACAGCCCTGAGTACGGATACCTCTACCGAACTGGTGACATGGCCCGCATTGTCTGGGATGAGAAAGGCGCGCAAGTCATTGAGTTCCTTGGGAGAATCACATCTGACCAGGTGAAGATCAGTGGTCGTCGAGTTGAGTTGGGGGAGATCGAGTCTGTCCTTGCCACATTGACTGGAGCGCGGGAGGTCGTGGCGGTTGTCCCCAAGCGTGATGCAACGGTACAAGGCAGTGAGCAAATTGTAGCATGCATTGTGACGGACTCATCTAGTGAAGATGCGATACGGGAATTCGTACGATCGGCTGATGAATGTACACATCGTCATCTTGCTGCATATATGTGTCCGTCTTCCTATGTCTTCTTTGACTCAATCCCGCGAACAAGCTCTGGTAAGGTCGACCGTAATGCTATCGACAGCATGCTGCAACAAGGCGAAGATAGCGGTATGAAGTTTTACATCCCCTCGAACGAGAATTCAGACGCGCGGGTCACAGCGCGGGGCAAGTGGGACACGCTTGAGGATGAGAAAGCTTTGGAGCTACGAACCCTAGTCCTCAATCTCATCGCGCAGACCACTGGCCAGGAGATCTCTGTGATCAAGCCCAGCACGAGTCTCTATACACTGGGATTGGACTCTCTGGGCGCGATGCGATTATTACAGAAGCTGAGAGATCAATTCATCGACAATTTATCTGTGGGAGATGTACTACAGTCAGATACCGTTAACGGGCTACTCTCGCTAATCCTGAATGTTAAAGCGAATCTAGGAGGACTGACCAATGGACAGCTGGCGGATCATTCGTGTATTTCCCTGGCGGAGCAGCTGCGAGCGTTTAACGATGCGAACCTGTCGACATGCGCGGAAAGGCTTGGAATTAGCCCCGGGACAATTCAGACCGTCCTTCCCACCACGGAAACGCAGTCAGGTATGCTAACGAGCTTCTTACGTACCTCAGCCGATAGCTCGTTTGCTACTCGGTCGTACATCTATCATTCTGTGATTTCACTCGGGCCTTATGTGGACATTCGGCGGCTCAAGAAGGCGTGGGAGTCCGTGATCGCAACTTATGATTCTTTCCGAACGAGCTTCTGCTGGATTGACGATGGCATGGCTCCCTTTGCGCAA